GAGTTGGGTATTTTTTCCGCGTATTTCTAGGCGCGATTGTTTAAGTCATAATAGTGAAGTTTAAAATTGCCAAGTGGCAAAAATCAGTAAGAAAAAAAAATTGTAAATAAGTTCTAAGTCGAAGTTTTCTTGTACATAATTGTATATTTTCGTGAATTGTTAGTGGTGATCTTAGTGATAAATAAAATACTTGTACATAGAAAAGAAACGGTCGGAGCTTGCGTGTTATTTCAACCTGTATCAAAAACGGAACTACCTTTTCTCTGTAAATAAAATGTGGGAGAGGATTCTAATATTTCTAATCGAAGGATAACAAAAAGCATTTCTTCTCTCCTCCCCCCACAATTTACTTTGAAATGAAGTAGATACTAAATTTCGAAACTACAGTAAATTAGTAAATCCTTGTTTGTGAAGTAAATACTTCGTAGAATATAGAATACACTTGTAGTATGTAGTAGCAAGTACTTCGTTTTTATTCATACCACTCAAAGAACTTAAATAAGAAACGATAGGTAGGTATACCTACATATTTTAGAAAAATTAAATTTACAACTACACATGCTTATCATGGAGAATATAAGATTGAACTTCTTGGTTTAAGGTGTCTCAAAGACATCTTGAAGACGTCGTAATGTTACAAAGCCTAATGTCTTTCAGAGATCTGCCTAAAGACGTCTTTAGGACCGAGACATTCTAAAGACTTCTTCAACGAGATGTCTTGAAGACGTTTTTGAATCTCTTTTCAATACCTACATAAACCATTATTCACTTTTAGGCTTGCTTGATACCAAATAGTTGTCTTCAAGATATGAATTTATGACATCTTATGGACACCTTCAAAACAACGTCTTCAAGCGTCTTTTTTTGGTCTTCAGACGTTTGAACGTAATGCAGAACCTAAAAAAAGACGCCTCTAAGACTTTGTGTGCTGTCTAGATAGCTGACCATCTCGTATCTATTATCTATTACTCATTCAATGGATGTTCATCAGCAACATGACATGGTCTAAGATTCTACCTGAGTTGGGAATCCCGCAGCTACAGAAGAATATTGCTGATAGTATGCGTAAAAGGCCGGGACACATCTATCATGCATTCTTCCGATCATACAATCAAGGTCCTTATTCTTGGAACAGGGGAGCAGCGGAACACTCGTTCTCCTAGGAACGCTGCTCCCTGTTCCAAGAATAAGGACCCTGATTGTATGATCGGAGTCGGATCGGAAGAATGCATGATAGATGTGTCCCAGGTCCCGGGCTTTACTCGGGTGGTGTGGTGTGGTGCGTCTCAGTGCGCGACGTTGCCAAAAGATATTTTATTTCAGAGTAAATTTCGGGCGCTATTGAGCGTCCAGGTAGGCGGCCGCCTAGTAGTAAAATCGGTGCTGCTTCTTGGAAAAAAAAATATTTCCAATCGTATATAATGCACAGATTTTTAAGGAAATTTCCCTTGTGCAAATTACACTAGAAATTTTGCATACAAATTGTCAAAATTAATAAGTGGAAATTTTTGGAAATATCCCGGGGAAAATTTCCGGAATTGTCATTTTTGACATTGATGCCCGCTTTTCCATTTAAAAAGGTCTGTTCCCACAGGAGTCTTTGACAGTTTACAAACTGTCAGAAACAAGCGCTCAGCTCAGTTACAGATTAATCTTGGAACGACAGCATTGGAAACATGTATGGGCGATGCTTACTGACAGTTTGCAAACTGTCAAAGACTCCTGTGGGAACAGACCCTGTGTAACGTATTGATGTCAAAAATCTGTCAAGGTGTATATTTTTGACAAACGCAATTTAAATGGGAAAGATCAATAACAATCAACAACTATAAAAAAATTCGACACAACGTAGTAAATAAACTTCAAACTCGGGAAATTTCCTATCAAAATATAACACGTGCATAAAATATTTCCTAAGGGAAATTTTGAAAAATTTCGTCTTCAGCCAATTTTTTTGAACAAAACCGTTCATACAGACGCTCGCACAAAACTGCAGTCTTGCTATTCTTGCTACAGTGTTCCGAGTGTGCATACAAAATTGCACATTCAAAAACGCGACGGTATTTTGCATACACATTGATGTTTTTGTTTGAACGTTCATGTATATGCGTACATGTTTTCAGACATCCACGTCCGTGTGTAACCGCCTATTAGGTGTCCCAGAGTTGGCAAATACAAAAACCTATGGGTTTGGTTCTCTCTTCTTCAATTCTTATATCCAAAAGTAAAAATCAGAAGGAACTTTTCAAGATAACTACTAGTAATAACTTAAGAAAGAATTTGTACTAGTACCGACTAATAAGCTATTAAATAAATATTTGAAACCAACTTAAAATCCTAAATGACAGGTTTGTAGAGAATTCAATTGGCTTTAATTAGAGCCTATATAATTACACTGAAATCGAATGAAAATTAACGGAACTGTGAGGCAGAAACTGTCTAAGTGTCATTTTTGGAAAATTTTCAATGTTCGATAAATTCAATTCTGCTTTCTCAGGCGCAAAACGTAAGGCAAAAACTGTCTGTGTCATTTTTGGAAAATTTTCAATGTTTAATAAGTTCAATTTTGAAAATTCTCTGCTAGAAAAACAATTTGTAGAGAATTTAATTGGCTTTAGTAAGAGCTCAATTACGTTGAAATCAAACGGAAATTAAAGGAGCTGTGAGCCAAAAACTGTCTCAGTGTCATTTTTGGAACATTTTCAATGTTCGATAAATTCGATTTCGAAGTTTTTCAGGTGCAAAACTGTTGAAACAAATAAACAATTTTGTCTAGTTAAGTAAACAGAAAAACCCTACAAAAACTATCACAATTACCCGCGAAAACACAATAAACATTTTCAAAAACCTGGGTTCTTACAAACCCTGGAGTGTACGTAGCTAAAGTACGATACTAGTTACTACCTCCATTCTAGGATCACCTAAATCAATTTTCAAAAATGTCAATATTCTGGATAGTTCCAAAAATATAATGTTAATTTTAAGGAAGTCACCTAGGTATTTATGTAATATGTGAAATCTATTCAATTGCTACACTAGCAATATAGATATTACCCCAGGAAAATTAGACTTCCTCTGCGGAATGAGGCCGGAACAAGCTGAATTTTTGCAGAGACCTTCATTTTGATGTTCTAATGAAGCACAAAAAAATCGAATATGCCTACCCTTGTGTGTCTTGAGATATCGAAGGTCAAAGGTCACGAAAATCATTTTTTTTACGAAAATCTCGCTTCCAGTGCATCTGACGTCAAAGAATTTAAAACAAAACTTACGTAAAATAGTATTTTCTACAAAATTGTTAATATACATTTTTTTATACGACGAACCGTTTTCGAAATATAGCGTGATAAGGCGGAAGCGCATATTCAAAATAGGTGATACTGTATTATACAGGGTGTCCCCTTTCAACTGGTCAAAAATGCTAGGGTATATAGAGGAACCATAGAGAAGCAATTTGAGATAGGATACCGATGGTCGGAAGTGCGTTGTTTCCAAAATACAGGGTGTTGAAATTTAAACAACCCCCTGTAATATCATCTGGAGGGCTAATGCTAGGCTGTTTAAATTTTCAGGGATTATTGATGTAGGAATGATATTTAAAAATTTGTATGATGCACCCCCATTTTCTACCTAGAACTACCCCGAAAAAAAGAGAGAAATTGAAAAAAATTGCTTTTTTTCAAATTTTAAGTATTTTTAATTTTTTTTTTGGGGGTGGTTCCAGGTAGAAAATGGGGGTGCATCATACGAATTTTTAAATATAATAATTATATCATTAATCCCTGGAAATTTGAACAGCCTAGCATTAGCCCTTCAGATGATATGACAGGGGGTTGTTTAAATTTCAACACCCTGTATTTTGGAAATGACGCACTTCCGACCATTGGTGTCCTATCTCAAATTACTTCTCTATGGTTCCTCTATATACTCTAGCATTTTTGACCAGTTGAACGGGGACACCCTGTATAATACAGTATCACCTATTTTGAATGCGCGCTTCCGCTTTATCACGCTATATTTCGAAAACGGTTGGTCGTACAAAAAAATGTATAAGAATAATTTTGTAGAAAATACTATTTTACGTGAGTTTTGTTTTGGGTTCTTCGACGTCAGATGCACTGGATGCGAGATTTTCGCAAAAACCCGATTTTCGTGACCTTTGACTTTCGATATCTCAAGGCGCACAAGGGTAGACATATTTGATTTTTTTGTGCTTCATTAGAACATCAAAACAAAAGAACATCAAAAATTCTGCTTGTTCGGCCTCATTCCGCAGATAGCCCTTTTTTTGGTCTAATTTCCCTGGGGTCATAAATAGCTTAAGCTTAAGATCTTTAAAAAAACCAAATGTCACGAGGTTAAAAAGTGCAAATCGTAATGTAAATTAAATTTAGTGTGGGTTTTCATATTTTGTCTGCATTTCTTTACTTAGTATAGATAAGTTGGTATCTGTAATTGGCTATTGCTGTCGATACTAATATGAATAAATAAATGAGTCTTGAGGCGCAACACGTATGGATCTCAGATGGACCAAATCTTCAAATGATTATCTGCCTTATTGAAATGTATTGCAACACAGCCACTGAATTGAATTATACCTACCTATGAAAATAGCTATAATAATCGTCATCATATACAACTCTCATTATTGGCTGAATTTCCATTGGTTGATGCCCTGGCATAAAACTCATAAAGTACATATTGCAATAATTTTAGATAAGAACCGATTATTTTATCTTAGAATGTTCAGAAAAGATCAAACTGCAAATGATATTTCTAATAGACGCGTCACTAGAACTTCAACAAAAAATAAGTACCTATATTGTTCGGCTAGATCGCGGAAAAACTCATTCAACTGAAATTTTAGTAATTTTCTGAAATCATAATATAAAATTATCATAGTAGTAATTCTTGGTCATCAGGTATACGTGATCCTAAATCAAGCTAGATTGACACAAAAACTAATTATCGTCCGAAGATGATATATAGCACATTCTATAGGGAAATCCAACCCACAGGACGAGAACCGCAAATAACCGCAGTTTATTAAATTACGAATCCATATGAACCGCCAAATTGATTTTTAACTTAATAACAAACACTGCTATATAAGAACAGTTTCGATGCGATAAAACAACAGTTGCATTTTGCTAGCCAGAAAAGTAACTACAAAAATGAATACCAAATTTTTATTTACCAAACTTGCAATTGTGCTTATTGCCACTACGTTTTTGTTAGTGCTGACTCCTGCGGAGGCTAATTACAGAAAACCGCCGTTTAACGGATCAATTTTTGGAAAAAGATCTGGAGGAATTGGAAACAATGGTAAGCAACTTTTTATTATCCAAATTGATTTTGACTACACTGAACTATTATTGCCAATTTGATGAATTCTTTTTGTTTTAGAATACGATACTGCCAGTAAAACTTTGTCAGCTATGTGTGAAATAGCAACCGAAGCTTGTCAGTCATGGTTCCCTTCTCAAGAAAAATAATTTTCCTCATATAAATGACAAACTTTGTATCAGATTAACAGAGAAAATAGATGTAGATAATTCATGAGACGTTGTTTCAAGTTTTCAATCCTAAATTATCCCAATTAATTATTAGACAGTTTTCATTTTGACAACAACTTGTCGGAGAAGAAATTCTTAGGATAACCAAAGAATTATTCTTTGAGTCAAGGATTGTGATTAATTATCAACACAGTTTTTCAATTGCATTTACATCATTTTACTATAAAATCTACATATTTTGAGAATAAAGTATCATTGTTTCATCACAGTCAGAAATATGACAATTATTTAAAGAGCAAATAAGATATTACCCCCAAAAATATAATATTTATCTGTTATATTATAACATACAACTTTAAGCCTAGTTTACAAAATAATGTCCTGATAATCGAAATGCTTTTTTTGAAGTTCTACTTCATCCCTGGGTAAAAACCGGAAACTGGATTCATGACCCTTAACTAAATTACATATATAATACAAAATTTAGAATAGTTTCTGTCATGAGACTTTTTTTTAAAAAATGTGCACCTAAAAATAATAACTTTTCTGGTTTAAATCTTAAAATATAAAAATCAGTCCTTCAGCATATCTCTCCTGATTTGTTCATGATATGAGCCTTAAGATCGCTAGTGAATACAAACATCATTTTAATAATTTCTTTGTCTAAAATAAATTTGGGAATTTTAATATTCAAATTAGGATTAATAATCCATATAAAACGACATTTGTTGTCTTCATTGGGAATCGGTTCGACGATATAACCACCAACACCATTTTCTCCCCTAAAAAATTATCGAATAAATTCCATGAAAAAGAGAGAGAAATATACATACCTAACATATCTATTACTTGGCGGAAGCTTCGGATGGTCACATTTTATGCAACACATAACATAAACCCCATCGACAATAGTCCAGTGGCGAAGATTGACAAAATCTCTGCTCGTGACCAAACCTCCAGCACCGTCTACAGAAATTTGATAGGTTATATCTGTGTGTTCGTCTATGGCTTGCACTTTATATGATTCTTTGACTGATGAGTTCCATTTGTGCAAGTCGGCCACACCAAAATAGAGTTCGTCCATTAGGAATTTGGGCGATATTGATATCTCGGTCTAAAAAGCAATGGTTGACGTTGGTAATAATGTGTAGTCTCCATAGTATTAGTGGAGTCTTTGGAAAACTTTATTTTGATATTATGTACTATGGAAAATCACTATCCAAACAAGTTTATTACCGTGCACGTTCGCACGCATATACAAAATCCATGCCTAAAATTCCAGAAAAGGCTGCCTTGTTCAAAAGAAGATTATCGCGTTTATTCTGGATTTTACAAGAATGGATTACAGATATATAAAGGCAGGTATTAGCTAGTAGTTTTTAAGTTTAAGATTGAGATAGTGATTATTGTAAAGAGTTAAAGCTTTTTGAATGAATTAATTAGTGTCAGAGTGTGTTACTACACACGTGGAATAAATTATTGTTGTGTTAATAATTGGAATTTAATTGAATACATAATTGTATATTCTCAGCTTGTGATTATATTACACTTTATTTATATTGGTAAGTTTGCAACAGTTTCTATCATAGCGTAATTCGAATAAAGAATGTTACCTCTAGTTTAAATATCGTCCCAACTTTAGGATCTTTTCTGCAATATACATTTTCCTGACCCTGTTGCCTTGCCAATTTCCAATCGGTTTTCTGATATAAATCATAGGCAGATTGTAGTGTCACAGCTGCCAAATGCTTGTAATGGTCCTCCTGAAATTAAAAGAAAATAAAATCGTTAAGTCAAAACAAAAAAAAAAAAAAAAAAACGAGACTTTTAACTAAAAAATGTACCATTGAACCCAACCCACTGGGTTTTAAAACAATGTCAACCTTAGAAGGGAAAATTGATTTTATACCTAGCAGCCCATGGTAATGCAAAGCATGAATTTACACATCTTTAAATACAAAATCTTACCAATGGGGTTCAATTTACGAATACATTTTTCTACATTTCGAGTATATTTAAATTATATGCAACAAACATACATGGTGTTTGTGACAGTTTCTCGGTTTATTATGGTAATCCTTTGAAAATCCTATACACACTGTGACGAACCACCGAATCATAATTATGTATTTATTTGTCGGCCTAAAGAGAAAATTATTTCAATAAATTTATCAAGAATCAATAAATCTACAAAAAAAAAGCACTTTTTCTAGATTTGCGATGTAACGTATTGATATGAAAAGAGAATAATTTTATGAGTAAATTATCAAAGTCGTTACTAATGGTATTCAATTAAAATTAAAGTAATTATAACACAAATATAGTGGGTCGAAAGGTGAAGGTTTTCATGAGGTTTACTTTGAAAATATATTTTATGATTTAAAACAACTTTAAAGAATCATTTGGAATGTCTTGTGAAGTATGAGATGAGAATAGAAGAAAACTATTTACAGTATATTCTGGGCTGGTATTCCATTTTTCGAAAGCGCTCACCGCTTTTTAGTGGCTCAGTACTTCTAATGTAAAACATTAAAAGCACACCGGCCTTTCATAGAAATACAGACTTTTTTGAAGGACTTTGACCTTGCACTGGGATTATATTACAATTCACTTACAGTTTTCATGCTGAAATGCAAATTTATATGTGGCATCGTTGACAATTTTTCAAAACTTTTTATCACACAAAAATTTCATACACAATATCAAAAAAAAAAAACAATAATTTTAAACAAACATACAAATAATATAACGAATGTAGCGTCGTGCACGTTGATACTATAATCTAACTGAAAATTAACCGTTAAAAAGCGCAAGTGAATAATTGACGCAACTTTGCTGAGTTGGGCAATCTCAAGACAAAATAATCTACATCATTAAATTATTAGCCAACCGTTATAAAAATCAATTGTTAGATGTTGTCACATCTATTTAGCAATAGTGATAATAGAGGAAAAAAAGCAAAATTTTTGTTAAAGTCATGTATTTCGGAACTTATATATAATTTAAGATTCTCAAGGGTTATTTGCTTGGTTATTTGATTAAATTTTTTCAAATAATTGTTTATATGAAGTAACCCATTTCACTGTTGATTTATGTATATAACAAGGATATCATTTATACAAGGTGTTTCAAGAACATCGAAATAATGGTTATTTAGGGTATTTTAAGGTCGTTTAAAAAAAAAGCGGGCAAGTCATCAGTTTTTTTGCTAGGTTGCACCCCCTGGGTAGGGTGGCTTTTATCAGAGCTTTCACCCCTCTTTTTAAGATAAGGAAGATGGGTCGAGTGTTACCCTGTTTTAAAGGTATTTTAATTCTCGTCACAACTGCATATTGTTTTTCAAAATCGAATTATTGGTTCTCAAGACAGAAAGTCAAAGTTGCCATGGGCTGAATTAGAAACAGCCTAAAACGCCTCTGTTTCGATGTTCATGAAACACCCTGTATGTATACAGGGTGTCCCGCGTAAAAGTCACTACATGGGGATTTCAGAGCTTGAGTAAGAGATACAACTTTGGTTAAATGGGGAAAAAGTCGGGCTATTCCGAGCCCAATCAGATGCTGTATCGTTCCGAAATCCCCAGGTAGCTACTTTAATGTGGGACACCCTGTATAATATTTAGTATAATAATAATAGAATTTGAATTGGACAGAACTTGAATTAATTCCAATATAGAGCTTTTTTAATCACAAAAAGGAAGTTCAGTTCAGTTGCTTATATTAAAATTTGGTGCATCAGCATAAGCATATTTGGCAAGAAATTATCAAATAAGGGTCAACAGCGATCTGAGTGCTATACATGTTTGGTCAAAAAATCATGGATTGACACTAAATGCTAAGAAAAGTAACTACATGACCATTGGTTCACCTTTAAGTAAAAGTCGTTTTGAACATTTTAATTTTAACTGCCTGCATGTTGACGGATCGGTGTTGCCCTGTGTCGAGTCAGCCAGAAACCTGGGAGTTGTTTTTGACCATTACCTTGAGTTTCAGCTCCATGTTAACAAAAAATTATCGTTAGTTTATATGAAACTCAAAAGTTTGTATGCCTTTAAGTATATTTTAACACCTAGGATTAAACTATTGCTAATTGAATCACTGGTTTATCCGCACTTGGACTATTGTTGTGTAGTGTATTATAAATTATTGACGGTGGAATTTAAGAAAAAGATCCAATTAGCGCAAAATGCATGTATTCGATATATTTTCTGTGTGTATAAATTTGATCATATTTCACCTGTTTATCGAGAAAATAACTTACTAAGATATGGAGAACGAGTGGCTCTATTTTTTGGCACACTAGTATATAGAGTTTTCAAATCTAAATTCCCAACGAGCCTTTGGCAATACATGGTAGCGAGACAGGACTTGCATGACCGGAATTTAAGATTTGTTACCAGATATAATATACCGCAGCATAATAGGTACTGTCAAGTTTAGCAACTCATTTGCGTTTCAAGTGGCTGAATTACTTAATTCGGAAATTTATAACATTATAGTTGATAATTCACTAGCTGCTTTCAAACAAAAATATAAATCCTATCTTGTCCAACGTTCAAGAAATTAGGCTAAAAATTAGGGAGATTATTTGTTTATTTATTTATTTATTTATTAGGTTTATAAAATTTGTACCCACTTCCTAATTTTAAGTTGTGCGGGTGGCATGGAAGAACGCTCTGCGAATGCTACCTTTTATGTGATGTAAGTTATGTTGCATAATGAAGATTTTTCTATTCTATTCTATGCTATAAATATATTTATAATAATAGAAAGCAGCATAGAAAGTCAATATTTATCAAGATATTTATTATATCTTCTGGTAAATTATTCAAAGAGAAGCCAAAGCCAATGTAAATTTATACACATAATTTTGTCTAGCAGACTAAAAATTTACCTGGTCTCGAGTCAACCGAGCTGGATGTATATGCATTGGTTCGTTTTCGGGTGCGTACAAAGAACCGCGCAAAGAACCTTCGGGAGATGCCATCGGTGAGTAAAAATTGCCAACACTTTCTGTATAAATTGAAGGAAGACCCTGTACATAGCTTCGGATCAAAGGAGCTCGTTCCGATTCCGTGGCAGCTGAAATTTAAGCAATTATTATAGACCTATCAGCTTCAAAACATGATATTATCTCATTAGAAATTATTATCTAATGATAAAGATAATAAAGATAATTTTACTATTATCCTCTTAAAGCATTAATGAATCACAATGCAATGTAAATATTTAATAATAGTATGTAAAAAATTCCCACCAATAAGATATCTATTTGCATGAGTTTCCTGTGGAATGACTCTGAAATCCAAAAACCAAGCTTCTCCCCATGACAAGATAAATGAGCCAAGTACCAATAAGACTTCTAAAACAGGTTGTGAAGATTTGGGCCACTAAAAGCAACAATATTGATAAAATGTTCCAATAATATGTATCTCAACAAAACAAACTCACATCAAACATAAATACTTTTCCTATAAGAAAAGCGCAACTTAGTGCAGTCGATATCTAAAAAATATATGAATATAATAGTTATAACATTTGATAGAATTGAAGTACACATCAAGGTTTGGTTTAAAACCTCTCAATGTTGTAGAGATAACCTATGTTATCTTTTTTGCATTATTTTAATATTTGGAATGAAGGATTGAACAATTTATCATGAACAACAATGGTTTTAATGCAAAATCAATAAAAAGAGGATTTTGTTTGGGTTTCGTAAATAGGGTATAGTTAATATATTCCAAGAAGTTATATATCAATAGTTAGTGCTTAAAACAATTCAAATTTGGTTTTAATTAAACAGTATGTGATAATAAATCTTACCGATATCACAATCCAATGGTTGATATACAAGACTGCATAGAAAAATATGAGAACTATGAATCTACTAAATGCTAGGAGTACGATATCAAATAGGGAGGTACGTATGTTATAATGCAGTATTTGGTCTGATAAGGCATGAAGAATGTTCTCACCATTCATCTGAAACAGTAGAAAAAATTGGACTTTAGCATGGAGCAGGTTTTTTCAGCAACTTTTTACCAAAGAACTTTCCATTGATTTCACAAAATGGTATTACTTAAGTAAACTAGCGTGATTAGAAAAAGGTTAAACTATTCTTTCACTATAAGTATTTATATATGTGGTCCTAAAATTCTTTTAAGCTTGGGCCATAGCCATGAGATACAAAAATTGTTACAGATCAAAGATTTGGGGCTTTCAGCTTAGCATACTCAAAAAAGAAAGAAGCCCCAAAAATTACTTAGAAAACATATTTTCTCAAAAATGAGTACCTACTTAAAATATGGAAGAATAAAGCTTTGTTTTGGTTCCTATCAAAACCAAGTTCTGCTTCAGAATGGAACCAAAACAAAGTCCACTTACCATAACGCAAATCAGCCACATAAGTGATATAAATAAAAAATCAAAGGTGACAAAGAGGCAGAAGAATCTTCTAACATTAGACATCCTTCCATCCAATCTCTGTCCAGCTAAAAGATCTTCGGATATAATATAATCCCTTATTGAAGGTATTGTGTTGATGCTGTGTGAATGAGCTGCCATAATAAATAAAAAGCATAAACTCACTAACAAAAACTTTTCGGAAAAAAATTGTTTAGATTTACTTAATGATAGTGGTATAGTGTTTTGTTTAGTTTAAACTGGGAATAAACAAACACTTTGATAATAAACTTACACATATCGAGTGGCGATTGTATATTTGGGTTCTGATAACTGGAAATTCCCTCCCGTAGGCGGGCTTCTTCTGGTGTCATTTTTTATAAACAAAGGACTTCTTAAACTAAACTATCATCAAGAAATTGATTTCGCAACAGGTCGCACCCATTGGTTATTTATTTGTATTACTAGAGCTTGAAAAATACAACCCATAAACTATTAATAGTTATCTAAAATCTCTACAAGTTAAAGAAAAAAAAACCTGATAAAGGAAATTTCTTAAGACAAAACATGTTTATTTTCATACTGTCCTGTCAGTGTCAACTGACTGTCAGGTTAGGGGTCAAGATCGGTTGATAATCCTTGGACACTTGAAAAGCGTTCTTTTTGGGATGATACTCCGAATGACTCCGAACGAATAGCTGACTCTTGGAAAGAGCACGATGACTCGGTGCACTCCGAACGTTCAGGATAGCATTTTAGAGTCAATAATGCAATAAAATAACCTGGTTCACGTTCGGCTGGCTAAACGGTGAAGAAATGTTTTCGACTATCTCGAAAAACACTTAAATTAAGATTCAGGAACACTGAAAAAATAGGTTTTTTTTTTTTTTTGAATTAGGCAATCTACTGACCTGTCAAAATTGAGATCCAATATGGAAGTTCGGGTCAAGCACTGTGTTGTTTATTGTCCGTGCGTTCGTTATTTTGGTCCGAGTTCTCCGAGCTTGACTTTACCGTTCGTTTATTTAAAAAGTGTACTCGGTGCAGCCTCATTCGCGTTCGTTTATTAAAATTTCTGGCACTTTTATACAGCGTTCAACTGCTCTGTTCGCTCACTGGTCACGTGATTATGGCTCCGCTCGGCACGCTCTGCTCTTTGAGCAAAATACCGAACGCAAGGTCTATATGCCATTGATTCTGTCACATTCTGGACGAACGTCAAGATATGATTTATCGGATTTTGTGTTTTTTTGTGTGTTTAGGTATTGTGTTAATTAAAATGCCAGCGATTTGCATCGTAATTGGGTGTGGAAGTTGAGGTAACAGGGCTAATGTGAAATTTTATTCAGTTCCTGCTATTTTAAATCATCAGCTTTTGATCTACTCATGAATGAATTATCAAAACAAGGCAGGGCTTCATGGATTGCTGCAATTAAAAGAAAGGGTCTAACAGAGGCTCAATTTTCCCCTAATAATACCTTAAGATATTCACTCTCCATCTCAGAATTTATTATTAAATTAAAAAAATACGTAGAAACATTATAAACACTATAAAATTGACTTTGTAAACAAGGACCAGAACACTAAAAAATACGTAGACATACTAAAAACTATAAAATTCACTATGAAAACAACAATATGACCAAAACCAATGGAAAATACGTAGAAATACATAAAATTCACTTCGAAAGCAACAAGGGCCACAACACAAATGGTCTCCTTATAAACGTCACCGGCTTGTCACCGCAATATTTGACCCGAACGGCCATTATAAAATCACGTGATTGAGATTGCCTAATTATTAGAAGATTAGGTACTTGTCTGTTTTTTTTTAAAGATAATTCCCCAAGTCAAAAATTTAGTAACAGTTGGCAACACAAGCCTTTTCTACATAAAAATTTGAAAGCATTGACAATTTTACATTAACCCTTTTCACGTGGCTCCGGTTTAATAAACCGCAACATACCGCTCAAATTCGAGTGATAGGTATCCATCACGTATTACTTTGTAACCGGGAGGCTTTATTCTGGACTTTCTCGCGAGAGAAAATTTGACTGTGTTGACAATTAAACAGTGCATTAACTGTTAACAATGTCAAATTTTCTACCTAGGTAAAGTCAAGAATAATGCCTCGGGTTAGAAAACGGTATGTCATTTCTCTAACCGTTTTGTAACCCGGTTAGTTTAAGCCGGGCCACGTGAAAAGAACTATTGTATTGCCAACATAATGTCACTTTGACTTTTATCTTTAAAGAATAAAAAAAAAAAAAAAATAGAAACATACAAAATTATAACATTTTTACCAATAACAAAAGATGAGTATTTGACATTGGTGTTCAAAAGATTGTTTTTTTGAGCTTTCGTTTCAAAGAATTCAAACTAATATTAAACATATCAATAGACCTAGTGCCGGTACTTTTGCTCCATTTGACAGTCGTTAAAAATAATCAGGGCTTTGAATGCACTCTAACCAAACCATACTCATAGACCTTGATCCATGCAAAACTTTGACAGCATATCAAATTCGTTAATCGAGAGCAAAGGCATCGGCCCCTAGAATATCTATTTTTACCTGGTATGCGCGCGCAACACGAGGCAATGTCTTTTTATGTTTTTATTGGCTAGCTAATACAGGTGTGAGGTGATGGTTTTGCACGCTGGGCATCTCTTTTTCCTTGTTTATTGCACGTGATCTGACAAGAATAAATCTAAAGTTGATATTCAATTTGACAAGTGCCATTCAAAATTCAAAAGTTGATATTCAATTTGACAAGTGCCATTCAAAATTCAAAAGTTGTTTGACATTTACATTGACAAATACGTTGCACAACACGCGGTTTTTCTCCTTTTCTTTTTATCCTGTACAAATAAGGATGGATTGCTATACGTAAGTCTAACATAATTTGGTACGTTTTGCCTCGTCTTGCGCAATGAGCGTTCTGTGTCTTTTTTTATTTAATGACGTTTTCGTATTCTATTTGTCTGGTAAAATAGATAGGTCTATATTCATTTTTTCAATAACATTATTAGCCAACCTACAGAATCTGGAGATTGGAGAATTTAAGCCATAATTGGTGCGATGATGTTTCACATTAAATAGCCTGTTTGACCTAGTATTAATATTGCGAGGTACATGGAAACCAACAAGTGATAAAAGATCTGGTGACTCTATTATGTTATTAATTATTTTATATAAAATACATAAATCTTGCTGGTCTCTTCTATGTTCCAATGTCTGCATATTTAAGAGAGTTAAAAGTTCATTATAGTTAATAGAATAATATTTGATGTTCAACTTGAAGGCAATTTGACGTAAGAATTATGTTTGAACTTTTTCTAATGAGTATTTTTGGTTATCAATAGTTGTATTCCTTTCACACCTAGGAGGAGCTCCGGAACAGCTCCGGGGCTTCACGCGCTTATTCCTTTCGAAAAGTGTCGAAGTGGTCGTACCACGCATCTGTTCCCTGCAAATCGGGGGCTACTAAACACCGGAGCGAGTAGCTCGAGTGTTTCAAACTCTTGAAAGGAATACAACTATAGAAGGTAAAGAGGAGTAGTAACCTGGATTTGGAAAATGAGGCCGTTTTTTTTCAGGTATTTTGGCACCAAGAAAATGGCGCTTATGGCAATTCAATGCTTTACCTGTATCTTGGTGCCAACCACCTGCCAAAAATTTGGCTTCACTTTAGTTTCATAAGCAGAATGGCGCGTTCTTACTCCTTATGTCCGTAGGACAGCGCTTTCCTGCTCTAAGAATACTGGCTTCGTTGCGAATTTGTATTTTGATATTTCTCTCCGACCGCCCTCAATCGGAACTAATACTTCGGGTTGGGTCTGTTTTGCTGACTCCGAGCACTTCGACCGTTCGGGTATGGGTTTAATTTAATTAAATAGGTCTGTTCTCACAGGTTTTTAAAAATTGTTAACAATCATGTTGGACTACAAAATAAATTTCTAGAATTTTGAAAATCGGCCACATTATTTTATTCCAAACCATTTAATGCTCCAAAGCCAACGCATCTGTTCCTTTCAAATTGGGGTCGATTAGCATCGGAGCAAGTAGCTCTAGTATTCTAAACTCTTGAAAAGGAATACAACTAAGGGGAGCGAAACATGAAAATCAGGGGATTAACATTTTTTTGCTCAAAAAATTGCAGTCGAACGCTAGTAGTTAGTGTCTTTCGCAAATAATTGCCCTGCCCGATCTTGGCGCGTGTATGCGAACACGGGAAATTTTGCTCGCTCGCGATCTGAATCAGCTCGAACAGGAATGGAACCGCTACTTTTTACTCTAGTTTACAGTAGGTGGGTTCGGCTTGCTCACCCCGTGCACTCTGAGTGTTTCCATTCGCACTCCAGCCGTTCGGGTATTACTTTTTACCGTATTAGGGGTGACACCATTAGCTCTGTTCACTCCACTCCAACTCCGCGCTGAATAGCCGAACTCAGCTATAGTAGAGAGCACTTGGATTGAAAAAAAAAAAAAAACTTGTGTGCACAATGTGCTCATATTTTTGAAGTCAATCTGGGCCCGTATTCTCGTAACCAGGGAACAGCGTTCTCTCAAGAGAACGATTGCCCTGTCTTTGTCAGTATTATGGAAATAACAATATGGATGACTAAGACAGAGCAATCGTTCTCTTGAGGGAACGCTCTTCCCCGGTGACGAGAATACGGGCCCTTATATGAGTGGCAAGTGGTTGACAATTTAGACTCAGTAGACATTGAATTTATCATTTGATTAGGCAATGAAATATCGTTCAATGAATATCGCGCACCCAGTGCAACAGTCATTTGCCACTCGTACCAGTGACGGTTCGAAGTTCCAACCGCACTAGAGCTATTTTTCAAGCAAAGAAAAATTTTAAATAACTGTTCTGGGATAGCTTTTATTAATTCGGATCATTTATTAATTTCCAGACTGTTAAATGGGATTTACTCCAAGGTATTGATTATTCGGCTATTTTTCGCGAGGATAATCAAGCCTAATCTGATTATGCGATGTGTCATTCCCCTAACTTCCTCCCTATTAAATTTTGGGTCTGCAAGTGACGTTAAGATCAGTGGCTTATAGTGATGACGTCACTATCAGCAGCTTATAGTGATGCCGTCACCCGCAGACCTCGATGGTATGCTCATGATTCAGGCTTTGCTAGTGAGATAATTTTTTCGTCGATTTTAAATGGACAAAAGGTGAATTTCGGTCTGTTCTCACCTCACAGAAGAAATAAGTGTTCTTGATCCTCGAAGTATCCCAGGATTTGATGGTGGGGGAGTTAGGGCAATATGACACAATTGACACATCACATACTCCAACATAATCGATTATGCTATTCTATGAAGATTCTATGGATAGGGAGGATTTTCATGCATCCGTTTTTCCGTCAAAATATGTCCGTTTAACATTCTATTCTGACAGATTTATATACGATTATGTCAGAATAGAATGTTAAACGGACATATTTCGACGGAAAAACGGATGCATGAAAATCCTCCCTTTATGCTTGATTATGCTCGCGAAAAATTGCCTACACTAGTTATTTTGGCGCCATCTATTAATTAGCTACAAAACAAATTGACAGTAGCCCTGTTCAGTCTAAAAATCAAGAATTAAGTCGTTCCACTGCTGTCGCAAGTGTTTTCAGTGTTTTCTATCAAGTCACTGTAGTACTCATAGAACTATAGTACCAGTCCAATGGAATTCTACTTTTTGAGGAGGTAGGTTCTCTCAGCAAGTGTAAGAGGCTAGTAAAGAAAAACGAAGTACCCAAGTTGCTGAAAAAATATATTATACTTATAGATCCTCTAGGTTTCTACTCTAATTTGTACTGACTTAGGTTTATTTAAAATATGATAAAACGTCATAGAAGAAATACTAAAAATAGTTGAAGCAACAATTGCATAAAATATATACCTGTACCAATAATCAGTTTCCAAAGATTCGATTTCAAAGCAATACCATATTAAACACATAATAATATTCTCCAAATAAGTCAAACCGAAATACAGCATGTAGATCAAATTTGTCTTTTTAAAACGTATCTTAAACTCTATAATACAAAAAATATAAATAACACCGATAAACAAAAAAAATACCGATTTATCTCTTTTAATGTTGTCAGTTTTAACATCATAAAAAAGCACTGCTATGACTATGATAACATGACTTATCAGCAACCATATGCAAGCTTTCATGAAGAAATAACCAAAAGCCGATATAGCTAAAACTCTACCCAATAAAAACGTAAACCACCATAAAAACGAAATAGTTCTCCCCGCCATATCGTCTTCTTGTAAACCTTTTATGTATGTTACTCGTTTTATGTTGAAATTAGAAATAGAGCTGTTTGGAATCGTAGACGGATTGAAACCGAGCATTGAAGAAAAACGCGCCTTGTAGGCACTATAACTGGAGGTGTGAGGGTTTTTTGTTTCATCTGTAAAAAAATATTTAAACAAAACTTATTCACAAAATAATATACAGGGGGTGTTTGACGACTTCGGAACGCGTCATCCAATATAGTTGAAATTTTGAGGATCTAGGTAACTTCTTGTGCCACTTCTATCATTATCATTCAATTTCACCGCTTTCACTTCAATTTTAGTCAGGTGACGACAACTTTCGAATCTTAAATGTAACTCATGTTATATTATAGCATTTTTGGTTTGAAAATAAATTACAAAATCGGCAATGCCATATTTGTTAAGACTTTGTTAAAGAAAATGATAAAAAAATTATACAGTGGAACATAGGTACGCGATGATGCGTTCCAAAGTATAATTTGGGAAAAACCTCGTGGGACACCCTGTATACTTGCCATTTAAGGTAGGTGGATTATTATGACGAAATTCAACCTCATCATAAGTATTATCAGTAATAACAGTGGAACCATTGATTTCATTAGATGCTGGTTCTGGTTCTAAATAAATATCACTGCTCCTTCTGCGCTCTTTCACAACTTCTGGTTGAATGTCATATAGACGTGAAATATCATCTAGAGTATTTTGTTGTTTTTCAATTACTCTAGAAAAATTACCAATTTAAATTGAAAAGAATCTCCGAGTTTTTTGTCTCTTCACCTTTTTTGACTCAAATTTGATTTTCTTAGCATGACTTGATCTTCGTGACTGAAATCTGATACTGCCCTTGTACGTATAAGTTTTTTCTTTTTCAACCAAGGATACTGGGTACCAGTGAGTTTTTGCGCCCTAAATCTCTGATAGTAAGTAGTTGTAACTGCTACTTTGGATAGATTTAATATTATACATAGAGCTTGAGTTATTTCTGCAAGAAAAAGTAATGACACTCTATACTTTTCTCAGAGGTATTCAAGCAAAAATATGCATACTTGATTCCTTGGCAATATCGCTATTATGCCTCATTAAAATATGCAATTGCAGTAAAACTTGAGGCAAACAATGCAAATAAGCTTGAAGAAACACATATAATTCAATTACTCGATATTCTATAGCTTTTGTTAAGGCTTCATAAACAGTTTCATCAACGTTACTCCGAATTGCTTCAATGGACCAAAAAATCCTTTCGGCAAATCTGAAAATTATAATTTTTTTATTTGGCTCGAAGGCCATGTTAACTCACCTCCAAATATTATACACAGGAAAAAACAAAAATCCAAAAACTTTATGGTACAACCATAACAAATTATCACTAGTCATACCATTTTCAGGCTCAGGCCAATAATCACCGTCAGTAGTTATGATAATAAAGCTTCCGATAGCAGGCAAATACATGAAAAAAATAGTTAAAGAAGCCCATATTGGGTCGTTGTCTTTGTAATGACGAAAAACGACTCCAATGTCTATTGCTATGATAAATATAAACAAAATACAAGCAAGAATCGATGGTACTAAATGGTTCAGGATGGCATATTGCCGAGAAGCTAGTGCAAATCCGAACAATGTTTTTTCAGTGTTAATTATTCGATTTTCCATTTTTTTATATCAATTTTACACTGTAGTTATTTTCAACTGTAATATCGCTTGTTAGTTTATATTATGATAACCATTTCCTATGAGGTAAACAATAATAGATAAGATTATTTGTGAAATATTCAGGTATCATGATAAGATTAGATGAAAAATTGAATTATTTTCAAATTTAGCCACAGGTGGTAACAGTTTCCTGTTTAAATTTGGTTTGATTTTTGATTCAGAGAGGACAGCACACAATCTTATTTTCAGTTTCCTTTTATAAAAAGCAACATTGCGCAGAGGGTTTATCACAGACCAGGGGGCGGATTACGAACTCTCGATTCGAACCGAAACCGCCCTGGATTTCGAACGCATTCTGATGCATTTGCATGGAGTGCGTTCGAAATCCATGGCGGTTTCGGTTCGAATCGAGAGTTCGTAATCCGCCCCCTGGTTGCGTTCAGGGCAAAAATTGTCGCGGCCGCACCAGTAGTTTTTGCCCCGAGTGCAATCAGTTCTTCTGTACCTACTCCTAGATGGTGCGGCATCGGCTCAATTTGCAAAATTTGTTTAAAATATGCACTCCATTGGGATTGCACTAGTATAGGGACCTTGGTATTGGTGCATGTTGACCTGGCAGAGTGTAGTGTAGACTACACCCAGTGCAACAGTTTTTTGATAATAGAATTCGCTCGAACCGGCTCGTTTTTTGTACTCTTTTTGAGTGGATTTACAAAAATTATTTATTTCGAATTAAAAAAAAACCTAAATATCTCCCCGAACACTGGGCGAGTTTTAATTTCAGATGGTGGTTCGAGTTGGAATTCAGTCGATACGCTCACTGATCGCAGTAGTTGATCTTGGAACCTACCCCTATTTAACGGCTATTAACGTCATATCTCATTACTGTCAAACTCAAAAAAAGCCCAAAGCAAAATTTTGAACCCATTTCATTTTATTTTATTTTATTTGAATAATTTGGCTTTTGCCAAGAGTATTTTCCTCTTAAAAATATTAATCAATCGTTAAGCTTAGGTTACGTATAATTTAGTGATTCCGAGATAGTTGCTTGACTGTGGGCTGAGTTCTTCAAGTTTTGGCTCCAACAGCAGCAGGTATGTGTTTTTTTTTTGTTTGTTGAAGAAATCCATGTAAAATAAACGACTCCTTGTAATGTAATTACACTTACACAGTGCAATTCCAATTAGAAGAACCATTTTCTAAAATATATTTTTCATTCACAGAAAAAGAGACACATGTTATTCATTTTAAAATCCTTATTACTAGCACTAGGTCAGTATCAAGTAATTCAACTTCCACAACCATTTTAGGCCTGGTTTTTTTATATAGACTCTTGATCACTTAACTTTAGGCAAGGATGACATAATTAAGTATAAGTTAACACATTAACCTTTGGATAGTCAAAAACATATGCAGTTATACCCAAAGCATCAATACAAATAGGTATAAAGTTCTGTACTCAAAACATTTCAAGTATATACAGAAAGTTGAACCATTTAAACGTATAATGTATAATGTATGCTATTTTCCTTTCTTCAAATCTGCTTTGTGGAGCTACAAATATGTCCTGTTTATTTGGTATACCGATTACAGAAAACATCTCTACGTAGTATTAACTGACAGAGTTGGCTCTCTATAGGTCTGTTCTCACAGCAATCACAAACCAGTCAGAGCGCTTTTGATTGGTGCAAATCGCCAACAACCAGTTTTCTCACAATTTTCAACCAATGAAATTTGCTATGACTGTAATCCTTTAATCCTGTAATGTTCCAATAGCAAGCGGTAAAACCGATGAAGCTATCGTTTTGTCTGTAGAGATATTGTTCACATTGTTTTATGGACTATAATGTATCATTCTTGCTGCACTATTTTTTAGCTCTTTGTCTAATCGGGTTTTAAACGTTTTTATGGTAGGAGCCGTTACTGTGTTTCCCGATAAAGCATTCCACAAGTAAACAATCCGATTAGTAAGGTAATTTTTACATTGTAGTTTTGCAGCTTTTTCTTTGTCTAGTTTTTTAGAATGTCCTCAAAGTTGCTGATTTTGATTTTGATGGAAGATATTTTCAATGGCACAGTTATAATATCCACTTGTAATCTTAAAAGTTTCTATCAAGTCCCCTCTATGCCTTCTTTCTTTTAGAGTTGTTATCTGAAATCTTGTTAACCTTTCAGTGTATGGTAGATTTTGCAGTTCTGGTGGTATCTTTGTTACTCTCCTTTGAATTTTTTCCAGCATCTCAATATCCTTGATATAGTAAAGGGTTCCACACTGTGAATGCATACTCCAGTTTTGGCCTGATGTAACTTTTGTATAACTTAGTTATCATTTCGATTGAGTGATCTCTAAATGCATGTTTAATAAGATAGACAAAAGAGTTCGCTTTTTTGGCTATTTTCACTATTTTCACAATGTGGCTTTCCCATTTGAGGTCTGATGTGACAATGACTCCAAGATCATTTTGCTCTGCCACAGTCGACAGAATAGTGTTATTTAAAGAGTAGTCCTGATTTGGGTTATTTGGGCCAATTCTTAGTACCGTGCATTTTGACTCATTCATCTTCATTCCCCACAATCTAGACCACTCTTCAACTTTTCTCAAGTCTTCTTGAAGTAGTACTGCACTAAGTATTGGGTTTGCATAGAGTTTGCCATCATCAGCAAAATTTTTCATTTTTGTATCTATGTGGTTAACAAGATCAAAAAGATAGGAAGTAAAGAGCAGCGGTCCAAGCACAGAGCCCTGCACAACTCTGCTACTAACTAAATGTTTGCTTGACATTTCTCCATTTACTCTTACTTGGTAGTATCGTTCATCCAGTAGATCAACTATCAAAGACAAAAGCCGCCCTCGCACTCCATAATGTTCCAACTTTCCGAGCAACAGGTCATGTGGGACTTTGTCAAATGCCTTCTCATAGTCCAAGTAAATTATATCTGTCGGCTGGGAGTTATCGTGTCCAATCATTCAGACATTCTAATAGGTTTGTTGAGGTTGAACGTTTTGAGAGAAACCCATGTTGAGACAATGGTATTAAGTTATTTTCAAAAAAGAAATTTGTTACTTCTTTTGCCATTATTTTCTCCATACATTTCAATGGGTTACAGGTAAGGCTAATTGGACGGTAGTATTCTGGCTGATGTCTGTTGCCTTTCTTAAAAAGTGGAGTAACAATTGACAGCTTCCACTGCTCTGGTACTCTTCCTAGCTCCATACACTCCTGCATAGCATCCGCGAGTCGTGAACCAACTGAATCACTGCAGTTCTGTAGCAATATTGTTGGAAAACCATCTGGTCCAGGACTTGAGTCTTTTTTCATGTTTTTTAAAGTTTCTTTGACCTTTTCTTCTGTGAACTGCACAGTGCTAATCGCGTTCTGTACTCCGGTACTCACAGGAAGTTGGGGAAGGGGACGATTTTGACGTGGAGTGAAGGATTTGTTAAATTGTTCAGCAAATTTTTCTGCCATGGATTTAGAGTTTAAGATATCTTGCGTAATAGGGTCCTTGAGTGTAATTGTAGTCACCTTACAGTTTAGGTTTCTGCTTATATACTTGTATATTCTTTTAGGTGAATCTGATTTTACTAGATCATGTTCATATGTTTTTATAGTCTTTTCGAGCTTTAGTTTAAGAGCATTGTTTTGTAACATGCAGGCCTGGTAGTTCTCTTCTGTTCTGTTTTTTCTGTATTCATCCCACAATTTACGCTTTCTATCAATTTCTCTAAATAGATTTTGTGATTTTGGGTTATCCATGGCTTTTGCTGGTTCATTTTTGTAGACCTCAATGGAATATGCATCCTAACTGCTTCATTCAAAACTGTCTCAAAGTTTTCGAAGTTATTTTGCTCTCTGTTGGGTTGTTGTTGTCTGATAAAGTTGTTTATTTTATCATATTTGGCAGTATGAAAGTTTCTTTTCAACACTTTTTTTGTTGGTTTGGGTGGGAGTTTTAATTGTGTTTTTGCGGTGATTATGACATGATCACTACGCCCTATAGGTGCTTCAGATTTAAGGTCAAATACACTTTTAGGATCACTGCATAAAAACAAATCCAACAATGAGCTCTGATCGTTCCTATATCGTGTTGCAAATTTGATAAGTTGATGAATGTTGCTATTACAATACATGTCTACTGGTTTGTGATTTTTGTGAGTACAGACTTTATGATAGCCAGGGTTGGCAAAAACCTGGACTGGGACTTTGTAACAGATAGAGGTCCTTATTCCCTTCGCTATAACACTTGCTCTTCTTCTCGCTTTTCAAAATCAATAGAGAGGGGATGTCAATAGCGATAGAGAAAATATCTCTATTCACTAGGATTTTAAAAACTTCTATTGGGTTTTTGTAGGGTTTTTGTGTTTACTTAGCTAGACGAAATTATATATTTGTTTCAACAGTTTTTCACCTGAGAAGCTTCAAAATTGAATTTATGGAACATTGAAAACTCGATTGAACATTTCAAAAATGACACTGAGACAGTTTTTGCCTCACAGCTCCATTAATTTTCATGCAATTTCAATGTAATTGAGCTCTAACTAAAGCCAATTAAATTCCCTACAAAAATATTAAGTAAGATTTTAATTTGGATTCGAGTTTGGATTCAACAGTTTGGCACCTAAGAAGCTTCAAAATTGAAATTATCAAACATTGGAAATTTTCCAAAAATGAAAATGAGAAAGTTTTGGCCTCTCAGCTCCGTTAATTTTCATCCGATTTCAATGTAAGTTAGCTCTAATTGAAGTCACTTAAATTCTCTACAAACCTATCAATAAAGATGTCAATTTGATTCCAACAGTTTTGCATCTAAAAATTTTCCAAAAATGTCACAGACAGTTTTTGCCTCACAGCTCCGTAAATTTTTATCTGATTTCAATGTACCTAATTAAGCTCTAATAAAAGCCAATTAAATTCTCCACAAACCTATTAATTGAGATTTCAATTTCGTTTCAAGTTTCAACAGTTTTGCACCTGAGAAGCTTCAAAATTGAAATTATCGAACATTGAAAAATTTCCAACAATGACACTGAGGTAGTTTTTGCCTCACAGTTCCGTCCATTTTCATCCCATTTCAATGTAATTCGGCTCTAATGAAAGCTAATTATATCCTGTATAAACCTATTAATTGAGATTTCAAGTTGGTTCCAACACTTTTGCACCTGACAAGTTTCAAAATTGAAATTATCGAACATTGAAAATTTTCCAACAATGACACTGAGGCAGTTTTTGCCTCACAGTTCCGTCCATTTTCATCCCATTTCAATGTAATTCGGCTCTAATGAAAGCTAATTAAATCCTGTATAAACCTATTAATTGAGATTTCAAGTTGGTTTCAACACTTTTGCACCTGACAAGCTTTAAAATTGAAATTATCAAACATTGAAAATTTTCCAAAATTGACACTTATACAGTTTTTGTCTCACAGCTCCGTCAATTTTCATCCGATTTCAATGTAATTAAGCTCTAATTAAAGCCAATAAAATTTTATACAGACCTATTAATTGAGATTTTAATTTGGTTCAAATTCCCTGCAAATTCCTACAAAATGCTTCTCACAAATTCCCTAAAAATCCCCATACGTTCAATTCGGAGCTTACTCTTCCATTTCCTTCTGAAAGTGGCTAGCAATACGTATACTTCCTAACAACCATTTACTAGTTTTTTCACTTGATTCTCGAAAATTGACGATTTTCCCAAAAGTCCTTTACTTTATAAGAATAATCCTTTAAATTTGCCTCAGCTGCTTTGGTTTCTTTATTTTTGTCATTCTAATCATAAAGTATCTGGAAATAACCAAAGTAGGCTTTCTGTAATATGTGTATGAGACTGAACAATACTGGCAAGACAAAAATTACAAATTTGAAACAGAAAATCTAAATATGTGAAACAGTAGTAGATGGGGATGGCAACACTGACACTAGATTTGTTAACCTAAATGCAAGGAGTCTCCGCCGCAAATCTCTTGAACTGGAATTTTTTCCATACTGGCAGAAATACCCAGAAATCCTGTGTATGACAGAAAGTTAGCTCACACACGACAAGGCCTCTCAATTTGTACTTCGCAACTACAGAATCTTGAAAAATTATTAGTGTTTTTAACTAATAAAAGGCTACTGTTGTTTATATCTGGTGATTTTAATTATGGCTTCAAGTGTAAGACCAAGAAAATTACATGTGTATCAAGAACATTTTCAGCTCTTATGGTCTTTCACAATCCATCTTTGAAGCGTCAAGGATCCAGGGTGTGTCTTGCATTGTACTAGATACAACTGTAATATAACCTTGACAAGGACATTGGATCTGACTTTTCCAGATCACAGAGCACAAGTGTTGAATTTTAATTCGGGCAAAAGTGAGTGAATAACCTGAAGCGCAAATCTCGATGCTTCTCGCAAGAAAATATCAACTTTTTCAATTATTTATTATCAAAAGAAAAATGGCTTATAGACCTCCATCCACCTGAACTGGAGGACAAGTTTACTTACTTTTTTTCAAATTTTAATGAACCATTTAGCATTTCCCCTAAGAAAAGAGAGAAGCAATCCCAATAGGAAAAAACAAAATTCTTGGATAACCTCAGGCAAAAAAGTTCTATAACTTCAAAAGGTTATTAACATCGGACAACATCAACAGGACGGTTTGGGAGATCATCAACTCTCATACAAATAACCCAAAGAACATTAAAAAGCCCCTACCTGAAAATATTGTGGTAAGCGATACTGCAGTTACTGATCTGATAGGCATAGCAAATTCCTTGCACCACTGGGTGACTTAGCGGTTCTTAAAATTATGAAATTGCAGTAAAAAGTCATTAACATATTTGATAAATATCTCTCTTGAACACGGGGTCCTTCTCAAAGGACCTAAAAACGCAGTCGTTGCGTTGTCCCTATCCATAGCAACTTATCTAAGTGATAGAACTCAATGTGTTAAATTATTAAATGGGAGAAGTTCGACATTCTCGGATTGCACAAATGTTAAAAAGTATATTGTACATAATTGAATAAAGTATAGACTAAACTAAACTAGAAACAAGGTGACAACAAGTGGCCAAATTCCTGTCCATTGGGTTTCTACACCATTTCAACCTCAATTTCGGAAAAAGTAACTTTTATTTAGGAAAATGTAAAGTCATTTTCGGAAAAAGTCAAATCAATTTCAGAATAAGTAAAGTTAATTTCGGAAAAAGTAAATTCAAATTCGGAAAAAGTAAATTCAAATTCGGAAAAAGCGAATTCAAATTCGGAAAAAGTACATTCAATTACGGAGAAATTAATGTTATTTTTCATAGGATAATTTGAATCGATTGAGTCATTTATCTATTTAGAAAATCAGAAAATTTGCCCATATTATATTATAAGTCTACAAATTGTTCATTATTTTATTCACTCAATAGTGACATGTGTTTCGTTCATACGAGCATCATCAGACCTAAAAAATAATATAGAGAGCCTAATTAAAGTACAAAGTACACAGGTCTTGGTTGGAATCGAACCCATCAGGGTACCGGTTGGACTCGAGGTTTACAAAGAGTGAAAAAAAAAAGTGTACCGGACTTTGAGGGGTGATTATGGAAACTATATACTCTTTCAGAACTCTTGCGACTTTTTTTCTATCACCATTCGCCATTCGCTGTGGCATCGACATGAATGCAACAATACCAAATTTCAAGGAAAATAGTTTGCCTTTGTTATTGAAAATAAATAAAATCCATTAATTTCATCTACTGTTTGAAGCGCTGTAACTTCTGCATGGAGCATCTTAGGGCATATGTTCATGGAACCTAATTAAAGTTAAGTACACTGACTGGAGGTTTATTAGTTACTGCTAAATTTACTTTTCATCAACTCAAATTATTCAAAAAAATAACATCACTTTCTCCGTAATTGAATGTAATTTTCCGAATTTGAATGTACTTTTTCCGAATTTGAATTTACTTTGTCTGAATTTGAATTTACTTTTTCCGAAATTAACTTTACTTTTTCTGAAATTGATTTTACTTTTTCCGAAAATGACTTTACATTTTCCTAAATAAAAGTTACTTTTTCCGAAATTGAGGTTGAAATGGTGTAGACTAGAATTTTTAATTATTGTACTATTTTCTAGTGGTCGTAAGATAATGGCAAGAACAAAGACACAAGCGGCACATACAAAAGTCGCAAAAAAAAAGGATTTGGAGGAAATTGTCAAACAAAAAATTGCTGCAATGGGTAAAGTGAAAATATCAAACAAAACACAGCAATAATTCTTTTGCATTTTAATTGTAGAAAAACAAATGCTAGAAGTGTTAGATAAAAAGAAAGAAGAAGATATGCAGGAGCTGGAGTTGCTTTTGCTCAGCAAGAAATGTAAATTTCCAAAAAAGCTATGGCTCAAAACTATTGGCGAAATTGTAAGAGAATTATTAACTATTTAAATTGTTATCTACGTAAATGTTTTGTTATTTAGGAAAATTCAGAAGTTGACAACAGCGAATTGTCCGTCACTACAGTAGATCATACCACATCAGTCTTTGAGTCATCTCAAGCTACTCGTTCAATGAGAAAGAAAACCTCTCAAAGTGCTACTCGAAATCGCAGAAGTGTATCAGCATCTGTTGGAGATGAGGGTAAGAAATGTTACCTAAATAATAATATTAACATGGGATTCATTGTTACATAATCACTCAGTCACAGCAAATAATTGGTACCTAAATCATACTAACAAATCTTATTTCAACCCTTTTTTGCTTTTATCATCATTTTGGTTGTGGACCTCTCATTCGTACAGGTTATTCAACATGTGACAGTGGTCGTGCTACTAATTCAGGTGGCCAGAAACAATCCGCAAGGCAATCGAGGTCCAGGACTAAGACTGCACAAGTGCGAGTATCCAGATCTCTGTCAAAAACTGCCAAATCTAAAAGTAGTGCCTATAAGACTCCTGTTAATAAAGCTCCCATACCTAAAACTGGAACTATTACTCCAAAGGTACAACTTTGATTTGTTTTTTTTTTTTAAGTTTTTTATACATTTTTGGATTTCAGTGCAAAGTTGGTACACCTTTGATGTACGTACGTCGACCAAAGATAGGTGAAATGGCTTGGTCGCACCAAGGTAAATTCAATATATTTTTAGTCTACCTAATGTAAATATTGCTGTTTTCTTTTAGGTTCTCCATTAATGGTAACCAGTACTGTGGTTAATGAAGAGTCCGCAAACGTTAACATTCCAGTTGGCGACCAGATTCTTTCTTTGTTGCCCACAAGAGGACCAATGGAGGGGATGGAGCTTCCTCCTATAGAGGACCATACAGTACGGCAATTGGTAACCTTGAGGGATAATTTAATCACGTTTTGTAATCAATTCAAATGAGATTAATATAGGTATTTAGGTTAATTATTGTAAGTTATTTTTGTATTTGGAATATTTTGTATTAGAGGACATTTTTTCATATTTTGTGTAAGTTGCATTGCATTTTTTTTTGTATTCATGTACTATTTGCTTGTATTTTTATAATATTTCTTCTAGTTTGTAAAGTCTGGCAATAAATCCTCAAAATATGGATGAATTTTATTACTACAAGGAAACTGGATTGTACACTGATAGTAGCTTTGTTTGGATTGGAAAAAGGATGGTTCTAGGACAGATCAAAAAAATCGCACAATTTATTATTGAAGAACTGTGCTTTTTCCAAACCCGAACAAAGCTATTTACTATATTGGGCCGATGTGTGATCCCTGAGGCACACCAGATGGTACTGACTGAAAATTCATGTGAGAGTACACCGCACATGTTTACACATTTTTGGCGCCCAGTTAAGTAGGAGCGCGTCCAAGGTCAAGAAGTATTCACTAAAATGTTCACTGAAACTCATTTCCATACCAGAAGTTCATATAAATTTACATGCACGGACTATACAGGGTGTTCCAGGGAAAACAGTCCACCCCGATTTAATGGATTTGGAATGAAAATCCGGAAAAACGCTCGGACACGTCGATTTTTGATTTTAGGGGGAACTATTTCTCAGTTTTTTCCATCCCCGTAGCTTCAACCCCCCCCCAGCTAAGGGGAGAACAGCCCCCCAAATTTAGAAATGACAGCTTGTCAAAATCTTGAAAATAGACTATTGTTTTAGTTGGAGTAAAAGTGATACCTCCCTTAATCAAAATACTTTTGGAAAATGGAGTTTTTTATTATTATTATTAATTAGTTGTACACGTGAATTGTAAATTCTAAGTATTTTTATTAAAGGAAATCAGTACCCTATCTCCTATTCAAATTTGGGGGGTTGTTCTTCCCCTAGCTAGGGGGTTGAAAAAAACTGAAAATAGTTCACCCTCAAATCAAAAATTGACGTATCCGAGCGTTTTTCCCAGGGTTTTTCCAGATTTTCTTTTCAAATTGAATAAATCGGGGTGGACTGTTTTCCCTGGGACACCCTGTATACACAGCTTGTGCAAAGTGTCCTAACTAGAAATTTTAAGTTGGGCGCTGTAAACCACTTTTAAATTTGGATACCCTGTATAAATATTACTCCCTTTGTAAAATTTTGTAAAAGCCAGGTTGACACGGTTCAAGTACCCTTGGACACTGCGCGCGTTCATCTAAGTCCAGTTGGATAATTTCCAACATCCAAGTAAAGCCAGGTTGACAAGGTCCTTTTGAACTTGGATCATGTAAGTTGGCAGCACTGTCTGACTTAAAAGTAGGCTGGATGCCAACTTACTTGGTCCAAGAGCACTTGGACCATGTCAACCTGGCTTAAAGGGGGTGTGACCCAAAAATGAATGTTTTAGTGCAAAAAAATCTAAGAATAAATATTTGAACCGCATCTTGCTATGATGGTTCGTTTTCGAGTTAGGGTGGTTTAAAGTTACAACTAGGGTCTTGTGACGTCACACCGAATTATCAGGCACAGTATTAACACGTGTAAAATGTGTTTATTTTTTTAAAGATAAAAGTCAAAATGACAATATGTTGGCAATACAATGTAAAATTGTCAATGCTTCCAAATTTATTATATAGAAAAGGCTTGTGTTGCCAACATAGTTACTAAATTTTTGACTTGGGGAATTATCTTTAAAAAAAAAACAGACTTTAAGAATTTTCCAAAACAAAAGACAATAATTTCCTATAGAGCGAATTGTAACCACTATTAAGGTATAGGGTACGGTTCACTGACGACTGAATGAACAGAAGACTGCGATTGTGACATCACAAGTTCCTGCATAATTTATCTTCACAACGAATTTTCTCGGAGACTATTTTGAATATAGGACTGCGGTTTTCACGAGAGATCTTAGAATTTTTTTCTTGATTTAAGTAGCCTAAGTCGTTTTTTAGGGTTACACCCCCTAGACTAAACCACTTTTGTATTAAAATACTGGGAGTCCGGAATAACTTGGAGTGCATGGGGATTTTCGAAACCATTGAAGATACAAGGTGGCCCAAATGGGGAAAAAGTTGCGCGATCAAGTGCTTACAAATAATCTGACATTAATAACTTCTTTGAACTCGGAATAGCAACAAATATACAGGGCAAAAAAGAAAAAAGTGTGTATCCATGAATTTTGTAATTCAAATTGCCCCATGTAGGTACTTCAAGTTATCCCGGACACCCTGTATAGTGAGTATCCCAGTACCTATGTAATTACAACAGAAGTAGGTACTTGTTACTTGAAATGTTTCCCCAATCTCTTCATCTCAACTCAAAGGGATGGGAAGGAAACTAGCTCAATTAATTTTTTAGGATAATGTCAATTTTTTCCATTTTTATGCTCAAGAACTGGACGAGAAACAAAGCATTAGTTTGATGAAAAAAAGGATTTTCCTTAAAAGTAATCCTCAGAAAGCTGACATAAGATTTTGCTTTGATTGAGTAGGTAGGTACCAGATAAATTGACGATAATTCATCAGAAATATGAAAACTATTTCTGGATAACTATTGGATAGTTTTAATATTAAACGTCAATTTATGAGCGAGATACAAAAAAATGAACCCCCCACTCCGAGGCTCAAATTACTTGAAATTTTGATTGGTGCAAACCGCATTTTGATATCTTCAACCGTTTAGCCGCTAGAGGGCGATTCTCGATTTTGAGCAATACTGTGAAATCTTCATAACTTTTTTGTTTATAAAAATAATTGATTTCTGTAAAAACTTCCTAAAGGCACTTTTTCAAGCAGAATTCAGTGACGTTTTCAGTTTTTGGGCCTCGATTTCAAGACATTGACCAAAATCCGATTTTTTTCAAGAGCCGGTAATAAACAAAATTTGCACTTTTACCGGCTCTTGATTGTCTGAAATTTCCGAGGGACTCAAGAGCCGGTATTAAATAAAATTTGAACTTTTACTGGCTTTTGATTCTTGATTTTCTGGAAAAATTATTCAGCAACTCAAGAGCCGGTGATAATCAGAAATTTGACTATTAGCGGCTTTGATTGTCTAGAAAAATCACTGAGCGATTCAACAGCCGGTAATAATCAAAATTTGGGTTTCTAAGTGAAATTAGGTGCTCCAGTAGAAAATTTCCAGCTAATCAAGAGCCAATAATATTATCAAAATTTGAACTATTACTGGCTCTTGATTGTTTAGAAAAATTCCTGGAGCGACTCAATAGCCGGTAATAATCAAAATTTGAACTGGCTCTTGATTGTCTAGAAAAATTACCCAGCAACTCAAGAGCCGGTAATAATCAAAATTTGATCTTTTACCGACTCTTGATTGTCTAGAGAATTTCCCTAGCAACTCAAGAGCCGGTAATAATCGAATTTTGAACTATTATTGGCTCTTGATTGTCTAGAGAAATTCCCTATAGCTACTCAAGAGCCGGTAATAATCAAAATTTGAACTATTACCGGCTCTTGATTGTCTAGAGAAATTCCCTAGCATCTCAACAGCCGGAAATAATCAAAATTTGAATTATTAATCAGCTCTTGGTGTCTGATGTCTAAAAAAATTACCTTACTCTTACCTACCGGCTCTTGATTGTCTAGAGTCTAGAAACATTACCGAGCGACTCACCCAGAGATAGCACAAATGCATACTAGCAATGTCTTGGGGATATCCGAGTCGGACATTATATAGGTCTCGAGTATGTGTTTTGAAAGTCCTTCATCTTGCTTGGGTCATATCTAGGATATTACAAAACCTCTCGTACTGAAGTACCTTCTGACTCCTGAAAAGAAGTGCCATGGACGTTACAATAAGAGGAAATCCCAAGGTTTTGCGTAAATAAAACTCTTATTACGAACGTTCAAAGAGAACTCCTAGGCATATTAAGAATAGAACATTCAAGGATGAAGTCCAAAAAAAACATACATGTGACATTTAAAGGGGAATTCCCAGTAATGTCCAAGAAGAACTCCTAGGGATATTCAAGGAGAATTCCCAGGGACGTTTGGATGGACATAGGATTTAGAACGAAAGTCCTCAGAATCTGACAAAGGCTGAGTTCGGCTTTACATTCTGTAAACTCTGAGCGCGCTCGAAACGATAAGATCTTGTTCGTTTTAGCTCGCAGAGTGTTCTCTTTTGCGTTGGGCTTATGACCGCGTATCACGTCACGGTGTCCATGCTCATACCGTTCCGCTCCGTGGAATGCAAAGCCGAACTCAGCCAAAGGTACCTATATTCCTCTAGATGACTAGTCATTCACGGACGTCTTGCGAAAGTTCCGAAATGCTCATCAGACCTATTGGAGCTCTGGAGCTGGAACGGTCGTACTCAGAAATATCCAAAACGTACCTACATTTAGCGAATTTAAATTGCTGTAGAACTTTAAACCAATAAGCATTATTCAAAACAGTTCAAATCTAAATTTGAATTTCCAGGAGCATTTTGGAACAATTTAGGAATTTCAGAGTTATTTCTGATTCAGGAACAAAATTATTAGGATTAGGATACAATTTAGAACTGGAAATCTTTTAGAACTCGTTTGAAACAATTTCGTGTTCGGAGCTTCAATATAGGGCTCCAAAATACTTAAAATTTGCCAGAACAACTTAAAAATTACTGAACATTTTCTAAAATGCTGCAGAACTCTTCAAACCAAGTTAGAACACTTTAGAACTTCAATAAGCCATTTAGAACGAAACTTTCAAACCACTTTCCAGCAGCATTTTGAAAGGCTGCAGAACAGCGCGTGGCAGTGGCGGATCCAGGGGGGGGCGGGGCACTGGGAGCAACTGCCCCCCCCCCCCCCCCCCGAGAATTTTTCATGTTATGAAAAAATCTCTAGAAAGTATCCTCCGCACGCACAAAAAATAAATTCTTTTGAATAGTAACATTTTCTCTCAGGCCTTTGAGATTATTTCAACGGATTGGGTGATTCTGACTGCCTTTCGGTTGTAATTTGATGACGGCTAATGATTTTGGTGATTGATGCAGTATAGAATTGAAAATTTTGATATTTCGATATCTATGGTTAACCTATGTATTGAATTTTTTCTCTTAGAATAAGTCTGTAATACTATATTCCTTCGCAAAAAGCAGGTATTTTATACCTAAGCACAGGGTCATTTTGTTATTGTTTCCCACCTCTCTTAAGTTTTTTGTGTCAGTGTGTCAAGGTTCCTAAAGTTAATAGGTTGCTTAATAATGGGTAACTTTTAATGACGCATCTGGGGTGCCTTATGGAGATTTGCATTAGGATGAGGCATCCCAGATGACGTCATACAGTTATCAGGCAACCTACCTCTCTCATAAAACCTTGCCAGTGTGTATAGAAAAAATGTAAATAAAAAAGGTGTATAGCTTGTATTGTTGAATATTCGGATTCCACGTAAAATTCTGAGCAGATTTCATGTAATATACACTATAAAGTCTGTTTTTTTTTAAAGATAATTCCTCAAGTCAAAAATTTAGTAACTATGTTGGCAACACAAGGCTTTTCTACATAAAAAATTTGAAAGCGGTACATTCAGGCGGTCCCAGCGGCTTAAGCAAGCCATTCAGCAGGGCCTTTATTCTCAAAACCAAGGAACAGCGTTCTCATAAGAACGATTGCTCTGTCATTGTCAGTGTTATGCCAGACGACAAAAACAGAACCTTCGTACCAATGAGAACGCTGCTTCCCTGTTTCGAGAATAAAGTTCCTGCTAAGTGGCTGAACTAAGGCCGGATTTTCATGCATCCGTTTTCCGACGAAATATGTCCGAAAAATCTTCTATTTTGACATATATTTATACGATAGAATGTTTTTCGGACATCTTTCGTCGGAAAAACGGATGCATGAAAATTAAGCTTAAGCCGCTGGCACCGCCTGAATGCACTCATTGACAATTTCACATTGTATTGCCAACATAATGTCATTTTGACCAACTATCAATATTTCCAAAACAGTTGAACTTAGGTATAGTTTATATCACATGAAATCTGCTCAGAGCTTTACGTAGAATCCGAATATTCAATACTTAATATACAGGGTGTACAATTTAAAAAAATATACCTATATTTTTTCGTTTTTTTGAACTTTCTGCAACACCGGTATAAACAAAACTATGTTTTCTGGAAACTATTCTTCAATCTCAACCTATACACTTTTCCTATATACCTTTTTTTATACACAGTGGCACAAAAAAGTTAAGGGGTGGGAAAATTTTAAAAATAGCCTGGGACAACCAAATATTGATACTAAATATCGTTAATAGAGGGCCCAAAAAAAAGGCGTGGTACCCTAAAATTTTTCGCCTTTGGCGATTAGCCTCCGGCGGCTACCAAATGACCACGTTCTTAGGTTAAGTGCCCCCCCCCCCCCCCCGAAAAGCACCTCTGGATCCGCCACTGGCGCGTGGAATAGACAAAAATTGAAAGTTATAGCTCTGTTCCAACCGACATGAGAACTGTTATTTCCAGTTGCCCACCTAGAACTTTTATCCTACTTTACAAATGAATCGACTGGAAATTACCGTTCTAGAACGGTTCTTATGTCGGTTGGAACAGAGCTATCATCATGAGTAATAATATCGTAATGAAATATTAGTCCTGAAGACGTCAATTAATTGTTCATGCATAGCTTACATTCCAAACAAATCCAATTTTTAGCCAATTTTGTTATTTTTTTTAACGTTGACAACGTTGTACATTTAATATGTCTCCATAGAAGGCATAAAAGATCATACATACAGTAGTTGTGGTAGTTCTGTGATTTCGCTGAATTGTACAGCATTTTGAAAGTCTGTTCAGCATTTGATCTTGTACAGCAACGCCGTTATTGTTCAGCAACATTTACATCATACAGGGTGCCCCAAAATTAGAGGTTAATATTTTAACTGCGGATTCTACCATCAGTTTTGGTAGATCGGTGTACTCGAAATTCCCCATACAAGCGCCAAAAATTCCCTAGATCGGTATAAAAATCCCTAGTTTCAGAATATATTCGATTTCTAGTACGGGGAATCCCGCATTCGAACCTGAAACCATTTAAAACTGTCCAACAAGTACAAGTAGATGGTAAAATCTGAAAACAACAATGGGACGACATTGTGTTCAGTACAAAATATTTGTTTCGTATCTTTCCTATTTGTACGTGTTAGAGAAAGATACTCGATCTATGCAAGCAACCTGCAATAGAGATTGTTTTTCTTTTCTCTCTTTAACACTTTGTACTAAGCGGTATAAACGGTGTATTTTCATTATGATATTGTTATTTTTTATAAATAAAAAGCATATGTACAAAAAATGCTAAATTAATTTCCCATTTTGCGCTAAAATATTACAGGAATAGGTATAAATCGAAAAATCCGTAAATCTGGCATAAATTTCCCTTTTTCCCTAATTACTGAAAATTTCCCTAAATCTAGGGAAAAATTCCCTAATATACCATCACTGGATTCTACATCTGAAATTAAGAGCAAAAGTTCCTATAAACATGGGTCTAGTCCCGAATAATGAATGAAAATAGACCATACTATTCCCTTTTTAAACCCCTACTATTAAAAGTGGATTAACGAAGTACTATTACCACTCAATAGCAATATCACAACAAAAAACAATAATACACAAAAGCTATTCCGGAATTATTCACAGCCTCAAGCAGCAAGAGAAACACGCGACTTTGAATTTTGAATCCAATAGCCGGGATCCACGATAAATCCCGGCGGTCGTTGATGACTTCATTGAAAACGTGTCGTAACCGGAATTCGTATGAATACCGGTGCCGGGAGGCTAGACACAGCGAATAATAAATTATTGTTGTTTGGTCTAGGACTAGGTTCACGTGTTATTAGAAACAAATACCAGTAATTATTAGAAATAATTAATTATGAAAAGAATCTCACATAACCATGCAAGAAGGGGCTTCTACTTTCTACAGTGCCTCTATACAAGACAGTGGCGACAATAGCGCCTAAGCTCCGCCCATCCGCCATGTTTTGGCAAACTCATTCAATAATGTATTTGTTCTTTCTTTTCTTTCTGTTCTAATTTTTTCTCACAAAATAGTCAATACCAGGCACAAATAACAAAAACAAAAATATATTAACACAAAATTGCATAAATCTCCATAGAATTAAACGGTAAACACAAATAACTTTCGACAAAACATAGCCGATATTCTGCAGCCAATCAGAAATGAGTCCCTCTATTGTCGCCACCAATGAGTCGCCACTGTCTTGTATAGAGGCACCTGTACTACTTTCAGGCAGTCTAAAAAAAAAAATGAAAATATCGTATCGATATATTTTTTTCATATTGATATCGATATGAAAAAGAAGTAGGTAGATGTTTTGAAAGAAACCGATACGACAGCTATGAATATCGATAGGTTTCCCTTTCATGTAAGTACCTGGATTTTTCTTGAAATTTCCTAAACCTAGGGAAAACCACTTTGCCGCACGCAATACGCATGATAAAATGAATGATGCAACATTGCCATGTTTTTTAAAATTTTGCCAAAATACGAATTACCTTGACCTAATGTCCTAATGCTGGACTTGAAAACAAGTTTGTTAAAATAGGAAATGTTAGTGCAAAGTAGTTACTTGATGTTTTATTCGTCCAATAATTTTGTTAAACAGTCCAAATTCAAAGAAATGTTGCCGAAATTCAAATGCCCCGCCGCCGGTGGTAGAAGTAGGTAAACAGTGGCGCGGACGTCTATCGAAATGCGTGAAAACCGAAAATCACAAGCCATCGAAAATGGCAAGATGGAGTCGTATCGACGTTTGAAGTGCGGTTTGTACACAAAATCGTATGAAACGGAGCCAATGTAAATAGTTTTAAGTAAACGGTAACGTCGTTAAAAGTTCGACGGTGTGAAAAGTGCAAAAAGATTAACGGAAAAGCGTACGTTTTAACGGCAAAATCTTGGTACACAGATTCCGATTGCTCATGGTAAGTGCCTAAGCATCCCCGTTTTCGTTTATTTAGCATGGAGTATTTACATCAAAGTAGGCTGATGCCATAGGGATTTTCATAGAAAACGCTTATTAATTAAGATTTTCCCCATTATTTATTGGCAGAAACTAGAAGCCTAAAATTAATTTTTCCCTCGGCTAGGATTGGCTAAAGGGACATCAACATTTCGATGAAAGATATCACCTGATTGGTTGTATTCGACGTCTAAATGCCGAACCGTATTATTTTAACCAATTAAATCGGTTCTTCCTATGTGTAATTGCCGAAATCGGAAGGAAAATGTCGCCGAAAAGTCGATCATGAGGCACAGGACGCCTAAAAGGCACCAAATTACCATTTGTCTCGATTCGAGAAAAAAACAAATGTCCGCCGTTCGTGCATATTTTATTTTGCTAATTTCCGATTTTCAAACGAATAAATACAGCTTGGAACTGCTGAATTAAAAGAATGGCGTCGTCAAAGTTCATTGTTCTCTCGGTGGCTTTAATTGCTTATGTGTATCTATGCTGAACCTTGTTTTATTTTTATGTACCTAGTATTGATATTTTTACATGGTGAAAGAATAATATGCAATTTTCTTTTCCTGGCAAATTGTTAATAAAAATATTTAAAAAAACAAACAAACATTTTATTATATTTCTAGGGAGTGTACTATATAATTTATTTCCTTATTTCAACCCAGGCAAAGTGACATTTTAATGTAAAGTAATGCCTGGTGTAACAAAACCGAACTATGGTACCTAATATTTTTATATTAAAACATTTTTTACAGTACCTATGTAATTAGTCAGCTTTTGTTATCTGAAAATAAATAGGATCTATTTTTAGATGTAGGACATTATTTATTTATCAGAAATTTTGTTGTCTTCAACGTTTTATTATAATATTTTTTTATAAGAATATGTGAACTTTCAAGAACTGTGTGTAAACTACAATTTTCAATATCCAGAGGAGTAGGTATTGTCATGCTTTTAATTGTTATTGGATTACATAGGTATTTAAGTCTGAATGAATCTAGATTGTTATCTGGTTTTATTAAATTTATTTGAATCTAAATGAAATGTCAGGATTATGCATCCGCCGCCCTGGATTATTGATTTTATTTTGGTAAAAAATAATGGAGGATCTAATCAAATATGTAGGCCTTGAAGGTAAGTTTCATTATTTTAGGCATTTCTCTGAAATACTTTTATACTTGTTTTCTCAATTTTGTCTATTGTATTACGGGTTAGTCCCAACATATTTAGGTGTATATCCACAGATTTCCTCAAATTACCTGGAATTCCTCTGAGATTTTTCCAGATTTCCCAAGATTTTGCAAGATTTTCCTAATTTTTCATGTATTTCATAGAATATGTACACAAGTGCACAACCAGAATACAACTCCTGAGGTCTTCTCCTTGACATAGCATGTGCATCTTCTCTTGATCTATTAAGTACTTTCCTGGAAATATCAGAGCTACATCTATTACAATATGAGGGATGATATTTTTATATCAGTGGAAAACCTATAACATGATATCCTCTTAATCAAAAAATTAAGTAAATTCTGAACACGCGCACAGTCACTCAGTAACACTGGCGTAGCCAGGGGGGGGCAAGGGGGCATTTGCCCCCCCCCAAGACCCTTAAATTTTATGAATATTTCTTCAAAATTAAGATAAACAGTCCCAAAAATAGCGTAAAGAAACCTGAAAAAGGGGCGTGGCACCCAAAAATTTCGCGCCTGCGGCGCTTTGCCTCCGGCAGCGGTCGCGGTAGGGCCGCAAAAGACGCTTCCTGCAAATTTGCCCCCCCCAAGACAAAATCCTGGCTACGCCACTGCTCAGTAAGGTTTCCCTCAGATTTCCCCCAGAGATATCCCCAAGGATAGCCCTCACTTCTCCAGTAGATCTCCTCAGATTTCCCCAAATCTCCCTAGTTTTCCTTCAGATTTTCCTGAATCTCTCCCAGAGTTGGCACACACAAAGACCTATTTTGAAAATCCAGTGGGTTTTCGACACAAAAACCCACCATCAATACATATTGACAAAAACCCAATGGGCTTTTCCCCTTTTTGTGTCATAAAATCCATTCATACAGAAATAATTTCTCGAATAATTAAATTATTGACTGCCTTAATTTGGAAAAAAATGTATTGAAAAAACTCATTCCTGCTGTAGTTACCACAGACAGATACACAAATATCAATCAAAAATCTAGGATTATTCTGAGCTATAAATTATATAAAGAATTTTACAGGATATCAATAAACTAAATTATTAAAATAATTTTACTATTCCAGACTCTTGAATTTGATTTAAATGTTCATAATTTAACAAGTAATTTAATAGTCTGGAATAGACAACATTTGGAGTGAAAATCAAAGTAGTAAAGAGAAAAAAACTACTCCACTACACCAACATTCTTGCTCTGCATCTGAGGAATTTAAAACTTGGCTTAAATAATTATGAGCCAATGAAGCTTCCTCTGAAATCTTTCTCTAAATCTGAGGCTCAGAAAAATATAAGCAAAACATAGAATTTGATAGTTAAATGCTCAAAAACTCTGTTTGTCATCTGAGCTGTATTTTGATTGAAATTCGACAAAATCAAAATGGCTGTATTAGGATGAGCCTAGTATCTGAAACTTTCTCTTGAAAATTTCATTTCTAGAATCTTCAAAATCTTGTCCATTTAAAATACACATGACTTTGCTTTGAATCTGAGATATCTGGAAATACATATAAGCAAATCACAGAATCTGAAAATAAATTCAAAGAAAACTAAAGTTAGAATTGATAGCAACAATAAGATAAATTATTGAACTAAGTTTCCTATGCCAGGATCTTGAGTTGGTTTTGAATGTTCTGAGAAAGGATCTTGCTAAAATTGACTTTGAAAGACTCTAAAATTCACATTTTCTAGTTCTGAGAACAAATAGTTGTTGAAACTAAACTCAGATATTCTAAATGATTTCCATGTTTTGATTATGAGCTTGAAATTAGAACAAAATTGACTTGGAAGTCTCACATTATCCACACTTACTATTTCTGAGAAAGAATCTTGCTGAAATCGACTGGAAAGTCTCTAAAATTTACATTTCTTAGTTCTGACAACAAATCGTTGTTAAAACTGAACTCAGACATTCTTAATGATTTGCAGGTTTTAATTATGAGCTTGATATTTGAACAAAATTGACTTGAAAGTCTCAGATTATCAACAGTTACTATTTATAAGAAAGAATCTTGCTGAAATTGACTTGAAAGACTCTGAAACTCACATTTCTTAGTACTGGAAACATCGTTGTTGAAACGGAACACAGACATTCTAAATGATTTCCAGATTTTGATTATGAGGTGAAATTTGAACAAAATTGACTTGAAAGTCTCAGATTATCCACACTTACTATTTCGGAGAAAGATTCTTGCTGAAATTGACTTGCAAGACTCTGAAATTTACATTTCTTAGTTCTGAGAACAAATCGTTGTTGAAACTGAACTCAGACATTCTAAATGATTTCCAGGTTTTAACTATGAGCTTGAAATTTGAACAAAATTGACTTGAAAGTCTCAGAACATTCACACTTTCTAGTTCTGAAAAAATTATCTTACTGAAATTGACTTTGAAAGACTAAAATTTAAATTTTTCTAGTTCTGAGAACAAATCGTTTTTGAAACTGAACTCAGTCAGACATTCTAAATGATTTCTAGGTTTTGATTATAAGCTTGAAATTTGAACAAAATTGACTTGAAAGTCTCAGAACATCCACACTTTCTAGTTCTGGACTGAATGTTCATAATTTATTGGTCTCAAATAGACAACAATTGGAATGAAAAATCAGAGTAGAAAGGAGAATAAAACAACTTCACTACACCAACATTCTTGCTCTGGATCTGAGGAATTCAAAACTTGGCTTCTAGATTAATGAGCCAATGAAGCTTCTTCTCAAATGTTTCTCTGAATCTGAGGCTCAGAAAAAATATGAGCAAATCATAGAATCTTATAGTTAAAGTGTTCAAAAACTCTATCCTTGTCATCTGAGCTCTAAATTTGACAAAATCAAAATAGCTGTAAATAAGATAGGCCTATAGAATCTTAAACTTTTTCTTAAAAATTCCATTTTCAAAGTCTTGTCCATTTAAAATACACATGACATTGTTCTGAATCTGAGATATCTGGAAACATAAAGCAAATCACGATATCTGAAAATAAATTTAAAGAAAACTAAAGTTAGGATTAATTACATCGGATTATTCACATTTGGCTTATCTATATTAAACAAAATAAAAATCCTAGGGAAAAATGGTCAAATTATGTAAATCAAACAATTATTTTAAGATACAGAAGTGGAAATCAAAAGGAACTTTTCTCAAGATAACTATGTATTAGTAGTAACATAACTAAAAAAATTATTTGTGCTTATGAACTAATAAATAAGTACCTATACAATTTTGTCAAGTTGTCACAATATCCTAGAAAAACACAAAAACCCAATAGAAATTTTCAAAAATCCGGGATTCTGTCAACCCAGATTTCATGATTTACACAATTGAAAGCTTTTGAGAAATCACAAAACACCGCTGCAGCCACCTCTCGATCATTCAAGCTGAGGTAGGTATAGTTTTTCCAAGAATGAGAAGATGGCATCATTTGTCCCCTTAGAACTTTGAAAACCAAACTGATTCCAATCAAGAACATGCCTCTTCAAAAAATTTGCTAGTTGCTCCTTAACAATAATTTTCTCCATGATCTTCGAGAAAGTAGGTACTCAATAGCGAAATAGGTCGATAATTCGATGGATCTGAACTGTGTATATGTAGGAGTCTCAGTAAGAACATAAGATTTCCCATTACTACTCCCAAAATTCCACAAATAATTTAGCAATTATTCCTCACTAGTTCCTCCTGAGGTTAATCCCGAGATTATGGTAAAAGTTACAAGCTTAAAAATTGGTTGATCCCACTTTAAACCTAAGATTTGCCAAAAGCCAGTGGTAAAAGGTGTTATATCTCACTTTTCAAAAATATGTATTTGTCTACATACTTTGTGAATCTTGTCACTTTTTTGTTCTTTGAAATAATCTGAATTTTTAGTAAATCCTGCTCCAATGCCTTGAAAATAATACCAGAAAATCTCATATTTGTAGCTTGCATAGATTTTGAGAAATTATTCAATTTATGGAAAGTTGTTAGTGGTTATCCCGGTTGTTATATTTTACTTTTCAAAAACTATGTATTTACTCGACTATGTATTTGTCTCGATAATTTGTAACTTTTTTTTTCTCTGTTGGATTAATTTGAACTTTTAGTATGTCCTGCTCCGATTTCCAAAAACTAATACCAGTATATCTGTAGCTTGCATAGTTTTAAGGAAATTACACAATTCATGAAAGGTTATTATACATATTTCAGTTTTTGGAAACTATGTATGTATTAATCTAGACAATTTGCATTGTACTTTCCATTTTAGTTGTAGGAGAGTTTTTCTTCAATAATCTGATCTAATAATGACTTGCATAACTAATTAATTACCTCTTGAAGTTTTAATTCGGTCTTTCTGAAACTTCAGTAAACTTTACCATCTGAACTTCACCCCCTAAACTCTTTAAAAATTGCTCCAAACTCCCAAGTAGTTCAAAAAAAATGTGTTAAGGAAAAAATAACAATTTTTGTGTGAATTATTTAGGCTCAAAGTGTACAGTTTTTTTCTCGGTTGGTATAGAGGAGAAAAAAAACCTTGAAGTGTTAACTGATTATCTATTTGGACTCCCTAACTCCAGTGCTGTCTTCACCAGACACGATGAAGAACCAGGATTGGAAGAAAACTTGGATAGATAGAGACGATAGGGTGAAAAACTATATCGCTGATGTTATTTAAAGAAACACATAAGCGTATAGCTTTTCCCCTTTTGTTTCTATCATTATTTCTTCACAAATTTTGAAAGAAAATTGAAGACAATACATCTAGAAGAGATGTATGGACACAAAGCTGCCATTTGGAATTTTTTCTAGGTTTTTTTTTAGAGTAAATAAGGTGTGACAAGTCTACTCCTCAAGAAATAGGCCTAATATGTAATGTAATTAACTGAAATTTTATTCCAATATGTAAAATTGTTTTTTTTTTTAGATAGTTTGTTTTAGTAGTATTTGAATACTTAGTAAGAATTTTAAGTAATTTCTACAAACTACAACAAAACCCTATCAAACAACAATATGCGCATTAAAAACATATTACTAATTAATTTTAATCCTTATTACTAAATACCGTTATTAATGATGTAACTTGTTCATAGACCTGCTGGTTGTTGGTGATTGGTATAAAATTTATTATAATAAAGTGAAATGGTGTTTTCTTAAATTTTAATTTTTGCACTATAAAATGGGTCAAAGCAATCAACAGAGGTCAGGTAAACAGAATTTTTTTTTGTTCTGGGTTACCTGATTTTAGATACAATAATAAAAATGTTTTCAATAATAATACATGAGGCAGTTTATTATTTGAATGTAAATGGTATTTTGCTTATTTTCATTTATGTTTTCATTGTAATGTCTCAATTTTTCTGTGATTATCAATGCTGCTATTCTGTTTGGTTCTTTTTTGTATATGTAACGCTTTTTGATAAAATCAGGAGGTAGTCAAATTGTCCACCAATATGTCATAGTCTCATAGTCTCAGCTAGTATTTGAATATATCCATAGTTTTATAATTTCTAAATTTATGAAAGCTACCTATAATACACAAGATTGAATTGTGAACAAGTTCTAACAGATTCTTCTCACAATCAATCGTGAAATTTTGAATTATTTTATTCAGAAATGGTTCTATGAGATGAGCAGTAAAGAAACGATATGTGCCGCCTAAAGCGATGGACTCATACGACTTGTTCGGGGAAGATGGAAGTGGAATGCTGGAAAATTTGCCCGAATTGGGCTCCGTACACCTCGATCCTGCGGTGACTGGCGACAGAAATGCACCCACAGCTTACACACAGCCAGTTTTCTCACAGGAAAACCCCCTACATAAATTGGCTACATTCGGTTCAAGCGCTAGCTCATTTTCTCACATGGATCCAAATACTCAACAGAGCGTTTACGCTCAAGGTTACGGCGCTGGCGCTGGCGCTGAAGGACGCCCGCCTATGGGGCCTCCAGGAGGCGCTTACGGTCATCCCCGTCAAGTACCCAGACCTGTGGCCCCGCCAGGTCCTAACCAATATCCTTACCAAGCAGCCACTGACAGTATGTACGCGATGTCTGATTTGCAAGGAGCCATGGCTGATGCTAATGCCATGCAAGCGGCTGGATGGGGACAACATGCAGCTGCAGCTGCTGCAGGATATCCTGGAATGAGTGGAATGCACAGGTAATTTTTTCTTAATCACTCTAGATCTAAAACAATAGACCTGTGATAGTTTTTACGAGGTTCAAAGATGCGAAGGTTTTCTTATAATTTTCATGGGTTTTATGTAAAAATGCAGGAGATTTTCACATAAGTATATCTTTCTTATGTTTGCAGTATTTATGTATCACTCGACCCTGATTGACTTGTGCCTTAGTGCGCAAAAAAGATCAGTCCTTAGGCGGTCTTTATCACTTGGCCAATATTAGCTAACTAGTTTGTGACAATCTTATGGAAATATTTATGTTTTCTGAAATCCAAGCTCTATGCTCAAACAATCCCACATTTCAGGTATCCCCAAATGAGCCAATACAGGCAACAACCCATGGGTGGTTATCCACACCAGCAAGAACAAAAACAACAATTCCCAACAAGTCAGCATCCGATGATGCAACAGCCCCACCAAACTCCTTATCAAATTCCACAAAGACACGCACCTCACGGATACCCGCAAGCACCTGCCTATCCCACATCGGCCCCCAACCAAAGTTACAGTGGCTACGTGCACCAAAGAATGCCTCACCATCACCAATATCCACAAAGTCATCATCAAATGGACTTGCAAAGTCAGCAGTACACTCAGATGGGTCACGCTCAGCCTTTGCCGCATCATCCAGTAGCGAGCCAGGCAAGTCACGCGACTCCCAATCCTAATTTAATGGGCCAATCTCATCCTGGACTACCACCGGTACAGCCGCAGCAGCAACAACCACCTCAGAATCAAATTTCACATCCAGGCAATATGGTTAATTATAACCAAAATCATCAACCATTACAGAGACCTGTCGAAATGCAACCAACTGCTCAGCAACAGTTTGCTTCAAAGCACTCTAGCCAAGTTGGTAACTTGAGTCCTCAATATCGAGCACCATTTCCTCAGCTGTCGCCTCAGATGTCTCCGAGGCCACAAATGTCTCCAAGGCCACAGGCACCTCAAGTATCTCCTAGACCAGTTATGTCACCTGCGAAACCGAATATGTCCCCGCATCATCAGCAACATGGACAAATGCAACAATCAAACTTGAGTCCTCGGCCTGCTGCAAGTTTGCCTTCGAAAAGCAGCTATTCTCAACAGCAAAGCACTTTGCAAGCTTTAGAACAGATGGTAATGCCGCCTTCTAATACTATAGCAGATTACCCTACATACCAGTCTCGAAATTCATTAGGTCTGCCACAAGGACAACATCCTTTATCACCTTCAATAAATAACGTAATGAGAAATCAAATGACTGATCAGTGGCCTCCACCTCAATCACCAAGGCAAGCTCAGCCACATTTGGCAAACTTAAACGGATCAATGAGTATGATGGATCAAGTTTCAAATCAGAGTATGCCTCCAGCAACACAATCTCTATTACCTACACAAATGCCACCAACACAAAATGTATCACCACTACATAATCCAGGATTGATATATAATAATGACGATGCTAGATTGGATAGGTCTCCTCCAATTAGTGAAACCAGTAAGTTGGAAGAAACAAGAATTTCATCTCCAGTAAAAGATATGAATAAGGAGGACTTGAATAATATGGCAAAACAGCAAGATTTTTCACCTATAGAATCACCTACTACAGACAAATTACCCAGTAGCACAACTAATTTGGAGCCAAATGTGTCAGCTATGTCTCAACCAATGTTATCTCATCCTTCAACGCCAACACCCACATCCACTACTGACGATAATATTACAAACATCCAGGAGTCTAGTCTTCCTTCCAGTACCGAGTCGACTAACCAAATAAGTGACACAATTTCGACTTCAAATAATCCACCTCAAACTCCTAGTCAAAGCAATAGAGTTTATGATTCAAACATTTCTACTTTTTCGAATCGACCTGAAACCCCCAAAGGTTATAAAATAGAAGACTTAGCTCAGCCTAGCTCCTTTATGTATAATCATGAAAACTCGTTATCTCAAGAATCAGTACCTGAATCAAATAAATCAGAGCATAGTATAGCTCCATCGCCTAATTTCCAAAATCAAGGTTACGGATTACCCAGGCAAGATGGCTCTGACAGTAAAAGTATTAATCAAATGGACGTAAACTCGCCTTCATCTCCAACTCAATCTCATTCTTTATTAAATCTCAATCAACCGAATACTCCTCAACCAATGCACCACGAACATTTACTTCAACATTCTTCAGAATTAATCGTAGAGAAAAATACTGATCATCAAAGCATTCCCTCTGAACACACAAGCTCAGACCAGCATTCTATAATGAATATTATAAACAATTCCAATCAAAACAGTCAAGATGGCATTAGCAATAATCCTATTGCTATTACGGACAATATTTCCACATCTTCAAGCCTTGGCACTGGTTCTTCTATGAGTAACCCCATTTGTCAACCAGCCACCATGCTCAGCCAACCTCCCATATTGAATACACAATCTGCAATGCCAAACGTACAACAAAATCCTGGATTACATCCTCAAATACCGCCAACTGTAGGCTGTGATCAAATGATTGGTCGTCAAATGCCTGTAGTAGGCATGAATCACCCTGGTATGCCAGTGATGAACAATCTAGGTCATATGGGTATGATGCCAGAAATATCAGGTTATCAGCCTCCTATAAATCACCAACAAGAACGTGCAGCATTGCAACAACAATTGCACGAATTATTATATTGCATGCCTCCAGCTCCAGAGCATCAAGAGAAGGTTATGAATTTGCAAGAAAAACTGAATATTTTAAGTCAGCATGAGGCTACTGAGCAATGTAATGGCGGGCCTCAGTGTGTGTTGCAAAGTCCCATTTTTACAACTCCGATGATTGATAGTCCTCAAGTCACTAGTACGACGGGTAGAGGAAGAGGCAAAGGAACTAATAAGCCTAGAAAACCACGTACCAAAAAAGGTGAAAAGCTTGCAAATGCTGAAATAACTGAATGTATTGTTCCTCTAGTTCAGCAACAGTTGCCTGTATCAGAAGATTTTGTTACACCAGGTGCCGGACTTAACTTGCCTGCTAGTGAAATGTCTGAATTTACAGACTTTGCATTAGAGCAAGTGGTTGAAGAAAAGAAGAGAGGCAGAAAACCTAAAGACCCCAACAAGAAGAAGGAACCGAAAATACCTAAAGAACTTAGAAAGGAAAGGAAAAAGCGGGAACAAAAAGAGGCTGAAGAACCCAGAGTCAAACGAAAATATGTAAGAAGGAAAAAATTGAATGACGGATTGGATGAAGACGCTTCAGAAGACTCATTCAACAAATCAATTGACAGTTCGTTTGCTTCAGAAAGGCATTCTTCTGAAGAAGCTGAAGCCAAACAAGACGCAATGGACGAACCTGAATCTTCAACATTAGACAAACTCAACGAAGACAAAGACGAAAGACAAGAAATGCAGGCTGATTCTCAAACACCAGCGGACGGGCCAGAATCTGGCGACGAAACTAAAAAAGACGAATACGCTTTTGATGAAGCACAAGCGGATGATGAAATTTTAGAATTGCCTAAAAGAACCAAAAAACCACGTGGTGCTCCTAAAAAAGTAGTTTCTACAAAAGCACCACGAGCTAAAACTGGAGGTAAACGTGGTCGACGCAAGATGCACGTTCAAAACGAATCTGATGGTGAAGGTGAAGACCTCATGACAACACCGCCGCCTTCACCTCCTGAAGACGATAATTCAAGTAAACGTCGCTCAGCCAGAAACACACAAAGGAAAAAATACATAGATGATGTGATGCTAAGATTCTCTGACGATGATGCTCCTCCAACACCTAGAGCCAGAAAACCAATAGTGCCGGATAAGCCAATACTACCTTCTACACCGGTTGCCCCTCCAGTAGCGTCTTCATCTTCAACACCCCAGGAAACTGAATCAGAAGACGTACCGTCGGTAGCTTCCACAGGAGATCCAGGCAAGGGCATGAATTATGTTTATGTAAACACTACAGATGATGATTCAATGGTTGTCCAATATGTTTTACAATCCCGAATGACTAAAAAAGACATGAAAGTTGTTGCTGAAGTTAAAGTGAATAAGGAGGAAGATGACAAAGAGAAACCGAGCGAAGAAAAGGAAAAAGCTATTGAGAGTTTGGAAGAGGAATCTGAAGCAGTTAAGGATGATGATTTAAAATCCGAAGCTGATGATGAAGCTAAGAAGGTGGATGATGAAAAAATGGAAGAGGTAGAAGTAGAAGAATATTATGTCAAATATAGAAATTTTTCTTATTTGCATTGTGAATGGAAAACTGAAGATGAACTTTTCAAAGGTGATAAACGTATAGCCAATAAAATTAAACGTTTTAAACAAAAACAATCGCAAATGATGAATATTTTCGATCTAGACGATGAACCCTTCAATCCTGATTATATTGAAGTTGACAGGGTCTTGGATGTATCAGAGCACATAGATCCTGCAACAGATGAAGTGGTTAAACATTATTTAGTTAAATGGCGCGCTTTGCAATATGAAGATTGCACTTGGGAGTTAGAAGAGGACGTCGATCCTTTAAAAATTAGACAATATGAGAAGTTTTCGAAAATACCTCCTAAAGATAAATGGAAACCTAGAAAAAGACCTAACCCGGATTCTTGGGAAAAATTAGACGAATCGCCCATATATAAAGGTGGCAATAACTTGAGGGAGTATCAATTGGAAGGTCTCAACTGGTTACTTTTCTCTTGGTATAATGGACGTAATTGTATTTTGGCCGATGAAATGGGTTTAGGTAAAACCATTCAGAGTTTAACATTTATACATTCTGTGTGGGAATATGGAATAAGGGGGCCATTTTTGGTCATAGCTCCATTATCAACCATTCCAAATTGGCAAAGGGAAATAGAAAGTTGGACTGATATGAACGTAATTGTTTATCATGGCTCAGCTACAAGTAGAAACATGATTCAGGAATATGAAATGTATTATAAGAATGACAAGGGACAACATATTAAGGATCTTACTAAATTTAATATTTTAATTACGACATTTGAAATTATTGTAACAGATTTTGCTGACCTAAAAGGTTTCAATTGGAGGTTGTGTGTAATTGATGAAGCTCATAGACTTAAAAATCGTAATTGTAAATTACTTGAAGGCCTAAGACAATTGACTTTAGAGCATAGAGTTTTATTATCCGGTACTCCTTTGCAAAATAACGTAAATGAGCTCTTTTCTCTATTGAACTTCTTGGAGCCAACTCAGTTCTCAAAATCTGATGTGTTTCTTAAAGAATTTGGTTCTTTGAAAACAGAACAAGAAGTGCAAAAGCTGCAATGCCTTCTTAAGCCGATGATGTTGAGAAGACTGAAAGAGGACGTAGAAAAGTCTTTGGCTCCCAAAGAAGAAACTGTAGTTGAAGTTGAATTGACAAACATCCAAAAGAAATATTACAGAGGTATTTTAGAAAGGAATTTTTCGTTTCTTACCAAAGGCACTACATACTCAAATATTCCTAATCTAATGAACACTATGATGGAATTAAGAAAATGTTGCATTCATCCATATCTTCTGAATGGTGCTGAAGATCAAATTCAATACGACTACAAACAAGCCCACGGTGAAGATGTTGACGCTTATTATAAAGCTTTGATAAATTCCAGTGGTAAAATGGTTTTAATTGATAAATTATTAGCAAAATTGAAAGCTAACGGTCACAGAGTTCTAGTTTTCAGTCAAATGGTTAAATGTTTGGATATTTTAGAAGACTATTTAATGTACAGAAAGTATCCTTATGAAAGAATTGATGGTCGAATAAGAGGTAATCTACGACAAGCTGCTATAGACAGATTCTCCAAACCTGATTCTGATAGGTTTGTCTTTTTACTTTGCACCAAAGCAGGTGGTTTAGGTATTAATCTCACAGCTGCCGATACTGTAATTATTTACGACAGCGATTGGAATCCTCAAAATGACTTGCAGGCACAAGCTAGATGTCACAGGATTGGCCAGCAGAAAATGGTTAAAATTTATAGATTATTATGTAGAAATACATATGAAAGAGAAATGTTTGATAAGGCATCACTTAAGTTAGGTTTAGATAAAGCGATATTGCAAAGTATGAATACTGCACAAGGAGACAAAAGTTCAGGAACTAGACAGTTAAGCAAAAAAGAAATCGAAGATCTGCTAAAAAAAGGTGCATATGGGGCTTTGTTAGATGAAGAAAACGATGGCGATAAGTTTTGTGAAGAAGATATTGATGTTATTTTGGCTAGAAGGACCCAAGTTATTACAATGGAATCCGAAAAAGGTTCGACATTTTCAAAGGCTAGCTTTGCTTCCAGTGCAAGCAGATCAGATATTGATCTTGATGATCCGGATTTCTGGAACAAATGGGCCAGAAAGGCTGATATTGACACTACAGAAAAAGATGAAACAGAGGATTTGCTTATGTCAGAACCTAGAAGACGTACGCAAATCAAACGCTATGGGCACGAAGAAAGTGCTTTGGACATGTCGGAGCTTGAAAGCTCTTCAGATTCTGATCCCGAAAACGATCCAATGGGCCTTCGTAGCAGGAGGAATAAGTTAAGAAAGAAAAAACTGAGAGGGGATGATTATTATCCCAGAGAAAGTGAAAAAGGTGAGATGGCTTATGGAAGTTGGTCTCGAAGAGAATGCTTTATGGTTGAAAGAGGGCTTTTGACATTCGGCTGGGGCCGTTGGGGTGAAATTTTAGCCAATTCGCAGTTGCACAGAAGATGGAGGGAGTCGGATATTGAAGATTGTGCCAGAGTTATTGTGAGTATGGTTTTTGAGTTAGTTTGTTTTTTTGTTAATTTAAATGTCGCTATTTTTTTCAGCTTTTATTCTGCTTGAGGTTTTATAGGGGAGACGAAAAAATTCGTAATTTTATTTGGGATTTAATTGCACCCAACGATGGTGCAGAGCAAAAAATATCGAGGAACCATCAAGGACTGAAAGATCCTGTACCGAGGGGTATAAGGAACAAGCATAAGAAAAAGCCTACCAAAGATACTCGGCATGCTGCCCTGACTGATCCGAATCACTGGAGCAAAGATGAAAAGTTTGATGGTGATATATTTTTGGAGAATAATTATAAGAAACATTTGGGACGACATGCTAATAAGTAAGATAATATCATTTATTCAATAATAATTTATTAAGCCATTTGGCTGCAAATTATGTTATTTCATTAATCATCATCAATGATCAATAAGTATGACATCCGTTTAAGATATTCAAACTTGATTACCAGAAAAAAAATAGTTTTGAAACTGTTCCAAGTAGTGTTGTTTACCTTTGTACAAATGATGATTTTCATGCTAATTTAGAGAATATTTTAGATATTCGCTGAAAAAAAATTTCAATTTTCTGACCTTAAAAAAATTATTGAAAATCTTTTTATTGTTTTAAGACCCAATACTACTTACATATTATTCTAGGGTTCTTCTACGTGTCAGAATGTTGTACTATATCAAACACGAAATCATTGGTGACTTAGTGCAGCATATCACCGATGGTGTACAAGCAAGGTAAGAAATTACTTTAATTTTTGTTTATTATTTAGTTAGGAAAATAAGGCTTATTAAAATAAAAAATGCCCAAAAAAAAATATATATAAAGGAAGAACAGGCATAAATCTAATAACTAAAACAAAGAAAAAGGTAAGGATTTTAATAATTATGTTCCTGTTTTTTATTATTATTATATTTATTAATTAATTCCGATGGTTGGGATACCAGCTTTTATTTAATTGTCAGTATTTGCATGATGCTTTTTTTGAAGGTCATGCCCAGTTTCGCTTTTGCATCTAGATTTATTGATAACTTACTTATAAATCATTCCTTTTATCACATCGCTTTTTGCTTTACATTTTATCGTTTTTTTTAACACTAATACTTAAGTATTTATTTAGTATATTGGGTCCCAACTTCCCCCCCATTTTTTTGTATTAATTTAATATGGTTATATATGAGAATGAAGTTTTTCAAAAATAATAATAACCGAGACCGTACCTGATGAGCTTTTTTTTTGTATTTTGATGCATAATTATTCTTTGCTTGATCTGGTATGAATAAGAAGGTACTTTCAGTACCCTAGATTGAATTTTTGGCTATTATAAATGGAAATTTGCGTTCAAAAAAAGTTCATTCTCATATGTAAGTTTAATAAACTCATTAATTTTAGCGGTACGGCACTTGATACCAAAATTATTATTTTTGAGAATCTTCTGTTTATCAAAACTTTTCGAAAATACTTCAGATGGTCTTTTATGGTCGAATTTTTTTAACACGATATGCCCTAATAGTGATTGATTTGAATAAAAATATACTTTATTGTTAGGTTTTTTGTAAAAAGTAGAAAAAAATAGGTCAAAAATTAAGATACAATATGACTTCGCCGTCTATACATTCAACTTCCAATGAGTAGAAATCTTTGAATATTTTAGTAAATTGATATTTTTTAAATAATGTATTTATTTATTATTCATCATGTAAGCGGGTTGTGCCCAATCGTACATATGTACTTAACAAAATTTAAATTATAGAAGTGACTTACCAATAAAATAAAACAAAATAAAAACATTAGAATGGACATAAACAAGTACAAAAATACTAAATACAAAGTTAACACAATAAAGACTAGGATATTTGACAATTTGACGACTTATGGAACCATAATGAACCAACAAAGAATACAGATTTTGGCAACCATGTTTTAATCCTTTAATAAAACCTTCTAAATTAATAAAGGTATCAGAAGATCCGAGTCTGTTCTTTTTTTTTTAAGTTTGGACCCTAAGGCAATGAAACATGTTGAATCGATCACCATAGAATGAATTTGCCGTTCTCATTATCCTGGTCAGAGGAGAGTTCTGGCCTTGGGAAGTTCTGTGAAATTTCAATCCAAACGTTTTACTTTCCCTCAAAGTTCGCAAAGGCACATGAAATTGGATTGATTCAAGTAATTCTAAACAGTCAATGTGATTAGATATAATTTTAAAACATATTGAAGTATCTGCAAATCTATAGTCTTTTCTAATAGGGTAATCTTTTAAATTGTCAGATGATAACCCTTTCTTAAAAGCAATATATTTTAGAAACTCTCTCTGTACACTTTCTAACTTTTTAACATAGGCTTGGAAGAATGGATTCCAAATGACAGAACAATTTTCTAGCCGAGATCTAACTATAGATGCGTATAATAATTTCATTATGTTTATGTATTTAAAATATTTAGTATTTCTCTTGACAAAGCCTAACATACGCATGGCTTAGTTATAACAGTTCTCTATACAGGCAGAAAATTTAATTTTATAATCTATTAATACCCCAAGATCTCTAATTATGTTCAACTACTTCAAATTTTTGTTATTCATTTGATAGCCATATTGCTGTCGCAAACTAGATAATCTACTAAGCCTAATCCACTTACACTCATTCACATTAAGGATCATTTTATTTTGATTACACCATTCAGAAAACCTATCCAAATCTTCTTGGAGTAGATTGGAACTATGTTAATTCGTTATGCTTTTATAGACCTTCAAATCATCAGCGTAAATAACAAATTTGGACTGCACGAAACAAGTCTGAATGTCATTGATAAACAAATTGAATAAAAGAGAGGACAAATTGCCCTGCTTGTGGTACGCCTGACCATACTTTAATGGAATCCGAGTGTGTATTTTCGATTTTCACAAGTTGTACCCTATCTGTTAAGGAAGACTTTATCCAGGTCAAGAGATTTCCTGTGATTCCATAAAGTGACAGTTTATTTATCATAGTAAAGTGTGATTTATCTTGCCAAATCCCTTTGAAAAATCGGTGTAAACTGAATCTACATCATATCCCAGTTTGAGTTGATCAATTATGAAGTTAGTAGTTGGTGTAAACTAGTAGATTTGATACTATTGATTTATTTTGCACAAAACCATACTGATTAGGTATAATATGATTACGTTTTCAGTGCAACCCTCTAGGAAGTCGGTGATCATTGAATCCATTATCTTAGATATTTGAGAGATTTTTGAAATCGGCCTATAGTTCTCTATGTTATTTTTATTCCCGTTGTTTTCAAAAAATACGGATTATATAAGTTGCTTTCCACTTTTGAGGAAAAATACCCATTGACAGTGAATTATAAGTTTCATAATGGCATTGTGAGAGAAACTGAGCAATTTTGTTAAAATATTGGGGGGATATTATCAGGACCCGGTCCCTTAGTTGGGATTACCGAGTCCAATCTACTCATAATATCAGAAATTTTGAAATGGAAGGAGTTAACATTTAGGTCATTAAAAGATAGATGATATCTTGTCTGAATATCTTCATCACTGACATACACGGATGAGAAGTGAGAGGCATAGGCATTTGCAATATCAGCAGGACTTGAAAGTTCTTGATCCTGATGTCTGAGTAATTTAGAATTGCCATTCTGGTCTTTTTCAGTATCCACATACTTCCAAAAATATTTAATATCTAATCTAATATCACGTTCAATCTTTTTAATGTAATCATTATAATTACTAGTGATATCTGATATCGGAAAAAAACTTGTAATTGGCATCGGAAGGAAAATTTTTAAATTTTTTATAGGCTAACTTTTTTTCAATAGTAAGCTGTATTAGTTCTTAGCTAAACCAAATTGGAAACTTAAAATCGCTAACTACTTTGAACCTTGGGGCAAATTCATTCAAACAGCGATCTAAAATTGTGTAAAACCTATATACCGTTAAGTCTATATCACAGGCTAAGATGTTATCTCATCTCAAATTACGATATAATGACTATTATGAGCTTTATATTCTGATGATAAAGATTTTGGAGGAAAATATGATACACACAAAATTAGGACTTTATTATCTATTTCTGCCTTTACCCATAACTCTTTATGACCGGTACAATTCCTGGGGCTGTCCAGTAATATGACTTAAATTCCTTTCTGATACCGATTAATACCCCTCCTCCTATTATTTTGCCTGTTGCATCCAGGTCTCTATCATTCCTGAAAATAGTGAATCTTTGTAGCCCAAGTTCTGCACATTGATGATCATCATCATCTGTAAGTACTATAACATTGTAGTTACTGATGTATATATTGAAGCAAAATTCTGCAAATATGGTTCTAAGTCCTCTAACATTCTGGTAATACATTAATACCTTCTTCTGTATGGTAACCTGCTACCTTGAAAATTTTGGTGATTTCTCAAGTAGTTTTTTCATTGTCTGCTGGTATTTCTTGTATAGGATAACTCAAATTTGGTTGACTAGATATAAAAGACTTGACAATTATATTTTGATGCCAAAAGTCAGGGTTAAACATTTTTATCTCAGTGAGTGAGTTCAATATTTGGAAGCCAGTTTTTCACAAGTTTGGATAATAATTGACTTGTTTTTTAAATAGTCAGTCAGGGTATTTCCAGAAACAGCAATGTCAAGACCACCCACATATACCCATTTACAATCTTCTAAAGTTAATGAACGTATATTTTTATTTGTACCTCGGATACTGTTTTTATTAATTGCTCCCATGCTTACATTTTTTGGCAGGTTTTTTGGTTTATTTGATCCTGCTATAGCAAAACTTTTATTGGCCGAACTTTTAGCATTGCATTGGATACGTCTTCACTAGTTATAGGGTTCTTGTTAGTCGGAAGGCTTCTTTTGGGGAGTGTACCTTTCATGATGTCATCATTTATTTGAGTTTGTTGGGTCGTTTAGAGTAAGGATGCTTTGTGTGAGAAATCTCACCAAATCCTTATTGGAGCTTATAATAGCCCCCACAACATTATCAAGCTTGTTTTGTTCAACCCTTCAGACAGGGGTTTTCATTTCTTGGGTCAAAATGTTGCTGATACTTCCACCTAGGTCTTCGGTATTTTTTGTCCCTTCAAACGCCAAGTCTATAGGAGATTCGTCGTTTGCTTCAGTGTCGGGAACATTTTTATTTTCAAGTTGTTGAATTTCAGTAGTAAAAGTTACTAAAATGTGCTTATAGCGATTTTGAGTCAATCTGAATTGAAAAATTTTGTGCTATATGAATTTAGATCATAGTTACTGTAGAATTATAACAGCAGCGTTTTCTGCCTCTCTAATTCCTAAATAATTCCAACACAGTTTTTCTTCTCTTTGAATTTCATCAATTTTCTATTTAGATCTTGGCTAAAGTTCAATTTAGGCAGTTTCTAATATCTATATGCTAAGTTTTTCTAACTCTCCTTTATATTTTTTTCAATTTTGGTTCAAATTAACATTTTCCAGCTTCTGATTGAACCATTTTGTTGATGTCTATTTCAACTTTGTGGTTCATTAAAAATAATGTGGAAGTCAAAATGATCTCCGTCTCTTGAAGTTACTGGATTGTATGTCAACTTTTCACTTGAAACTGAAATTCAATTGTCTACTATTTGCCTATTGTTTTAAATTTTGTTTATCATAAGTCGGCAGGTAAAACACTTTTGAAAATGTGTACAGCAGAATCCCACTTTTCAACGGAATCCCACAAAATCCTACTGAAATCCGACGATATCCTATTGGAATTCCACGGAATCCTATTGAAATCCCACACAATGCTACTGGAATCCCACGGAATCTTACTGAAATTCCTTCTTGTGAATTTTTGAATGCTATCAAACAAAGACTCTAGACAAAAAAGTCTTGTTTTTCAGTTTCGCACTACATAGGTACAAACTTGAAACATCGACTCATGGCTATTAGTTCCAACATGAAAAAATTCTGGTCTTTTGTAAATAATAAAAGAAGGAGCAATGCTTTTTCTAGCGAACTTAAATATAGTGACAGGTCAAGTTGTTCGGGTGGCGAGATTGCTGACATGTTTGCAGATTATTTTGCCTCAGCCTTTTCGAATAACCACCATGATATCCCTACACATGATTTGCCTTCATCTATAGTCCATATACCGAATCATAATATACTAATATCCGATATATACACTAAATTATCCATGCTAGATGTTAATTTGGGGCCTGGTCTGGATGGGGTACCACCCATATTTCTAAAAAAAAATCAGTTTTAAGCTCTCAAGGTCACTTTACCAGATTTTCAACTTGTCATTACATACAGGGTGGCCAATTGAAAACGAAACAGACGTGATTTCGGGCTCCCCAAGACATTTAAGAAAAAACCCTCGTACCCGTCAATTTTTGATTTAAGGGGGAACCATTTTTTTGGTGTTTTCACCCCCTGGGGGGCAAAGCCCTACCGGGGGTGACAAGGGCCCCCAAAATTTTAAATGGAATGAGGGGTCGAGTGATACCTTATTTTGAAGCCATTTTTATGTAGATTATAACCCCCGAGTCACACATCGCTACTATCTACCTAGCCATTACAGGGGCTAATTAAAGTTACAAAAACATGTTGGAATATTTTTGCCCCTGTAATGGCTAGGTAGATAGTAGCGATGTAAGACTCGGGGGTTATAATCTACATAAAAATAGCTTCAAAATAAGGTATCACTCGACCCCTCATTCCATTTAAAATTTTGGGGGCCCTTGTCACCCCCGCTAGGGCTTTGCCCCCTAGGGGATGAAACCACCAGAAAAATGGTTCCCCCTTAAATCAAAAATCGACGGGTACGAGGGTTTTTTCTTAAATGTCTTGGGGAGCCCAAAATCACCTCTGTTTCGTTTTCAATTGGCCACCCTGTATAGGTGTTTTTCCGGAGTTTTGAAGGGAGAGTTTCCTCAAGCCCATCTTAACCAATTCCCCATTAGTATCTTCAGCACAATCCCTAAAGTATTTGTGAGCCTAGTATTTGACTTTTTGACCCCCCTCATAGACCCTATTTTAATCATTAAACAATTTGGCTTCAGACCCGGCAAATATGCGGAATTAAATCTTTGACACAAACTGACTATCTGTTGGAGAAGGTATTTCATGTGGATACGGTTTACACTGACTTTTCCAAGGCATTTGACAGAGTCTCCCATACCATGTTATTGCTTTGGTTAATTGGAATCGATAAACCCTTGATCTCATGTTTTCACAGCTACTTGTCCAGTCGGAAGCAGATTGCTATAATTGGTAATTTCATCTCGAAAGTTATTCAGGTTACCTCCGGTGTGCTACATCTTGGGCCACTGCTTTTTAATGTCTTTATAAATGATATTCATGAATGCTTTACCACATGTCTTTTCTTGTTGTTTGCCGATGACCTCAAAATGAGCTGCCTAATTAAATCTAATGAAGACTGTGATAAACTACAGTACGATCTCAACACCAGTGTACACCAGAATCCCACTTTTTTTTAACGGAATTCCACAAAATCCTACTGGAATCCCACGATATCCTATTCAAATTCCACGAAATCCTAATGAAATCCCACATAATCCTACTGAAATCCCTTGGAATCTCTAGACAAAAAAGTCTTGTTTTTCAATTTAGCAGGCCCACTGCATAGGTACAAATTAAAAAAATCGACTCATCAAGCAAACTTAAGGAATACCACTGGAATTCCAGGGAATTCTACTAGAAACCCAACGAATCTCACAGAATTCCAATGAAATCCCACAAAATTTTACTGAAATCCCACGCCATCCTACTAGAATCCCTCAGTATCTTTCTGGAATCTCACGGTATCTTTCTGGAATCCAATGGTCACTTTCTGGAATCCAATCCCTCGAAGAATTTTAAGGATTTTTTTGTGAATTTCAAGAATTATTTTGAACGCTAGCAAGCAAAAATTCTGTACAAAAAAGTCTTGTTTTTCAGTTTGGCCGCCACTATATGTATAGGTACAAACTAAAAACATCGACTTACCAAGTAAACCAGGAAATCCCATTGGAATTCCACTGGAATCCCACATGCTTGTACACTATAATTTCAAGGTGGTTTACCCCTCGTCATATGTGATAAAATAGCGAGGGGTAAACCAGCTTGAAAAATATGAACACCAGAATCTCACTTTTAACAGAATCCCACGAAATCCTACTGAAATTCTACAGAATCCTACCGAAATCCCACGCAATCCTACTGGAATCCTCTGGAATTTCACGGAATCCCACTGGAATTCCGATTCTGACCTGAAAACTAGTGAGTTCTGGATGAATGAGTGAAAATTCTGAATTAAAAATGAGCGAGTTATTGAACTAATGAGCAAATTTCATGAAGAAGAATTGCACTGGATTCCCACATGCTTGTACACTATAATTCTAAGGTGGTTTACCCCTCGTAAAATAGTATTTGAACTAATTGATGTTTTTGCCATCAGTGAAACTTAAAATGCACTGTATCTATGAATTAGTTTACTCGCGCATGTGCATTTATATTTCTGCAGCAATATTATCATGGCTCCAATCTTGCAAACTCCAAATTTTGTTTTCCTGAAAAATACCCAGGAAAATGGAATTGGGAAATCCACTTTCATTGCTTTCTGTTATCTTTCAATCTACAAGTATTTACTACTTTCCTGAAAATGATTGTTGGGACTTACTCAATATTTCAGTATGACATATTCTATCCTTTTCTTCATCCACACAAAAAAAAATAATAAAAAAAAATTGAGTGAAAATTTTAATGTGCAAAACCACAGACGATAGGAGAATTAGTTCTGTGGACATTCACATTTTTCTCTAAGAAATTAGGATAGGATTTTTAGGGAGATTTGACTGAGATTGGGACCATCTATATAACCTTCAATCAACCCATAAATGAAATACAAATCAGTAGGCCTTCTCTTGTCCTCAAGTGTTGCAAGACGAAGATTGAACATCTTCCAGGTTATCCGATATATCAAGCTTATAGGCACAATATTTTATGAATTTCTGTTGATCTCTCTCAATTAAAATCTTGTTGACTAGGTTCAGCAAACAAGCCACAAAGTTTTAAAAATGACCAAAAAGTCCATTTGAAGTACTCGTTAGTTTTGATAATAAAAACAAAAAAATTTAAATGTGCAAAAATCAAAATTAACAATTGGCGATTCCATGTGTGCGTTCACAGTGCCTTGCCGATATACCCCCCGGTTACGGAGCAATTGCCTGCCACTTGGTGGGACTCGGAATTCGACAAGTCGTTGCTCATCGGAACTTGGAAACACGGCTACGAGAATTACACTGCGATGCGCCAAGACCCTACTCTTTGTTTCCTATCCCGGTGTGGTCCGCCCTCAGACCGCGAGATCCAGATGCAAGCCGCTTCCACTAACATGCAACCATCTACGCCAAACCAAGTAGCCCCGTAAGTAGACTCTATCCTTCTCTGCTAAAACGAACAAAAAAGAGGCTCATTATTTTGGTAGAATTTTAGAGTTTGGTTTTCTTTTATAATCCCTCCTCCACCCGACCCAACCTATTTATTTGTGTATGCCTGTTCTTGAATATCGCTATTTTTTTTGATAAATTTCGATATAGTTTGTTGCAGAGAATTCAAAACCTAAAACCAATTAGATGTTTCTTGCTGTTAAACATCTGATTGGTTTTGAGTTGTAAAATTGTGTTTACTACTAAGTGGTGTAAGTATATCTTAAAATAGGTTTCTAGGATTAATTAATCTAACCAATCGACAATAGTTTACTAAGCTTACTAGGCATGGAAGCTCTCTTTCTATATATTTATTTCATTACATTGGGTTAAGGAAAATATCTTGCAAATGCTTTAGTTTATGAAAAATTAGTGGTGACTTCAACTTCAAGAAAACAAAGTTTATTGAAACTAATTTTCCTTCACACGAAGTTCAAGTCTATTCATTTGAACAGAAAGCTTGAAGTTGTCACTATTTCTTTTATAAGTCAATGAATGGGTAGAAAACTTAAGAGAGCTCTTCATTATATTAGGCAAATCCATTTTTTCAGATGCTGGATGGATGGGCGCAGATTTTAGAATGCAAAATGTTTTCTTCTAGGAAAAATTCAGCTTGAAAATGCCTTTATGACATTTTCAACTCTTATTTATTAATTCCTACCGCAAATTAAATCGTTTATTTTATCTTCAGCAACGAGGACGACATCGACGACGAAGACACCAACGAGGAATCCAGTCTAAAGTCTAGGAACAGAGACAATTCTGAAGTTAATTCCGAAATTGCCGAGCCTTCGCCGGGGCCTTCAGCTTGCTCGGAAAATCAACAAATGGACGTTGATGACATGAAAGATGAAACTGGTGAAGATAAAACTCCTTGGCCTACTGTGACCGACTTGAATACGCGGTTACGTAGAGTTATAACTTCTTATCAGAGGAATTATAGGAAGGAAGAACAAAAGTTACAGGCAACCAAGGCAAAGGTAAGTTTTTATTGGTCCAAAAAAAAAAAAAGCTGAAAACTTGAAAAGTGATATAACATTTCATGTTTTCTTGGTTGAACCTTGATTTTTTGCATGGAATATTTCTAATTGTGTTTTTAGTGTTTCACTTATGGTCAGATTCAATTTTTCAATCGTAAAGACAGTTGCTCCAATTATTTCCTCTTTAAAATCAATGTGGAACTCTGGAAAAGCTTTGTGAATCCGATCATGACTTACTATTTAGCTTTAAAAATTGCAACAATTGGACAATAATAAGGTTTTGTTTCACATGTTGTAAGATCATCAATAAAAACTCTTGCACCATTGAAATTTAACTACAATTTTTGTAATTTAATTGTTAACGTATCAATCACTATTTCATCTTATCTACCCTCCCCAATACCATACTCTCTTGTGCACACCCGTTGCATGAGCGTTTCGTGGCTGTTTGTGTGGGTAGATTTAGTATATTTGTGCACCCTTGCCATAGCAGCAGCAGCAACAGCAACAACAGCAATCCAGTCTGGATGCATCGGCTCTGGCTTCTCCGTTGGCCGCCTTGGCTCAAGTTTCCCAACAATTCGATTCGCGTGACGCCGCCTCCATGGGACTGCAGGGCTGGGATTTGCAACAGTTGGCGCTCTATTTACTGGTAAGTAATTTGATGGGAGGTTTTTGTTTTTTTGGAGTTGGGTGATTTCGAAATGAACAATTAGACATTTCATTGGTCCATATTTAATGAAGTTTGTGATAACCGGTTTCGTATTCAATGACCTAAAAAAAAATGTATCATCAGCCTGACTCATTGACTTTTATTAGAATCTTGAATGGCTCATTGTGCTTTTTCCAAGCATCAAATTAAAGAGCTTGTGTTTCTAGGATAAAACAAAAAATCTAGTTGAGATTATGCTGTATAGAACTTTGAATTGGATGCCCTCTCAGTCTCTATGAATGAATTTTAGAGTGCGTTCCCTTCTTGTCTAGTCTGCCTTATTCAAGGTGGATTCATCTAACTTTCGTCCAGTTTCTTTATATTCTACTGTATCTCTAAAGTCATCCAAAAAGGCGGATCTGGAACTATCTTCAATTATTCAACCTGATAACTGGGGAACAGTTTGGAGTTCAGTTCTTGAAGTGACTCAGGGGGTTACACATAAAGCTACTTTTTATAATTTTTAAACTCACTCAATAAGGTATCTACTGAGTGGTTCAAGTTCATTTTGAAATCACCAACATTTCTAGCTTTAAATATTTTATATTTTTCATCAACCCACACCATATCCTTACTGTGTGCTGTTTCAATGTCTAGCTCTCATTCATCATTTTAGAAATTGGTGTTAATTTTGTTTAATCGGTGTAATGCATTTTTCAGGAAAAAATAAGTTTTTGTGTTACTTGCCAAAGGACATAATTATAATTATACCTAAGTTTTTCATAAAATATCACTAATAAACTAACCAAAATCAATGTGTTGTCCATTATAAAACTAACATTTTTTTCCAGTGATCTACTAATCTATTAAAATAAGTAATTTTCGAAATTGATACTTACACTTTCAGAAGATGGAACGGCAAGGCAAACAGGCACTTGAACAAGCAATGAAGGAATCAACTAAAGATCGAGAGCGTTCGACTATATCGAAACGCTGGACCAAAAGAGAAGAAGCTGATTTTTTCAGAATCGTTTCGTCGTTTGGCGTAGTTTACAATAGAAAATCGAAAAAATACGATTGGACTAAATTCAAGCAACTAGCAAAACTAGATAAAAAAGCTGACGAAGAACTTACAGAATATTATAAACATTTTGTTATGATGGCCAAGAAACAGACTGGTATTAATATAGAAGAGGGCAGTTACGACTCAACTATAGAACATATTAATGAGGAAAAAGCTAGAAGGACTTTGGAAAGGTTAGAGTTGCTGTCCAGGATAAGAGAAGAAATTTTGACTCATCCAAAATTGGATGAAAGATTACAAGTTTGTACAACCTCAGCTGATATGCCTGATTGGTGGGTACCAGGAAAACACGATAAGGAATTACTTATCGGAGTTGGAAAGTACGTAAATTTTTGTGTAAATATGAAATTCATTTTCTAATTTTTGAATTATTTCTTTTTAGATATGGTCTTGGTCGTACTGACCATTGTTTACTAAACGATCCTGATTTTTCTTTTCATGAGGTGCTAAAGAAAAAAGTCTATTCTGACACACAAGATTCCAAAGGAGCCATCAAATTGGAAAGTCACGAAGATATTTTGAAGTTTGACAGAGATGAAATTTTGGTAAAACTGGAAAAAGGTGAGGGGACTCTCAAAATAGAAAAAGTTATTCAAAAGAAAGAGACCAGTGAAGAGAAAAAAGAGGATATTAAAATTGAATCTCCATTGGCTGAAGAAGATAAACCAGCTGAAGCTGAACCTGAAGCCGAGAATAATGCTGACACAATTGAAAAACGAGCTAGCGATGAAACAATTGATAAGGAACCAACTGAGGAAACTATTCCTAAAGAGGAGGAAGAAGAAGTTGAGAAGCAGGAAAAAGATCCAGAAGATGCTCCTACTCCTAAACAACCTGATACTGAAGACAAAGAAGAAACTATTAGAGAACCAATTGAAGATGATGCAGACAAACCAGAAAAAGAACCTACAGAAGTAGCTATTGATAAAGAAGAACTCAAAAAAGAAGACCCTTCCAAACCCACTGAAGAAATGTCCGCAAACGATTTATGTTCCAAACAAGCAGCAGAACTAAAAGCAATGTTTCCTGACTTAGAAGTCATCCAGCCACTATCCAGACTGTCACAAGTGGACACATTTGTCCTAAAAGACAAACCCAATCCTACGGGAGCCTTGGATTTCAGCGAAACCACAGTGGCTCAACTATTCAATCATGTAGTCAAATGGCCAAAAGAATACGCAATCCAAGTAAGGCTCCAGCATATTATTTATGCTGTTGAAACCAACGAGTGGCCAGCACCAAAATCATTTTCCGCCTATGCTACTGGAATCGGTAACGAATTCGATTTGCCCATACATGAATTGCCTAACGATCCGCCCAAACGCGAAGCTTCCACCCCAGATATGGATATATCTTTAGGTAAAAAAATCGACAGAAGGAAGAGGCATATAGCCATCGATGTTGAAACTGAACGAGCTAAACTGCACGCTTTGCTCAATAGCAGTCACGCAGCTTCGATGTCCAAAACGCAATGGGACGATGATTCTGAAGATTCGAGACGGTCTACACCTCAAGGCAACTTGCAACCTCCACCAGCGCATCAACATAGAGCTTCGACTTTGAATATTGGAATGGGCAGTGGTATGCCATTCGATTTTTCCAATAAGTACCATCAGTCATCTATGTCGGCTAAAACTATTGGACAAACGACTGTTATTCCTGGTACTAGTAGTACTTTGACACCTATAGATTTAAGTTCAAGGTAAGATTTTATCATTATATGATTCTTTTAAATTCACATCAACACTTTTACTTGAAAAATGCTCCAGCTCATTCAATGTATAAGTTTGTTTCGGTTCTAGAGATATTTCAAAAATTCTTATCTTTGAATGCTGTTTTCTCACATAGTTTTCACAATAAGTATACATCAATAATTGTAGTTTTTAGCAGATATTTTTTCAGGATCAAGCTATCTTTAGCCTCTGAATTCAATAACTAAATAAATTGAATATCTAAACTAAATCAAATGTCCTTTCTAGCATCCCAAAACCATCAGCAGACAAATTATCCATCGACCTACATAACGTAGTGCAAGATTTCTCAATTAAAAAATCCTCGACATCTATAAGCCCAATGAATGCTGCTCCGAAGTCTGGCAACAAACTGGACGATACCCTATCGAAACTCATGAAAAGGAAAAATTGCCCTGAACCTGAACCTTTGGTGGGCAAAGAAAAGAAACGCCGCAAATTGGACGAAATTGTTTTGGGGCTTTCAGCAGCCAAGGAGCAATCACTATTTCCCGAAACATCCAAAAAGCCAACTGTTACGCCAAGTGTTACTGTAACGCCTACTTCAGTGCCAGCAACAACGTCTCACAGCCTCTCACAAAAACCCTTCACTATAACAGTAACTTCAGTACCATCAAGTTCACAGTCACAAAGCCGCAACAACAATCCTATGTCCAATCTACTGCCACATTTATCATCAAAGGATAGCTTTTCTAGCTTCTTAGCCCAAGCTGAGCAACAAAACAACATGCTAAAAAAGCAGCAACAGCAGCAAAGAAAAAGCTACGAAGCCATGATAGCTGATATTGGTTCGAAAGTCAACACATACTCTCATGAAGCTAAAGTCAACAAATGGCTGGCTGAACAAAATATTGCTTTAGCTGAACAACCTTTGGGAGCTGACTATTTATCTAGTAGAAGACGTAGGCCTAGAGTTGACCCCACACTTTTAGACTGGAAAAAATTGACTGGTGACGAAAACGTGTCCGTTGTCCATAGAGTCACTGGCAAGAAATTGACTGGACCCAAAGCTCCCACTTTGAAACGACTCGGCCAATGGCTCATGGAAAATCCTATGTACGATATTGATCCTAAATGGTCCGAGTTGGTGAAGGAAAGAGGAAATTTGGGTGGGGATTTACATAAAAGAATGCCTGGACAAAATAGTAAGTGTAAGAATTATTTTCTTGTTGTTTTTTAAAATGACTTTTCTAGTGCCAAACATGAGTGGAATGTCTGGCAGCTCCAAACAAAAATCAGGAAACTCTGGACGACCGCCTTTACTAGCAAGTCCTACAGGCTCAACATCCAGCGTCAGTTCTGCCAATGTAACAACTTCATTGCCCTCCAGTATGTCATTCCCATCATTGACTAATTCTGGATTGGCTAATTTGAATTCCTCTTTACTGTCTGGCCTGTCAAATTTGGGCCAATTTGATCCCAAAACCAATCCATTGTTGATGCCTTTTGCAGGACTTCCTATGGGTTCAATGGGAAGCTTAGGGAATCTATCAAATATGAACTTGTTTGCCAATTTGGCTGGATTGGGTTTGCCAGGATTGGGTGCGATGGATCCGGCTGTTTTGGCTAGTGCAACAGCTGCAGCTGCAGGGTAACTAAATTATATAGTAATTTTTTCAATTCTATTCATGTATTACTTTAGGACTAGTACAAAAGGATCGAGCAGCAAGAACAGTTCCAGTACTAGCAGTTCGAAACACGATAAGCCTCAAGAAGCTCATTCCTCAAGCAAAAATCAATCGGCTAGTAGCAGTGCGATACCAGCAACAAGTTCTTTCCCATTCTTCTTCCCTAATCCCAGTTTACTTTATACTCCCCTAGGATTAGGAGGGCTTAATCCGTTTGCTTTGCAACCAGGAGTTTCTGCCTATGACAGTTTAGGTTTGCTTAATGGAAGCATGAGTTCGCCATCTACACAAAGCTCTAAAGGAAAATCGAGTTCGAGTCAAAGGTGAGATTTTGTGACAATATTTTATTAATCGTTAATAAAATTAAAATGGCAAGCTTGAAAATAATAATATGCTGGATTTTTAGGGGAGCTTCAACAACTACAACGTCATCCTCTATGAGCAGCAAACCAACTTCAAGTAGACAGTCTAGTAAAGATGCGCATATTCAGCAACTGTTGTTGCCTCCTGATACACAAATATTAGAAGGTATTTCAAAATTGGCCTCTGGGTCTTTGGATCCGGGCATGAAAATGGGAAAAAGTGACAAGAAAGAGGATAAACGTAAAGCTTTAGAAAGCTTGAGAGGTAATGTATTTTTGTTTGAATGTAGAAAATTTATGAATGCTCTATTTGGTTCTCTAGGTATGTTGCCATCTGATTTTTCACAGTCATCAAAAGATAAAAGAGCCCCAACTCTACCTGGTTTGGCTGATTTTACCAAATTATTAGAAGCTCAAGTGTCCCAATCTACAAAGAAATCTCAAGAGTACCAAATGAAAGAGGCTCTGGAACAATTTAACAAATCTAATGCAGAACTTGTTGCCAAGGCATTAGCAGAAGAACAGGTTACTTATTCGCTTTGTTTAATTCTAGTCGAATTTCTAATAATTTCTTTGATAGGCTCAAATGAATTTGATGAGTATGAAACGGCCTAGAGATTTTGGCGAATCACCTCTGGCTCTAGACAAATCTTCTTCTGAAGAAGAGCTGCAGCCTGCCAAAAAATCGAAACCTTCCGTTGCTGTAAGTGAACAGCCAGAACCGATTATTGAAAGAGAACCTTCTCCGACACCTACAGTGCAAATTGAACCTAATCCTGTTCCAGCATTGCCTGTTCTACCTGCACCTGTTCCAACTGTTGAAGGGGTAAGATTTTGCTTTTTGATAATTATTTGCTCCAATAAAAATGCCATATATTGAAGAAAATCAAGCACTTCAATAATTAAATATAAAATGAGTAGGGGTGAATTGAGGTAGCACCACGCCCTGACGTTGGCTGTACTGGAAGTGATCCTACCCACAGATTATCCTACCTTCCTTCTGACACGCATGCACATTGACAGTTGTCACGCCCACATGTCATCCCTGTTTTTTTCTACGATCAGTCGGCTTTGTGAGTTTAATAACAGTCAGCCACTCTACACTATCCACATCCTCGTGGAAGCTTAAAGTTCCATCGCAACCTGTCAAGATTCAATTCAATTAGTAGGTACATATTAATATCACAAGTCAGCCTAACACAATCAGTCAAACATCCATATTTCAGCAATCATTACGCAGGGAAAAGGGGGGGGGGGGGGGGAGAAAACCTTAGGGAAAACAAAACATCATACATCATACTTATTTCAGCCATTACACATATATACACACATCCAATGGGGGGGGGGGGGGGGGGAGAAAACCTTAGGGAAAACAAAACATCATACATCATACTTATTTCAGCCATTACACATATATACACACATCTAAAACTCTCTACTAATTCATAGGTCATTAAGACAACGGCCATCTACCCATATTACAGAAAAATTTATAGATAATCATCACAAAGTCATAAAGTCATATACAGAACTCTGCCCCTTTTTTCCTTATCCAGGTACCCACTAATCAAGTTCTGTTCATAAGTTAACAATATTTTCGTAATATTGTCTCCCTTCACCTTAATTGGCTATGAATTTTTATGTTCTATTCACAGCTCAATCTTTCGTTCAGTAGCTACTACTTCTCAATAATTATCACATTTTATAGATACAGTTTTTTTGTGAACAAGCTAGTTATCGTTTTTATCTGAGCTATACCAATATAAGTTCTCTACATGCATGAACCATCTTCAGATTCTGAGCTCACATTCACATTGTAAGGTTTCTACTTGTCCAAGGAAACGATTCCCTTGTATTTCTTCTGAGACCTTGAAGACCCTCTCAAGTCTTCGATTACAAATCTATCATGATCCAGCACACTTGTTATCACATAGAGACCTGAATATTTCGGTAACAACTTTTTGCTTTGTCCCATATTAGTAGCCTGTATCGTTCTGGATAACACACACTCACCAGTCTTCTACTTTTTCCCAGGAAAGCGTCCAGCATTATATTGAGCTTTGATTTTGCTCTGCTTCTCTCAATCAATTATTTAACAGACTCTTCAGTTTTCTGCAAGTTCTGATCATGCTAAGATTCTACTGCAACCTCGTTGGCCAATATCGGATCTGCAATCCGAAAAGTAGTTCGGAGGGAGACTTTTGTGTAGACGAATTTACACTCGTGTTTAAACCCCATCTCACGCGATGAACTTGCTCGTCCTATCTATTCTCTTCCTCTGTTGATGGAAACCATGATGTCAATATGGTCCTGTTGTACCGCTTGACCTACATGTCCATTCACTCTAGGAGTAGCAGTAGCATTTAGTACCTGTTTGATAATTAAATTCGAGCAATATTCCTTGAATTTCTTGGCTGTATAGCAGGAGCCTCGATGGCTAATTATCCTTCTCGGTACTCCAAAGTTTGCTAATACTTCATCTGGAAAATTCAATAGTGGCCCAACCTTCGTTGATTGGACTGCCTTCATGAACATAAACTTTGTAAATGTTTCCACAATGACAATGACAATAAGGTACATATTTTTTCTTTTCGATTTTACAAAAGGCTTCAGATGGTCAACGTAAATGGTATAAAATGGCTCTGAGAGTTTCTCAATAGGTTAGAGGAACCCAGGCTGACGTCCGCCAGGTTCTTTATTGTACAGGCATTCCAAACAACACGTGATATACTTCTTCATATATCTTCGCATTCCTGGAAACCAGTACGTCTTGGAAATAGTCGAAAACGTTTTATATAGTCATATGTCCTCCGCTGTCATGAACATGCATTAAAATTTGCCTGCGAGCCGATCTTAAAACAACCTATTTGTTGCCGTTTTCTGTTTGTCTTTAAAGACGATTATTAATCTTGCAATATTCTCCATCCGTTCTTCAGCGTCAACAGGATCTTTTTTCAAATCGAATTTACATCTATTGTCTGTCAGTTGCGCTGAAAGTACCCAGTCTTCATGTTCTATATTAACAAGGTTTGCGGCAATTTGTGTTGCACCTCCCCTGAGAATAGGAATAGGACTTCTACTCAAAGCCTCAACATGCGCCATTTTTGTAGCAGGACGATACTGCACTTCGAAATTGAACTCTTGAATAAACAACCACCATCTCTCAACTCTAGGAACAAGATCTCGCTTGCACAATGTCGTCCTTATAGCATTGCAATCAGTAATTACCTTGAAATTGATACCAATCAAGTACACTCTAAAGTTCTTCAAGGTGCATACAACTGCAAGGGCTTCGAGCTCATAAGAGTGGTACCGTTGTTCGTCTTTTGTCGTTTGTCTCGAAAAACACATACAGGGAAGAACTGAACCAGAATGTTACCTCTGTAATAATATTCCACCTATGCCCCAATTCGAAGCATCACAGTGGATCTCTATTGACAGATCTGGATTATATATCGCTAGAAAAGGCCTTGATACTAACCTTTCTTCAAGAGTATCAAAAGAATTTTGTTGATCACTGCCTCAGGCGAATTCTACTGCTTTTTTCGTCAAAGAAGTGAGAGATGGCGAAGTTCTTGATGTATTTTCTAAAATAGCTAGAAAAACCTAGGAATTGCCTGACCGTGCGTACATCTGTAGAAATAGGGAACTTGGATATAGCGTCTGTATTCCGTTTTCCTGATTTAATACCCTCCTTACTAATTTCGTGACCCAAATATTCGATCTTGGGCATAAAAAAGTGGCATTTTGATAATCTCAATGTAAGACCTGCATCGGACAATGCTTTGAGTTTATTGATACCGACTTCAAACTGTGTTCAAAGCTATTTACAGGTAGAAGAATGTCATCCGTGTATGTCAATGCTTTCCCATACCGCATGTTTCCCAATACTTTATTTATAATTCTCTGGAATAAAGCTGGCCCATTTGCAACGCCGAATGGCATTCGAAGGTACGCGAAATGACCGTCAGACGTCACAAAGGCAGTTTTTTGAATTGAATCGGAGTCCATCTCTATCTGGTGGTATTCACTAGCTAAATCCAAACTTGTGAAAAACGAACAGTCTTTGATTTTCTCCAAGAAATCATCAACTCGTGGTAATGGAAATGTGTCTCTCATAGTCTTCGCATTTAATGCGCGATAATCAATACACATTTGTTGCTCGCCATTCCTTTCCATTACTAAGGGGATTGGACTCGCATCACTCTCAAGCAGTTCATTCACAATATCTCTCACAACTTTCTTTTCAGTGTGAGATAAATAGAAACGTCAAAACGTCAGTTTGTCCTAAGTCTTACGTGCAAAACAATAATGCAATTCGCCCTGTCTATCTGTTCCGAAGTTAAATGATCAGAGCAAGATATGTCACTAACAGTAAAAATATTTTGTTCATTTGCTGATTGTTGCTGATACGATTACTAGAATTGTTGGTTGATTCAAAAAGTTTTGTCCTACAATGACCAATATTGACTGAAAATGATAAGGTACTACGATGAAATCAAAGTCGGCTTCTACCTAATCAATTTTCAGAGTAGTTTTTCCTTCTCCAATAATTGATATGACTGAACCACCATATCCTGATATTTTGGTGTTACTTCGGAGGTATTCCAACTTTTCCTCCTTTGCCACTTGCTCTCTGACAAGAACAGACCCACAACCAGTATTAACATATGCACGCCTCGGCATTTTGTTCAACACATAGTTGAAAAAATACTGTTCATTTGTGGAAACTGTTTTTACTAAGTTATTTTTGACTTGTTGGTTTTTTGGTCGTTTATTACAGTCACGAGTAGAGTGTCCTAGCTTCTTGCATTTGTCGCATTCCATCCTAGATTTCGGACAGTCTGAAGCAAAATGTCCTTTTTCACAACAGTTATAGGATTTAATGTGTGATTTGTCATATACTTTTTGCCGTTTTTGTGGAGGTACATCCTCTGTCGATGATTCTGGAAATCAGGTTTTTGGAAACGTTTTCCTAAACCTGATCTCGAACTACCAACATTGTGGTCTCAGTGTCGAATGATATTTACCATATAGCTCATCCTGAGACTTGTATTTGCCAGCTCTTGCGCTAGCCTGGGTAGAGTATCAGTTATTCCATCAATAGGACTGCTTTCTGTCCAGTGATTTGACAAGCACTCAGTAAGACCATTTTGTCAAAATAATATTTCTCCTAAGTTTCGTTGGAATGCTGTTTACACGTCGTCGCAAAGTGGTGGCAAAATCTTGATGTTCCAGGAAACTTTTGATGAGCAATGTCTTGCATTCTACCCAACTCATGCTATAATTATCAAGGTTATTATACCACTGCTTTGCAAATCCAATAAGGCGGCTTTGCATATGAAAGATCATGGCTTTTGCATCCCAATTATTGAGCGTCTGCAGCTGCTTTATTGTTTCACATCACTTGGACATATCAAGATTAGGATTACCTGGTTCAAATTCTGGGATGCACCCACGTTTTATATACATGCGCTGAGATTTTTCTTTCGAAGAAATTTGACTCTCAATCAACTTTTCAACCAGTTTCTCCAATCTTGTCACAGTGTCTGCTTTTTCTGCTGAAAGCACACTTCGGCCCTCTAATGATTGTAGTAGACGACGGCGTACAGCTATCACCTCCGCATGACATGCTGGGTTGAGGTTCTTCTCTCAACCTATCTCTATTTTTTCTCTACAACTACTTTTCCGTAAGTAGTCATAATCGTCTGAACCAGTACTTGAGTTCAACTAATACAGATATGAACAAAGAAATAAACAACAACAATCGACACCAAGTACATGTGGAGTAATCAATAATAATTAATCGTAAATAAACCAGTGAACAAACCAAAATTATCAACAATAAAATATCCAGCCCTGAACAAATCCGAACTAGAAAAATAAATAGGCACCTACTCGTTTTCTCAACAAGCACTTACGTCAACCAGCAAGAACACAGGAAAAACACAAAAATTGTCTTGTACTAGGTAATCAAAATTATCCAGATTACGTCAATCATAAAGAAAACAAAGGAAAACAGAACAAACATTTTTAACTTTGTACCTCAATATTTAAAATTGACCTCATTGAGTCAGTCAGGAAAACATGCAACTGAAAAAACACCCAATTTGAAGCAATCAAATAAATATTCTACACCAACTGCGTGGTCACTCGACAAAATAAAAGTCAAAGGAGAGATTCTTGATAAGTCAACCAAATATCTTATTACATACAGTTTGTTTCCAGGTCCTTTGTTTCACAACAGTTTTTAACATATCACAAAGAAAAGTCTTGTGAACACAGATTTACACAATAATTGGCACAACAACCAGTCTCTGATGTGTCTTATCCCGCCGCTGCTTTATTAAAGAAAATCAAACACTTCAATAAATAAATATACACGTCATCCCTGTTTTTTTCTATGATCAGCCGGCTTTGTGAGTTTGATAACACAATATAATGATAATTTTTTTCTTACAGGAAGGTGTAGACATTGAAACTTTGCTACCCTCTTCTGTGGTCACTTCGGCCAGTGTGACTCCGGAAAAAACTCAGCCGCCCTTAGCGGTCACTCCAGAATTGGAAAAAGAATCTCCCGAACCGGCTTCAGTTAGTGACGCAAGCGGCGCTGAAGCGGTACCCGATGAGGTGCCAACCGCTCCAAGCGGATCGGCTAAAGACGACGAGCCTAAGGCTACAAGTGAGGGAACTGACTTGCCACCAAAGAAAAATATTAAACGTAGAGGTAAATTATTTTAACTTAAGGTTATTTGAGGCTGTTTTACGTGTTGCAAGTGCAAGATTGAATCTCTCTCTTGAGTATTTCATGATGTTTTACAACATGTTAAATGTTCTCTTAAATGTAAAAAAAATTTTAATTTCATACCAAGATATCTTTAGGTAAACGTAAATCAGGTGAAATTCTGTTAGACCCCGAAGCCGTAATGGAAAAGAAAAATCTCAGGTCTAGCGCTAGCAGGTCAGCTGCAGCTGCGGCGGCTAGACATCAAAGAGAAGCTGAAAATGCACAAAGAGAGAGTGAAAATAATTTGGGTGCCTCCTAAACGAAACGCCAGGCAAAGTATTTTTTTTCTTGTGAACTGTGATAAAAATAATTACAAACGAACGCTGAGTAAATAAGTGCCGAGTTTTAAAAAGAAAATGTTGTACTGACTTGCTGATTGGGACTGATCTTTATTACGCTTCATACACACACACACGTATTCCCTTGAAAATGTTTACTATTGAGAAGGGCATAAGATTAATAATATTATTAATGTAAGTTTTAGATATTTAAGTGAAAATATTGCAATTAGTTAAGTATAAAAAAAGGAGACTCGAATTACCATTGTTATAGGTATTAGGTACAAAATGCTAGTTGAAATTTAAATGATTAAAGAAAATTAAGGCTGGTTTTTTTAGCTTTTAAGGATGATTTTAGTGAAAAAAAATCTGACTTTATATTCTTTGTTTTTTTAACTTTTTACTCTGCATTTATTTGCTGGTTTTATTTTTGACTTTTTATTAGGTGTCTAAAAATTATAATCTTGTGTATATACATGTTAGTACAGTGTGAACCTGTGTAAATAAATGTTTACTTTTTTTTTAAATACAATTACAATTGGAATAAACTTTTTTCTCCACTTGCCTTTTTTTTTATTATTAATTATATTTGCGCAATTAATTCGATATTATTGTGTATAAAGCGGCTTTTTTGACAATTTGTATTTCTATTTTAATAATAATGACTTTGTGGCAGTATAAAAAATATCGTCTCCATAATTAGTTAATCGTGTAATATGGTAGCTCTCTTTCTCATTTTATTGTTATGAAGTTATTATAAGTAAATAAAAATACAAAGAAAATATTCAATTTTTGTTTTATTTATGTGGGACATTTCCAATTCTTGAAGCAATTTACAGTGATTGTCAGAGATGATACACACATGGAAGTTCAGTTGGATAATTTTTGGGAAGCTAGATAAAATCTACAGACAGAATCTCTTATTCAACCCAGACACTTGATCATTTCAAAATACTATGGCTGCGCCTCCGCGACGGCGCACAGAAGCCATACCTGAATTCTAGAACATACTGCGATATTCAGGAAAAGAGACTATTGTGTTCTTCTGGATTATCCAGTAATGGATTACAGAGATATTGTCATTTCATAAAGGCACACAAGACTAAGCATTAAACAAATTAAGTAAATTTTTAAAGGAGGTTACCCTTGGACTATTGAAAACCTTATGTGAGCAATAGTTTTAATATAAATTCACGCACTGCGGCAATGCAAGGTAAGGTTGGTCTTGAGTGCTTTATGCCTGATGAGGTACGGCTGTAAAAGACCTGCCTTCTTAGCTGAGTATGACTAGTATGGTCGAAACTGTGAAACTTGTGGATGAAGGTCTGGTCTATAGCAGTCGTGTCTCATCAGCGTCCCCGACTATGCCCTTGGGGGTCAGTTCTTTTAGTGCATCTTTGGTTCATGAAACATTCTTACATTACCGAGGGGCATCAATATATTGACAATCGAACATGGTACAAGGTAGACCAGTAGAAAGGCGCCCTTACAAGGTATCACACCATGGACGAGAAAAAGTAGACGAGCAGATGAAGGAAATGTTAGAATACGGCATCATCAGGTTATGTCACTTTCCATGGGCAAGCCCCGTAGTATTAGTAACCAAAAAAGACAGCGCAACAAGATTTTGAATAGACTATGAAAAACTCAATAATGTGACAAAGAAGACAAACTATCCATTACCTCAAATTGATGACATATTAAGTTACTTCAGTTACTTGGTGAAATCAAAATATTTCAGTACTTTAGACATGTTCTCAGGATACTGGCAAGTTCTTGTAGAAGAAAAATCCAAGCAATATACGGCGTTCGTAGTACCTACAAGGACATGTCTCGTACGAATTCAACGTATTCCCATTCCTATTATTAAGTAAAGGGTCCTACACATTACGTTCTGTCTCGTCGGTTTTCATCGTCGCGATTAACAACGTCGTGTTTCATCGCTAGCCTGTTCTCACCACACACTACGCGATTTTTTGGCAGTTGGACCCACATAAACGATTTTGGAACGAAATGTTGAACCGCCGTGCCAAAAATCAAGCTCAGACTGAATTTTAAACCGACCATGAGACACGACGGTTTCCTACCACACACTTCGGTTTTAGATCATTGTGTTTCATCGCGGCGTTGAAAATCGACGGGAAAGAACGTAGTATGTGCGGACCTATGTGATGGTGAAAAAGAAAAATGGCGAAGAATGCATGTGTGTGGACTGCAGAGCCTTAAACCAGTAAAGGAAAAGTTTCCACTGCCACGTCTTAATGACCTTTTGGATGCCAGTACTTTACGAGCTTGGACCTTGCTTCGGGCTACCACCAGATACCTACCCATTGCGGAAAATTCAGTCCAGAAAATTGCTTTTGTGTCCGCTGACGGGCAGTACGAGTATCTAAGAATGCCATTTGGACTTGTCAATGCCCCTGGTGTGTACCAGAGAATAATGTACGCAATTTTAGGTTCTCTTAAGATTCACTTCAGTTTTGGCCTACTTGGACGACGTCCTTCTACCTGCCGTGGACATTGAAAATGGTCTGAAACTCCTAGAAAAAATACTAAACCTATTTAACGAGGCAGGCATGACGCTAAGGTTGGACAAATGTAGGTTTTTGCAAAGGAGAATTGAATACTTGGGACATGAAATCGACAGAGATGGGATTCGACCAGGTGCATACGATATCAACGCAGTTTCCTAATTCCCTACACCATAAGAATGTACATGACGTGAGAAGATTTCTTGGTTTGGCTAGCTATTTCAGGAAGTTTATCAAGAATTTCGCCCCTATTGCCAAGCCATTGCCAAATTCAACAAAGAAAGACAAAGCTTTTACTTGGGGTGAAAATGAAGATAATGTTTTCCGAAAGGTGAAAGAGAAATTGGGTGTTAGCAATATACCACAACAATGCAGAAACTGAAGTGCACACGGATGCCAGTAAGAGGGGCATTGGTGAAATTTTTGCAGAAATAAGCAGGTGGTTCCTTGAACCCTGTACAAATACCTCAGTCGAGATACAACTGAAGCAGAGCAAAAGTACCACTCCTATGAAAAAGAAACTTTAGCGGTGGTGAATTCAAAAATTTTAAAAATATCTTATGGAAAACCTTTTAAGGTTGTGACAGATTGTAGTGCTCTTCGCATTACCTTGACTAAGAAAGACTTAGTTCTAAGGATCGCTCGATGGTGGTTAGCGACCCAAGAGTTTGACTTTGGTATCCAGTATAGACCGCTAGAGGATGCAAAATGAACTATGAAGATGCTTTGAGTCGAAACCCGTTGCAGAGTAGTGAAGGTTATGACGAAATCCAAATGCTTCCCTAATGTTGATGAGGATAACTGGGTATTGGCTGTGCACCTGGAGGATGGAGTGTCGTCAAATACACACTGTTCTAAATTGTATACCGGAAAGTTCGGTCGAAAGAGAAATCTTCAAGAATTTTGAACTAAAAAATAATCGTGTGTATTGGAACACTGACCAAGGATTGAGATAGGTAGTGCCCTAAAACTCCAGTGTCCTTATTATTGAAACAGGGGAGTAGCGTTCCCAAGAGAACGAGTGTTCTGTCTTTCTCAATGATATGGAAATGATAATATAAGTAACAATGACGGAACACTGGTTCTCCTGGGAACAATACTCCCCTTTTTCAAGAATAAGGACCCTGATGGTGCAGGAAGGACATTTGGCAGTTGAGAAGTCTATTGAGGCCATTAGTAGCTGTTATTGGTATGCGCAGATATGTGAAGAACTACATATTAGTCTGTTTGGGACGCTTATATAATAAGAAACCGTCTGGAAAAACACTTGGCAGATTACTTGAGATAACATAGCATTTAAAAGAAGAGTGAGCCTATGAACACAGTACATATTGACCACTTGGGGCCCTTTGTCAAGAGCGCCAAGAAGAATTCTTATGTCATCGTAGTCGTGGACGCGTTTACTAAATTCACTATGATCAAATAAGCAGTCGCAAGGACGAAAACTTTTATGGTGATACAATTCCTATATAAGATAATAAACATGTTTGGGGTGCCCAGACGCATAATCTGGGATCGTGGAATGCCTTTAAAGGATTTTACAAAATGTTGCGACAAATTGGGCATCAAGAGAGTTTTATGTGTAGCAGCGACTCCTCGAGCAAATGGTCAAGTGGAGAGAATGGAAAAGGTAATTCTTGCTGCTCTAAATGCCTCAACGGAAAATGAAGAATGCTAAGATGAAAATTTCGATCGAGTACAATACTGAAATTTAATTTATGTTTGAAGAATCTTAACAAGATTTGGACTAAGTTTGAAGCCTTATAGTTTCAAGCCTAAAAAAATAAAACACAAATATAATAATACAAATTTATTGGGTTTATTTTCAAATACACAATATCCCTTGCAAATTATAATTGAAAAATTTACAAAGCTATAATAGTATCCTATTTAAAATAAAAATTAAAATGTTTTTTTAAATTACTTATTATTCTGAGCATTTTTTTTTGTTATTATAAAATTACGTTATACAAGAACAAGCAGTATACAACACTGATGTTCGTTATATTATGGTTACTGAAAAGTCTGCAATGTAAATATTGTATTTAAATTAAAAACGACAAAATAGCACGATGATTAAATGAAGTGTATAATTTACACTTTACGGGGAAGAAAAAAATTATTAAATAATAAAATTGGCACGCTATTTTTTTTTACCTCTAAGAGTCAATTTCATCATTAACAGTTAAAAATTTAAAAAACATATTCCATGTTAATGAAGAAACTGGCCTTAAATGTATGAGTGTTAATTCAAAATGAAAAACACACCACAGAAGCATTGATGAAGGAAATTTTTGTTTAATTAACAATTATTATCAAAATTTCCAATACATTTATGAAAAAAAAAAAAAACAAATTAATATGTCCACCTCTTTATTTTATTTTGGGATAATTACAAGTAAAAAAATATTGTTATTATTGATTTTTGTGCTATTTTCTAAGAAAAATTAAAACAAATAGGGAGTTGGACTAGAGCGATAATTGAATTTACTTATTAATAGCGAAGAGCGTAATATAAAAAAGCTTATAAAATGTATTAAAACTCATACATATACCTTACGATTTATGAGCTTTTGCCGAAACTAGCCTGAACACAAAAAAAAAACGCGATTACCGAAAAAAAAATAAAGCCATAATTGTGCAAATAATCTTTCACAAGTTACAAAATAAATAATTTAAATACATTATTGTTTAATTCAAAATATATTTTTTGGCTACAAAATGTATGCAGTTTTACACAAGATTAAATGATGTTTATTTTTAAAAAAAAATCTATACAATCGCATATTTTTGGAAATACAAAAAAAGAAAATCTTGATTCTTAAAAAAAAAAAATTACTTCAGCACAATATGATTATCGATATACCATAAATTAGAAACTAATGCTGATTTCGGTTTGCTGTTTTTTTTTTTCAATAAAAAAATGATTAAATCCTTGATTTTGTTTTTTTTTTATGTCACCCCAGGTGTAAATGTCTCGATGGAGGAGTATAACTTGGACAAACCTGAAACAATATGAAAATGTCAAAAATGTATCCCTGCAAAATATGTACAGGGTTATTGGTTATAAATGTCACCCCCCTCTATCTTTTTTATTTGATATTTTAGAAAAAAGTGTCCCAAATAAAAGTTTTATGGTTGAAATTAAATTTTTTGAGAAACTCACTTTCGCATATACAGAGTGTTCCAGAAATGCTGGTCGTGTTTCAAATTTCTTATTTCAAATAGAATACTCTGTATATTATTGGATATTCGAATTCTACATAAAGTTCTGAGCATATTTCATGTGATATACCTTAGACCTAAGTTCAACTGTTTTCAAAATATTTACAGTTTAAAATTGACTTTTTTGCAACTTTGACAGGCTGTAAATCCTAAACGGTTAATTTTAGAGCAAAACCGGGCTTACATTTTTATCTTAGATTTTTATAAACTATCAGTTGACACCAGTATCTGACATCAACTTTGAATTTAATCCATGATTGAAAATTCTAATTAAATTTAATCTTCGGTTAAATTCAAAGTTAGTGTCAAATGATAACTTGTAAAAATCTTAGAAAAAAATGTAAGATCGATTTTTCTCAAAATTTAACCGTTAAGGTTTTACAGCCTGTCAAATTTGCGAAAAAGTCAATTTTCAACTGTCAATATTTCCAAAACAGTAGAACTTAGGTAAAGGGTATATCACATAAATCTGCTCAGAATTTGACGTAGAATCCGAATATTGAATAATATACAGGGTATTCAATTTAAAATAGGAAAGTTGGAGCACGACCAGGTTTTTTGTAACACCCTATATATGCAAAAGTGAGTTTATCAAAAAATTTAATTTCAACCATAAATTTTTTATTTGGGACACTTTTTTCTAAAATGTCAAATAAAAAAGATAGAGGGGGATGACATTTATAACCAATAACCCTGTATGTATAGCGAAAAGAATTGACAAAAGTGGAAACTGTAATGTTGAATGTTGTTCTATTTTAAGACTTAAGACTGACTGAAAGTAGAATTAAATTAAAATCTTATTTAATAGGTCTTTAGAGAATTTATTTGGCTTTAATTTGAGCGCAACTACGCTGAAATCGGATGAAAATTAACGGAGCTGTGAGGCAAAAACTGTCTCAGTGTAATTTTTGGAAAATTGTCAATGTTCAATAATAATTTCAATTTTGAACCTCAGCTGCAAAACTGTTGGAACTAAATTGAAATCCAAACTAATAAGATTGTAGAAAATTTATTTGGCTTTAATTAGACCTCAATTAAATCAGGATCGAATGGAAATTAAAGGAGTTGTGAGACAAAAACTGACTGAGTGTAATTTTTGGAAAATTTTCAATGTTCAATAATTTCAATTTTGAAGCTCCTCGGCTGCAAAAATGTTGAAGCTAAATTAAAATATTGATTATCGGCTTTGTAGAGAATTTAATCGGCTTCAATTAGAGCCTAATTGCGTTGAAATTGGATGAAAATTAAAGACGCTGTGAGGGAAAAACTGTTTCACTGTAATTTTGGGAAAATGTTCAATGTTTGATAATTTCAATTTTAAAACTTCTCAAGTGCAAAAAAATTGAAACAAATATACCATTTAAACCCTACAAAAATACACTAACTTCCCAAAAACCCAATAGAAATTTTCAAAAACCTGGGGTGCGATTTTCGAAACCATTCGAGTACATTTCGTACACGAAATTTGACTGCTCCCCATTTAATTTACATTGCTGTCAGTCAAATTTCGTGTACGAAATGTACTCGAATGGTTTCGATAATCGCACCCCTGGGTTTTTGCCAACCCTGATTGTTCTTATGACAAATCCGATTTGAATTTAGGAATGATTGATGGATCATAAAAAACATAAATTTAATTAATCGCTGGCCTGAAATTTTAAAAATTTGGATGGAAAAACTAAATCGATAAATATCTCAATTTGTTTCAATAGTAAAACTAGTTTTCCTGAAATATTTTGATTTCATAATAATTATTGCTAAGACAGGATGTGAGATAAAAATGACCTATCAATGTAAAAACCCTTCCTGTTTACAAATAGCTCTTCTACAAATTCAATCAGCTTGCCTTTTAACTAATGAAGAAGGTTTAATGTGCTCATTATTAATACAGAGTGACATTTCCTATCTGAAAAAGTACATAAATAGAGAGGTGCAAACTTTCCCCTTTCTTTTTCTACTTATTTATTAGCACCAGGCAGTATGTTTAATAAAATAAAAAAACGCCTATCGCAAAGATAAAATTTGCTGCATAAACGTTTATATGAAATCAATAAAAGTTCATTACCTTAGTATCCACAAGTAATTAGGTAATCGCCTAATTTCTCCACCACAGACGCAGCTTGTTGAGGTTGGATTGGGTCTTCATATAAGGATACTACCACAGCTAAAATTAAAAAAAAACAAATAAAATCGATATAATTTATCGAAGAGTCTCTTCTTACCTTGAGTTGTTTTCATACAGTGTACACCGACTTTGCCCAATTTGGCTCTTATAACTCTGTCTGTGCCTGAGAGATATATATATCGGTTACCGGCCAACGTAACACCTGATGAGGTTAAGATATCTTGTTTTTCGAAACCCTGAACTAGTTTTGCTAATTCTTCCTTCGAGACCTAAGAAAAATAATTATTGTATCAATAGAAAATTTACAATTAAAATGTATTTATTTTACACACAGTTGTCACGATTATGCCTTGACCTTAAAAATAAACTAAAAATAAAACCTTCTTGCTTTTCTGCTACTACTGCAGAATTTTTGATAAGACTTATGCATTGTTATTAATAAACAATGACTTATTTATATTAATCAACAAAATGAGTGTTCGTTTTCTTTACAATGTTTCAGAAATTTGCTGTTCGGAAACATGAACAAAAAACTTTTTAATTTAAGACAGCATGGAAAGCGGCGTTGCAATGGAAAAGGCAAACACCACTATAGAAACTGTCTATGGCACAATATAATAATAATGATAGTATAAAATATATTTTGGTTCAATTGCCTTAATAGGATTTGTTTGATCAGCTCATTGGCGTAAATATCAAACGTTTTATATTTTCACAAGTGATACCGAGTTTCAGGTTTTTTGGCCATCATCCAATATTCATTTTGGCAAGCTGAGTATTATGAATTCTTGGAAATAGGTTATATTGTCTATTTTTAATTTGTGTCAACAATATTGGAAAATTTAGCTTTTTTACTCTTAAATCAAAAATTTAATAACAATTCAACATAAAATGCATTATTTATACCTTTGACCTTGTCGAGCAGGTTAGAAACAATGTATGACAGAGTTTTTGATAAGGAATTGGCTGCTGTTGATAAGGAGCATAATTAGTTATTGTTGTTAATAATAATAATTAATATAATAAAGGATACAATGTTTTATTCTTTTTTTTTTATTTAAAACTTGTTAAGTTTTATTTTTAAAGGGTATAATAATTATTAACAAATTATGCAAAATAATAATTGGGATGCCTCATACACAAAAATAACCTTACTATCTTATCAGTACATGTAGGCTAGTATTTTTTATTTATAGATACTGAGCAGTGTGTTTGTCTTGCGATTTTGAAAAAAACTGATAAAAATTGATGACATGTCTAAAAAAAATAATTACAATCTTTGACTATTGATTATCGTATCCTATTACTCAAATGTTCATTGTAGTGGGAAATTCCAAATAAAAATGATACTTGCAAACCAAATATCTATGCATGTATACATAAATTATTTCAAATATTGCATGTATTGCAAATATGTCACATATTTAACAAAATGTAAGTGTAAATGAATATACAAAAGAGAAAATAACCACAAATTTGATATTTTAAGGGGATATTTAGATTCAGCAATAATTGGAAATTGGCATATAATGAATAATAATAATAATATTGCAACAATTAGCATAAGTATACAGGGGCTTTTGAAATAATTGATTATCTAAGCAGAAACATGACATGCTTTACTCATAGGTAACATTTATTTATTCACAATAGCTGCCTTTACAGGTTATAAAACCCATCTTTGAAACAGGATACAATACATTGGTATAATACAATAAAACTTTCAGATAGTATAATCATTAAAGTCACCAGAAACTTCCTAAATATAAAAAAAGAATACGAAAAGTAATTTAAACAGGCTACTTTGTGGCTGTCCCAGATTTAGGTATAATTGCGGTTTTCCTGTGATAAGTCCGAGGGCAATAAATTCCTCGTGCCATTTGATACTGTTAAAGACTCTAGAATTTATCTATGATGGCTTTCTTTGAATCAGTTTATAAGAAAAACACAGCTACAGCTTTTTGTTCAGCATTAAAAAGGTAAACTAACTCCTCGACTAACTCATAAGATTTTGAGATTTTGTCATCTGGGACTTCCCAAACTCCATACACATTCTGAGATTGGAAGCCAAATTCTATGAAAAAAGGACTTCAGGAAATTGAAAAATTGATAAATCAAGTAACCCCAAGTTGCCTAACACAATTTTATCTCAGGAACTATAAGTCTAAATGAGCTGAAATTTTCAGGAATTGTAGCTCTACTAGAATAAGAATCGCTGAAAATTTCAGCTTTCTATCTATAAATTATAATGGAAAAAAAAGTTATGATGTTTCAAAGATTTCAAAAATATAAATCATAAGGTAGCTCCCTTAGTACTAAAATGATGAAATTTCAATCTTTTTCATGTTGAGATTTTATGTTGAAATGATCATCTGGAACCCCCCAAACTCCATACACTAAATTATTCTGAAATTTGAAGCCGAATTCTATGAAAAAGGGACTTCAAGAAATTGAAAAATTGATAAATTAACCCCAAGTTGCTTAACACAATTTTATTTCAGGAACTATAAGTCCAAATGAGCTGAAATTTTCAGGAATTTTAGTCCTCTACTAGAATAAGAATCGCTGAAAATTTCAGCTTCTCAATCTAAATCATAAGGTAGCTCCCTGAGTACTAAAATGATGAAATTTCAATTTTTTTCATGTTGAGATTTTGTGTTTAAATGATCATCTGGAACCTCCCAAACTCCATACACTAAATTATTCTGAGATTTGAAGCCGAATTCCATGAAAAAAGGACTTCAGGAAAGGGAAAAATTGATAAAATAACCCCAAATTGCTTAACACGATTTTATCTTAGGAACTATAAGTTCTAATAAGGTGAAATTTTCAGGAATTGTAATCCTCTACTAGGATAAGAATCGCTGAATATGTCAGCCTTCTATCTATAATGGAAAAAAAGTTATGATGTTTCAAAGTTTTCAAAAATCCAAATCATAGGGTAGCTACCTTAGTACTAAAAAGACAAGGGGTAAACCTGTAAACCACTCCTGAGAATTTTGACAAATATTTCCCCCTGGGGGAATTATTTCCCGAATATTGCTTTTATTTCCTATATTTTCCAGTAATTCCCGATATTGCCTCATAATTCCCCATAGTGCCTTATACTCAACCTTATAATTATTCCCTTTATATTTTCAGTAATTCCCTAATATTTAACATAATTTCTCGGTAGCTTTTGATAATTTCCCAATATTTCCTTTATTATTGACACAAAATTCGACATCTTAAAATGGGCTTACAAAGTGATTTTCTGGAAAACTCTATATAATTATATTTGGAAACAAGATTAGTGACTTTATTACTGGCTTCGACATCGGAAAACCAGCTGAACAAGCGGTTTTCCTTGAGGATTTTCTTTAAAATTTCATGGTGTTCCACTTAAAGAAGAAACTTCTATAAAATTCTATTTTGAAACCATGAGTGATACAAGAATGGTGATTGTATTGCTGGCTTCAACATCTAAAACAAGCTCAAAAACAGATTTTTTGGAAAATTTTAGAAATTTCCATAGTATTCTATTTGGAAACTGTGGAATTCGATATCAAAAAACAAGTCCACAGAGTGGTTTTTCTAAAATATTCCATTGTGTTTAACATTTCACTTCATCACAGAACTTTAGATTCAAAATCGAGTTTCAAGAAAGATACAGGATATTCTATGGTAAATAGATGACAGCAAACCGACGGCGTCTGAAATGGAGCAAGTTAATCAAATCTTGTCAGACATCATGAAAATTTTGGAGGACAAGACAAGCGACAAGAGGAAGACTGAAGACAAAAGGAAAAACTCGAGAAAAAACTGAAAGTAGAAGTTCAAAGATGGAAAGAAAAACAAGGAGAACAAAATTGGCTTGCATTGTTTGCAGCACTTTTACAACAAGAAACCCAAAGATAGAACAAGAAACAAAAAAAAGAAGACCAAAGACAGAAAGAACAGGACCAACTTGCAGCATTTCTACAACAAGAAAATTGAAGATAGAAACAAAAACAAGAAGAACAGGATTGGCTTCAGGAAAACTTGCCTGAACATGTATAATTTTTTTCGGCGGAAACAGCAGTTGAAGCCAGCAAGAAAATACCCGATTAATGAATTGTGTGTTTTCTTGGTTTTTGTTTAAAAGTTTTCATCCATATACATCCACAATACATATAATGATGATAATATAATCTGTTAGATTGTTGGAACACATCATAACCTGAAGGGTGGAGTTGAAAGTTTACCAAGGAGTAACGATGCGGTTCGGAAAGGAAACAACGAACGGTGGAGTTTATAAATCAGGCTTTAGAGTTTATTTACCAAGTTAAGTCCAAATACTGAAGTTTACTAACAAAACTGGCATTGTGAATGTTCGGGTGCGCTCGTTACATTACATGCACTAATAATTCCACGATATTTCCTAATAATACCTTGATATTTCTTAATAACACCTGGATATTTCCTCGATATTTCTTAATAATACTTCCATATTTCTTAATAATACCTAATATTTCCCTGTATTTCCCCTTATTGCCACATATTTCTCCAAGCTAGTGACAATAATTCCTAGGTGGTTTACCCCCTGTAAAAAGATGAAATTTTAAAAAAAAATATGTCGAGATTTTGTGTTTAAATGATCATCTGGAACCACCCAAACTCCATACACTAAATTATTCTCAGATTTGAAGCCAAATTCTATGAAAAAAGGATGTCAGGAAATTGGAAAATTGATAAATTAAGTCCAAGTTGCTTAACGCGATTTTATCTCAGGAACTATAAGTCCGTGTATAAGTCCAAATGAGCTGAAATTTTCAGGAATTGTAGTCCTCTACTAGAATAAGAATCGCTGAAAATTTCAGCCTTCCATCCATAAGTAATTGAAAAAAAGTTATGATGTTCCAAAGTTTTCAAAAATACAAATATCATAACCATAATGAAAAAAGGACATCAGGAAATTGAAAAATTGATAAAACAACCCCAAGTTGCTTAATACCATTTTATCTCCGGAACTATAAGTTCCTCGATATGTTCAAATGAGCTGAAATTTTCAGGAATTGTAGTCCTTAGAATAAAAATCGCTAAAAATTTAGAATAGAAATAGAAACAAAGGTCAACATTATTTCTCACTATCAATAAATATTGTGAGCAAGCCAGGAACAATAATTTATTTGTTAACAAGTTTCCTACCAAGAAAACTGGATCATCCACAACTGAGTCCACAACCTTACACCGGAGCTTATACCCACAGACAAAATTGAATTAATATCTACAATTACCATCAAAAAGTAACATAAAATTGATATTTTCGATTTCTTTAAAAATTGTAGTTTTTATCCAATACATATAGATACTAGGATCTCTCAAAGAGCTCAAATATAAGTCTGTTTCTGCAGAAATCACAAACCAGTCAGAGTGAATTTCATTGGTTGAAACGAGTTTTCTGACTGTTTTCAACCAATGAAATTCGTTCTGACTGGTTTGTGATTTCTGCAGAAACCTTGGCAGAAACAAACCTTATATCAAACCCATCTCCCACAAAGCTTAAATTTTAATTGGAAATAGTTTAATTTGATTAGTGTTATTGTTATTTCATTTGAAGTAAACATAGAAAACCTAAAAAGCAGAAATATGGAAATTCAAGATTCAAATCTATTTACGTTTTGACTAAAGAAAATAGGTGACTTTCTGAACAAAATATTTGGCCAAACCCCAAGTTAAGTCAATACAAACCGGAGTATGAACCCAAAATTTCCTATTTCACCTGTCTAGTTTTAGTTTCCTATTAATAATTTTTCAAATCTTGCAGGTAATTAGCAAATCGCAAATTCACCTGAATGTATTTTTAAATCATTCTATTTTGAGTATTTTAAGAAAAATTTCTCTCAACATAAATTCAAACAAAATTAAATATCTCATTTGACATTCAAAGATAAATCTCCTGTGCCCATCCCTAAAAATTGATCTGCCTGGGGGGGCTTACAACAACGATTCACGAAACAATCCCCAACCAATCATAAAAATCAATAAAATACACCATTCAGAAAAAAAATCATCTTGTGTAGGTTGTCAATTGTCACCACATCGGGAATATTCTGGAAGCGGCAGGATTTTGAGGAGGAGGACGTGGAAAATCCTTAAATAGGGAACAAGTCATCGAAATAATGACTCAATTGCTGCGTTGAGCGAAAAAAATGAATCATTCTTAAAATGTGTTAAGCACGTTTTCGTACAAAGTCACATCAATCCGGCCATATGTTGAAAGGCCGTTTGGTGATCTTGAACTCAAAAAAATACTTTCCTTTCTAGCAAATATTTGTACTCTGTCCAATCCCGATATAAATGGCGGCCATTTTGAATGCAACCGGTAAAAAGATTACTAATAAAAATCGACTATTTTACTTGAAACCACTACAAATTGTAAATAAATAATAATAGGAAATTATTTGTATATTATTGTTTAACAAATTTCAAATGTTTGATTCACGTTTTATATGGCTGGAGCAGTTTTAAACCCCATTAAAATAAAACCAAGCAGGAGCCCAACCCATTCTTCCTTTGTGCAGGCGCTTAGTCATTTTTTAGTCATAAATTAATACTTTCAATAACCAAATGGTAATAATCGATTAAACAATGTTTAAAATTAGGATTCAATTAACAAAATCGACTACTTACTTCAAAATTCTCGGATTTCGCCCAAACATTACCATCGTGTCCTGCAATAGCGGCTTTGGTGACACATCTAGAAGCAAGAAGTTGCTTATCAACGTAATCCTGCCAACTCATTGTTGCTAATTTGAATTTTTTGTTAAAATTTAGTGTTATTTACGTTGGAAAATGGACTGATAAACGTGCCGGGTATCAGCCGCGGAGCTAAAAAATTAATACTAAATTCACTTCTGCAAATTTTTCGTGTGTGAAAAGAAACTGAAATTTGACAGACCGCCTTGTCCGTGTAGAAAACTGACGCATGCGCCAAAGTCAAAATCGATCATATTGCCAACTACACCGCGCGAAATTTTTTACTATCGGTAAAACTGGTAGTGGCTATTGATACGTTGATTGAGTGTAAATTGTAAAAATATGTTTTTAAAATTTGACACATGAAAATGTATTGATGAGGAGCAAATAATCTTTCACTATTTTAATTATTATTGTATTTTAGAAACAAATAATTATACTACTACTAGGAATGCGATTTGAAAAAAATCTTATATCTTATGGTGCAGTTCGCCTTGCTCCAGTGCACATAAAAAATCCGAGTGCAAAATAGTGCGACTTTCCAGTTTCCAATCGAAATTTGGCGCGAGAGCAAGATCATGAAATTTCGATTAATTATGTTGTTGGAAAATTAAATCCATCTGATAATGAGGTCTCTGCAAGAAATATTGGAGTTAGCAACCTCGCTTTGGATATCTACGATAAAATCAAGGTTATTTGAGAGAGGAATGTTGCTGATAACTTTATGACGTCATCTGGGGAGCCTCACATAATAGTTGTATTCCTTTCAAGAGTTTAGAGCTAGCTCCGGTGTTAGTCGACCCCAATTTGAAAGGAACAGATGCGCTGGCTTTCGTGCATTTAAATGGTTTGATTTCGGGCTTGAGCACTTCAGGTGCAATAAACACTTTTCGAAAGGAATAAGCGCGTAACGCCCCGGAACTGTTCCGGGGCTCCCTCAGGTGTAAAAGGAATACAACTAATGCAAATCTCCACAAGGCACCCAGACAACCTATTAACTTTAGGAACCTTATAAAACTATGTAAAATTTGACGTTTTTCCGCTATCCAAAGTCGTTCCAATAGACCGAGCTCCTATTACCTGGACTGTACGCGTCGCTTGTAGGCTGCAGATGAGCGTCCAATGAGAAGCAAGTTTGTTACAGGCTTGCGTCATATTCTTATTCAGGAGCCAGTTCAGAATGAATCGTTCCCTCTTTCTTTGTAACGTGTAATTCGACAAAGAGCAAACTAATACTTTACATAATTACTTGAACTCGCCGCAGTGTCGTTTAAGGTTATGTTAAATTAAACTTGAAATATTCCTTTGCAATTTCATTGTGCGATGTTGCCGGATGAAACATTTATCAAAATAGAAGTGCAAACGATGTTAACATACACTTTTTAAGCTCTTCTTTTGTCTGATTCAAGGCGTTGTGAAACACTTGACACTATATCACTTCTTTAATGTTATAATGTTCGATTTTTATTGTCTAAATTTGTTCTACAACAATACAATCTGGCTACATTGCACCTACAAGTTGCGCGCGCATGTCATCTTTTATTACTCTCTAACTTGTAGGTATTTATTACAATTAGGCTATCTTTTTTTATTTATGCAAGACAAGGCAATAGACCGATCTTCTATTACCTGGACTGCGCACGTCGCTTGTAGGCTGCAGGTGAGCGTCCAATGAGAAGCAAGTTTGTGACAGGCTTGCGTCATATTCTTAATCTTAATCACGGGCCAGTTCAGAATGAATCGTTCCTTCTTTCTTTGTAACGTGTAATTTGACAAAGAGCAAAAAATACTTTACATATTACTTGAACTCACCGCAGTTTCGTTTAAGGTTATGTTAGATTATACTTGACATATTCCTTTGCAACATTGAGCGATGTTGCCGGCTGAAACATTTATCATAAAAGTGCAAACGATGTTCATCCACTTTAAAGCTCTTCTTTTGTCTGATTTAAGGCGTTGTAAAACACTTGACACTATATTACTTCTTTAATGTTATAATGTTCGATTTGTATTGTCTACATTTGTTCTGCAACAATACAATCTGGCTACCCTGCAGCCTACGAGTTGCGCGCGCATGTCATCTTTTATTGCTTTCTAACTTGTATTTATTACAATTAAGCTCTCTTTTTCTAATCATGCGAGATGGGTCTAGTATGCACCGAGTTTGGGGTGTTCGGGCAAGAGTCAAGAGTGCAGTCAAATCGAAATCACCTCAACGAGGGCGCTATTCAAAACCGCCATTTGAAAATAGCGATCTCATTTTAGCGATATTCCAAACACCGACATATCAAAATAGCGACATCCGAACGGATTAGTGAGCTATTTTCTTACAACTTTATCTCTTTTTTGCATTGTCATTGTTCAAAAATATCGCGATTTTGAATCTCCCTATTAATAGTTGTTTTTTTTTCAAGAATTTAGAACACTCTACTCGCTCTCGCGTTAGTCGACCCCGATTTGAAAGGAACAGATGCGCTGGCTTTCGTGCGTTTATGGTTTGATGCGGGCTTGAGCATTCTAGGTCGCTATTATCCTTGCGTTCGGTATTTTGTTCAAAGAGCAGAGCGTGCTGAGCGGAGCCGTAATCACGTGACCAGCGAGCGAACAGAGCAGTAGAACGCAGTATAAAAGCGCCACCGAGTACACTTTTTAAATAAACGAACGGTAAAGTCAAGCTCGGATAACTCATACCAAAATAACGAACGCACGGTATGATGGATAAAATGGCGTCTGCTCCACGAGCAATGAAATATAAGCCGCTTTCCAGCTGTGTGCTTCAAGCACGGTGCAGCACAGTGTTCTGTGTTTGAAACGCAAAAGTTAGCAGCTCTCGAAGCGCAGTACGGCTGGAACACGAACACGCGCTTGAAGCATTTGCGCGCGCAAAAGCACGATTGCGTACTCAAAAGCGTCAGCTGGAAAGCGGCTACACGTATTGCTACACGTATCTGGAATGGCACTGACTGTTGTCGCCAATGACCTATTCCTAACCTCAAATATATTATTTTTTAGACAAAGAAAGATTTCCATAATTCGCCGATAAGATAAATAGAGATAGGTTTACCCCACATTCTCCATCTCAATTTGCCGCAAATTTATGGATCGGCGGGCCATTCCAGGTACGTGTAGTTTATAGTTCATTGTCCACGAGAGATGCGGAGTGAACATTTTACAAAACAGGCGTTCATCAGAAGATTGATGATTAAAGGTAAGTGGTGCTTATTCTTGAAATACAGATTTTGAGCAAAATTTTTATGAAAAATTGAAATTCTCAAGGATGGAACCTGTTGAATTTATTCAAAAAATTACGTTAATTTTTCAAATAACAATAACTTTGTTCCAACCCAGCAGGGAACTCTACTTTTCACCATCAGAATTCTATGCAAAACGTACATTTTGTGCGTAGAATCCGAGATTCGTATACAGAGTAGTTCCGAAACCGTTCTTGGGACTTTTTTTGGGCAGATTGGAACAGACCAGAGGACGCACTGGAGTAACATGCTCTGGTGCCATCTCAATAGAACTTATACAAGAACAATAGGATTGCTTCAAGAACACTTAACCTAATAGGACTGCTTATTGAGGTTAAAGTCACTATGCATGTCAGCTGCAGACCTCAATTTTTGGCATGAAATGCGTTATCCGAGCTTAAACTACTATAGATCACAAAAACAAATTTCTAAACTTTGAAATCACCTTTTCTACATTTGAAATCGACGAAAAAATCAACTCATAAGCACAGTCTGAATCGCAACCAACCTCTCGAGGTCTGCGGTTGACGTCACTTTTTTCAGCTGCTGATTGTTAACGAGTTTACAGACCAGCTGCCGACTCGAGATTGCCCAACGTACGCCTTTATTAGGATTAGGATAAGCAATGCCTAAACAGTAAACATAATTGCAAATCTAAATCTCCATAAGAAACACCTGATGACGTCATCGGTTTGCTTTTACGAGACAACCTAATAACATTTAGGAACCTTGCTCGTAAATAATCTTGAACCGTGATGTTATTGCTTGATCAATGCTTGATCCTCTGCTCGATCCAAACCCAAGCTTCCTAAAGTTCCTAATAAGTTGTCTCGTTATCTAGTATTGGTAAACATATAACGTCATCAAATAGTGCATAATGGGGATTTGCATTATGTTTTAGGCACCCTAGATGACGTCATAAAAGTTATCGCAACCTGAAGTTTGTTTCACGAGGGTTTGTACTTACGTCATCATTTGCCTTCCTTTTTTAACAAATTGAAATTGCAAATATCGCAGACACTTATGATCCTGTTTCAAAACGTCAAAAAACTGTGCCATGAACGGCTCCGAAACAAAAACCTCTCAGATAAAAATTTCGGATTCTACGCACAGATTTTAGGTTTTGCGCAGAAGCATGACGGTACATTGTATGGTTTCCTACTGTGTTGGAGCAAAGATAAATCGCTTCAATAATATACAGTATCGTATGCCACTATTGGCGGAGGTCATTGGGAGGAGGTAATGAGAAATTAAAAATTTACAGATAGGAAAGGTAAGTGATGTTTTATTCTTAAAATACAGATTTCGAGAAAGATCTTTATGAAAAATTGAAATTTTCAATGAGGGAACCTTTTGAATTTACCAGAATCTCCATGAGTATTTGCGAAACCGATTGTACTCGAGGAAATAAATGTTGCAGTAGTCTCTAAATAAAATTCAAAAGCCTGAACTCTAAAATTGCCAATTTTAAAAGGGGTTGAAGGATTTTCCACTTTCACGCAAGGATAATACACACTACTAAAGGCTGGTTTCTCAATAGCAAGTCACCCCCGGGTTAAGCATAACTCCAGGGTAAACATTGCAACTGAACACGTTTATCCTGGAGTTAAAACTAACCCGGAGGTGACTCGCTATTAAGAAACCAACCTCAAGGATTTCTTATCCGCCTCGTTTTTGGTTAACGCGGTCATATGGGTGTAGACAACGTCATTAACTATAGCTATGCTCCAACCAAATAAGAACCGTTTTAGAACGGTAGGTTCCAGTCGATCAATTCATTTGTTAAGTAGGATAAACGTTCAACTTATTGAAAAATAGGTGGGCAACTGAAAATTACTGATTCTGGAACGGTTCTCATGTCGGTTGGCACAGACCTTTGTCGTCAGGCAAATAATAGGAAAAGAAAAGCAGTTATTTTAGAATATTTATTATTGTAGCAAAACCAAGTATGCATAAAGCAAATGCCCGCGGAATCGTAACCTGTGGTGCAAGCACCCTACGTCAAGGCGAGAAACGGCATGCTATTACCTCATCACTGGTTCTGTGGCGTGGTGGGGGGATTGAGATTTGATCTACACAGGCCTTATGAGAATAAGCTATCTTGTAGTAGTGTGTTTTTTCCTTGGTTTGCACCGACCATTTGGGAGGTTTTACGATAATCATTGATTTAAGTGACATTTATGGCCGTTTCCACCAACTATTTTAGGGGAGACTTAACGATAAGTATTCCCTAAACTGACATTTCTCCATGTAAAAATGTCATTTTAGGGAATACTTATCGTTAGGGCTCCCCTAAAATGGTTGGTGGAAACGGCCATAATACATGTAAAACAAGGATTAACAAAACAAGGATTATACACACTACTACAGGATTGTTAATAAGCCTCGTTTTTGGTGATCGCGGTCATATGGTGTAGCACCATTTCCGACGTCATTAACTTTCGTCAGCTGTTTGCGCCAGCGATCGTAATTTAGAATTTAAATTTATGATGAAAAATATTATTTTTCTGCGATTGACAAGAAATGTCAGCCTTTTTGACCGGTTGACAGGTCGCAAAACTCAATATTCTGGTATTTTAATTATTTTTCAATAGTTGCTAAGGAATCGATGAATAACAATACGGGAATCACTTTTCCGGCCTAGGCCGGGAAAGTGATTCTCGTACTGCTGAACAATTGGAACAAAAAGACAAACATTTAACAGATATTTAACCGATCGCAGAAAAAATAGTATGTGTATTTCGGTGGAAAAGCACATTCAAAAGCACACCGTCGGCCGAGAATGTGTCACTTTTCCACCTAAATACACAATATACTATTATTTTTAGTTATCGTATTAGGCAAAGAGGAAGATGTAAACGAGATCTGAAAAAGAGCTGTTTGAGAATATTAGTTAATGTAGTAATACCAAGTATGCATGAAGCAAAAGCACGCGGAATCCTAACCTGTGGTGCAAACTCCCTATGCAAGCCGAGCAATGACACGCTCTTACGTCATTACTAGTGCTTTGGCATGGTTGACGGTGACGGGGCTTGAGATTAACTACACAGACCTGAGGATAGGCTATCCCTGAGGGCTATCCTGTGGCAAGAATCGTAAATTAACTGGATTGCTCATACTCATAAGGCGTACGTTCGCCATTTCTCGAGTCTGCAGGACCTGCGACTGATGTCACCACTATTAGCAGCATAGCAGCTTATAGTGGTGACGTCACCCGCAGGCCTCGATGTGATGCTTGCGCTTCAGGCTGTGCTTGTTTTTTCGTCGATTTTAAATCTAGAAAAGGTGATTTTAAGAAGATTATAACATTTAGGTATTCGCTTTTTTGACCTTTACTGTTTTAAGCTCCGCTAATGCATTTTACGCCAAGAGGTGAGGTTTGCGGCTGTTAGGTTGTTCTTGTTCCTGTAGTAGTAGTGGGTGAAAACGGCCATTATCATTTAAAACGTAAACAGTTTAACGAATGACTTTTTTTGATTTATTTTGCAAGATTCGTATCGATACATATCGATATGTCAAATTAGTATCGATATACCTAAACATTTATCGAGGGCGGGATTTTACCAAGCCTAAAATCATCGCTCCGGTGTTAGGGTGGATTTTCATGCATCCGTTTGTCCGACGAAATATGTCCGTTAAATCTTCTATTTTGACATATTTTTATACGATTATGTCAGAATAGAATGTTTTTCGGACATCTTTCGTCGGACAAACGGATGCATGAAAATCCGGCCTTAGTCGCTCCTGATTTGAAAGGCCTGCGTGGTGCAACAAACACTTTTCGAAAGGAACAAGCGCGTAACGCTCGCACCAGTTCGTGAACTTTTCCTAGGTGTGAAAGGAATATAACCTATTTAAACCTTATGGCTAAATTTCAGGTGAATGTCCATTAAAATATTTCGATTTTACTTTAAGAAGTCGCAAGCTCCGGAGCTATTAGTTTGGAGTAGCTCCTAAAAAGAATCAACCAGTGAGGAACGGTTACAGGAGTAAGGGGGAAGCTCCGAGAGAGAGTCAGAGCGACTTTAGTAGTTGTAGTTGATTTTCATCATTTATCATTTGGTCGGTGTCGAAGTCGAGTACACCTCGAGAGCGCTCTCTGGAACATGGAACAGTTCGTAAATAAACGGTCAGTTAGCCACACCGAAACTCCGAGACAACCCTGCCTGTCAACCTGTCACTTGATTTTTGCCGCCATTTATAGACAAGCGTCACGACAAGAGGGTTGTTTAACCGAAGGGTAAAATAAAGGCCCACTTTGATTAAATTAAATACTCGACACAAACAGGTAAGTGACACTTTAATGTTAAATAAATAATTGTCAACTTTAATTGAAGTTAAATTGACAAGTATTTACAACAAACTAAAATTTGTTAAACTCGGCATTCAAATTCCCCGCGCGCGAAGTCATTTGGATCGTATTTCCTGTTGTGTAGACGAAGCGTAGCTCCGCGTTAAATTTAGTCAGTGCTTTAACGAGTTTGTTTCAATAGAGAAACTTATAAAAATACCACAAAAAACACTTATTTAACATTAAAAGTTGATTAAAGTAAGCATTCATTATTTAGCTTCTGAAAAAAACTAAATTGTTCTCTCCTTTCAGCTGTCAACGCGTAGGAATTTTGATATCTTCAATTAGACAGCGACATCCCTCTTTTCTTTTGCAATTTGCGAAGTGAATATGTCTGGACCCGAACGAAGGCAAGTAATTAGTTAATATTGGGCTATTTTTAGTTATTAGAAGACTGTGCGATTGTTTAATGTTGAGGGCAAGTTTTGGTGTACATATTTCCTCAAGTTCTTTCATATAACACGATTTTAGTGCGCCGAAAGTTCCGTCACTGTACCACATGGTCTCATAATCCCATAGCCAACATGGCGTGAAGGAAATCTATACCGAAAAATCCTTAATTTTAGAGGCATTTATCGTATTTATTTGGTGTACTAAAGATGTTTGTAATATTTGATTTATTGGCTTGTAAAGTTTATCTAGGAATCTTGATTTTTGAGTGTATTTTAGTTATATAAGTTCTCACTTAATTTTCTTTAAAACCTGCCTATTTCCTTAAAATTTAACTCTGAAGTAAATTTTTTTATCACCATTAGTCATTAGTTGGCTACTTGCCATAAATATTTCATTGGAAATACTTTTGGCATATAATTTTGATGTATGTATTTTATAGAAGCGAAGATTGGGATAAAAATGGACCACCAGTTAATCCCGAAAAAGAAGAACCTGCTTACGATGGACCACCAGGCATGGACCCTGACGGTGTCATCGAATCCAACTGGGAAGAAGTCGTCGACAATTTTGACGACATGAACCTAAAAGAAGAACTCCTAAGAGGAATTTACGCTTACGGTTTCGAAAAACCCTCTGCCATCCAACAGAGAGCCATAATACCCTGTGTTAAAGGACTCGATGTTATTGCTCAAGCACAATCGGGTACAGGCAAAACGGCCACCTTTTCGATCTCTATTTTGCAACAAATTGATACTGCCGTGCGCGAGTGTCAAGCTTTGATTTTGGCCCCGACTCGTGAGTTGGCTCAGCAAATTCAAAAGGTGGTCATTGCTTTGGGGGATTTCATGTCCGCCCAATGCCACGCCTGTATTGGTGGTACCAATGTCAGGGAGGATATGAGGAAACTTGAGACTGGAGTACATGTTGTTGTGGGTAAGGATACACATTTCTATTGGAATTTAGTAACCCCAAACTACCTAAATAATTCAAGCTTAATATATTTTTTTTAACACGTCTATCTCTGTTCAACCAGTTACCACCATCTTATATAAAACATGATAATTTTCATTCTTGTCAACCTTGATAGAATCCTAATTCTAATTCATATATAATTGTTAACCATAATTTGCATGTTAAGCTGGAACTTACCATAAGCATAACATCTATTTGAGGAAAGGTTGGTGAACAATTTTCTCCAGTTTGGTTTTTCGGATTTTTGATGAATATTTTCATGTAATAACAACACAAATAACTATCAAAAATCCTACCAACATATTTAAAAAAGGTCAAAAAACTGTTTTTTAAAAAATTCTCTTTTACAAAGAGAAAATTAAAATGCAATCCTGAAACCCTTATTTGTTTGAAAACGTTAGGTTATAATACACAAATATTCACCAATAATCTTCTAAGGATACCTACTTGCACAAAAATTGTATTCCATCATATTTCTGTGATTAAGAATATCTAATGGGTCCTTGTCAAATCAAATCAAAATATGCTTTATTGTATAAATGTCATGGTCTCATTTACAAAGCTCAAATATAATATGCTTACATATACGTAATTAAATAAAGAAAAAATTAAATTCAAATGAAATATTCAGTCACTAAATTGCATTGTAAAAAATGTCATAAAACTGTAAAATAAATAAGACAATGTATATAAATAAAACAAACAAACATGTAAGTATAAAAAAGGTGAAATAAAGTAATAAAACAACAGTCACACCAAATATGTCTAAAAATAAATCCTACAATACATAAAGGTTTACTACCCCATTAAAGTCTGTCTAAAATATAGTTTTTATGAAAGAAACAGTCACAACCATACCAGTCTAAAAAGTTTCGGAATAAAATTCATCTATTTCAATGTGAATGTAATTATTAATACCTATAAAACAAATTATTAATTTCATATTTCCAAAGTTGAAGAAATTCAAAAATGTAACAATTTTAATTCCTACACAACCACTTCATCACATAACTTAAGAAACCTACTTTTATTTGTCCCAGTAATTTCCAAATTATTCTGATTTATCACTGAAAGACCCACTCAGACAAGAGTTCAAACCAAATTCTGTTCTGTGAAAATCTACATAAAATAGATATTTGTGTCTTGTCTTACAGGAACATAATCTTGATTTGCTCTGGTAATTGAAAGCAATCTATGTGATAATTGAGCTGCAATTCTTGAATAGCATCGACTTGATTTTTGTGTTCCAAAGCCTTCAACAGTAATGACTGGTAAAAAGCTAAGTTCAAAATCAAAATCAAAATAGTTTATTGGAGTTATAAATACAATTGTACCTTACACAAGTCATATAAATAAATCTTACATTTATCATAAAAATTACAAAAATTATGCTGAGCACTATACATATTATTTAGAAGAAAAACAGACCGATAAATGCTAAAATTACAGTTGAAGGTTGTAAAAAACCATACTGAGCATCATCAACCAGTCCCTAGCAGGCCTATGTCAGTTGTTCAGATATTACTTAATAATTTTTTTTTTTTTTATCACCACTTTTAAAAATCAGTACTAGGAAGCTTTGTTTCCAGAGTTCTGGGTATTCTGAATGAATCATAGAATTATTAAATATAATTGTAATTGATTTTGTAAGTGTACAAACATTTTTCTTTAAAAGTAACTCAGGAATACCATTGGGACTTCCCTATCAGAGAGGCTCATCACTGCTTCAAATATGCTCCAAAAGCTGATTGAGTGCCAATTAATATTATTGTTACGGTAAATTTCTGTTAATGTGTGATCGAAAGAACCTAATGAGTATACAGTGGAAAAAAAATACCAAATGAATTGGCAATATCCTGTCCCTCGTCCTGTCCTAAACTTTTGAGACAAGACTATAGGAACTTTTTTGATCTCTAATAAATTCCCAAAAAAACCTAGGGTTTGTCTTACAACTGTTATCTACATTAATTATATACTCAGATCGACAGTCAGAGAGTTTTTCACATTGAGATCTAAGAACAGCAAATTCTTAATATTTAAAATCAGTTTTATCATTGAGATACCTTTTATGGGTTTTTCTTTTCATAGAACTTAAATGCCTAAGTTCTGCTGAGAGCCATTAGGGATTTGTCTTGGATTTTTTTACAGGTTCAAAATATGCAATTGCCTCAGCCAATTTTTCATAAAACAGTGATGTAGCACTATTTATATCAGTGTTAGAAAGGATATCGCTCCACTGAATTGACCCAAGATAATCATTATGTCCTATAAAGTTCCAATTTTCAAAATTATAGTAAAAATCAGTAACATTTCTTCAAGAAGTGGATCACTTGCCTATTCAATAACAATTATAACCAAGTTGGACAAGGTTGTAAAATAATGTCAAGTCTAAAAATACCCCTCTGTTATTTGGAGTATTATTAACCTGAGATTAGGAAATCCAAAAGATGTGGTTACAGTCAAGGCACTCGAATTTTTAAGACACACAGCATGAACTCCATACTCATCATTGGACCAGTTAGCTTCTGGTAAGTTATAGTCACCAATGTCCGAAAGCCCATGGCCAGGAAACCGCTGACATCAATAGACCTACAGTGTAATTCATAAACATCAGTATTATACAGTGGGTCCGTAAAGTAACGGATAAATTCATTTAAAATTCATGTCATATTTTTTTTTTATGGAAAAACGTTCGACACGTCGGTCTTAATTTTTAGTGCCGCTGTTTTTAAACTAATTTGTATTTATACAAGGTAACCCAAAAAAGAGATATCACATGACACTTCATTTTTTTAAATGGAATGCCCTGTATATTTTGATGAATATGACGTATATGAATACGCACCCATAGTGTTCCCTTGCAGTATTACTTAAACAATGTTCGCTTGTCTGAAGTTTCTATCATTAAAGATCTTGGTGTCTATCTAGATACTAGGCTAATGTTCACTGAGCATTTTGAAGTGGTAATTGGCAGGGCTAATAAAATGTTGGGGTTTATTAAGAGAGCTACTAGGGACTTTACAAGTATACGCCCTATCAAAATTCTTTACACATCACTGGTCAGGTCCGTTCTTGAATTTTCATGCATAGTTTGGTCACCTTACTATCAGATCCACATCAATAGGCTTGAGAGTGTTCAACACAAATTTATTAAGTTTGCAAGGTACAAACTTTCTTTGAGTGGTGTAATTCTCAGTGATGACCTGACTATGACTTATTTAGACTTATCTACTCTTGTTCGCAGAAGGGAATATTTTGATGTCTGTTTTGCATTTAAAATTCTTAACTACTACATAAAAAGCCACGAATGTCTTGAATGTTTTAATCTACACATTCAAAGTTATCAGACACGAAGTAAATCTTTACTGCACATTCCTTACTTTTTAAATGGAATGCCCTGTATATTTTGATGAATATGACGTATATGAATACGCACCCATAGTGTTCCCTTGCAGTATTACTTAAACAATGTTCGCTTGTCTGAAGTTTCTATCATTAAAGATCTTGGTGTCTATCTAGATACTAGGCTAATGTTCACTGAGCATTTTGAAGTGGTAATTGGCAGGGCTAATAAAATGTTGGGGTTTATTAAGAGAGCTACTAGGGACTTTACAAGTATACGCCCTATCAAAATTCTTTACACATCACTGGTCAGGTCCGTTCTTGAATTTTCATGCATAGTTTGGTCACCTTACTATCAGATCCACATCAATAGGCTTGAGAGTGTTCAACACAAATTTATTAAGTTTGCAAGGTACAAACTTTCTTTGAGTGGTGTAATTCTCAGTGATGACCTGACTATGACTTATTTAGACTTATCTACTCTTGTTCGCAGAAGGGAATATTTTGATGTCTGTTTTGCATTTAAAATTCTTAACTACTACATAAAAAGCCACGAATGTCTTGAATGTTTTAATCTACACATTCAAAGTTATCAGACATGAAGTAAATCTTTACTGCACATTCCTTACTGTCGAACCTGGTACCTACTATTCAGTCCTGTGAATAGAATATCTGCCAATGTAAATAAGTTCTGTGAGGGCCTTGAGTTCTTTGGTTTATCTCTGGATGAATTTAAGACGAAGGCCAGGAGAATTGTTTTAGGTTAGATTTTTTTTTTTTTTTTAGATTTAAACTCTGTTCAACTTCAAATGTATTTTTCTTATACGTAAATAAATAAATAAATAAATATCAATAGAACGAGAATTCATGTCGATGCGCTCTATTGATATTCATCAAAATATACAGGGCATTCCATTTAAAAATTTTAAATGTCATATGATATCCCTTTTTTGGGTCACCTTGTATAAATTCAAATTGGTTTGAAAACAGCGCCACTGAAAATTAACACTGATGTGTCCGAGCGTTTTTCAAAAAAACATATGCTTAAATTACTTTACGGACACACTGTATACTCCTACTATAAATATTGCTGTACCAATACATAGCATACTAACTAGCTGTTCAATAATTCTATTTCCATCTTATCGAAATTATAGATGCCAATATGTGTTGTCTTGTATATGTATATAAGGAAACCTCCACCCCATAGGCTTCAAGCTTGTGTCAGTAGTTTGGTCAAAGCCAAAGCTATTATAATTTTTACATTGAATTTCACAATCATCAATTTCCTCACATAAGTTGCTCTCAACCAAATACGAAGATTATTTTCTGAGAAATTCAAAATTATCAACATTTTAAGCTTTTGTTGATTATTTTATTCTGTTCATTCCAAAAATTCCTATTTCTATTTAAAAGTTTTTTCCATATGACTAAAATATTTATGACTAGTATAGGGTTATTCATTCTATTGTGTGACATTATTGTTACTTGGAAATTGGAAAATAATCTTGAAGCATAAATTACCTATAAAAATGGATTAGGTCAATAGATTGACACTCAAGTATCAAATAAGGAGAACTCATGACCAAACTATGTTTCAATATCACGTATTTTCAATGATAATTGATTAGTCATGAATGTGGTCTACTTATTTTATTATCAGTAAAAGATAAAATTCTTTGAATATGAATTATTATTCGTTTGATAAAAGTTGAATTGTTCTTTGGCTATTTGTATTACTGGGTACACTCTTTGAATCCCATGTGATAACTGGGTTGAGTTTGGTTATGTCGAACGCAAACACAACAAAAAGAATCCTCCAGAATTATTTTAAAAAATCCTGTGCCCATTGTAAAAAAATGTGGCTTCTCCATGGCACTGCATAAACTGTGGATCAATCCCAAGCAAAAGTGTTGAATCCAGAAAACAAGGTGTTTTGCTACGTGAAATCGGAAAAAAGTGTGGTTAATGAACAAGAAAACACATCCAAAAGCAACAACATTGATGAAAAAAAGATAAGAACTGTTTTGAAGGACTTACTAAATGAGTATCTTACACCTTTTAAAAAATCTGTGCAAAGTGACCTGGAGGAAATCAAAAAGTCCCTCCAACTTGTATCAGATGGATTCGACGAGCAGAAGGAAACCATAAATAAACTATTGGATGAAGTTAAGAGCCTTAGAAACCAAAATCAAAAACTAAAAAAAAAGGGTGCAAGAAATGGAAAACAGAATAAACTTCTCTGAACAACAGGAAAAGGAAAATAACTTAATCATATCTGGAATGCCTAAACAGACAGATGAACCCAGGAAAATTGTAAAGAAAGTGCTTAGTGCAATACAAACAGAAGTGAATGAGGATGAAATATTGGAAACATACTAGGTGTCAAAAAAAGAAAATGCACCTATTGTTATCAAGTTCAGGAACAAGATATCGAAACAAAAAATACATATTAGGATCAAGCAGCTTAGAGGAATTATGGTAAATGAATGTGGATTTGTGGGAGAGAACAAAAATATATACTTTAATGATGATCTCACCAAAAAGAATCGATATTTGTTCAAAAAAGTTAGAGAACATAAACAAATCCACAAATATAAATCAGTCTATGTAATAACATGGACGGATTTATTTAAAGAAAGGTGAACCAATGATAGTTAGAAATGAAAGTGATTTCACGCAAATTGTATAAGCTGAGACAGAGACCAACTTAATTTGATTAAACAAACTTTATACATTAAAAATGGACTATAAATATACTATACATCAACATAAGAAGTCTGAGAAACAAAATAGAGGACCCAAATGACATAATACAAGGCCAACAAGAAACTTTACATCATTATTCTCAGTGAAACATGGATCTATCCTAATGAAGTTGAATATTGGATGGCAAGTCCGTCAATAAACATTTATTTATTTATTTATTTAATATTCAAATTTGCCAACAACTGCAGAACAAGGCGTGGGGGGTGGCACAGCGATTTATATAAGAGATGGCATAGGTTATGTAAATACCACATCAGAAAAAAAAACATGGAAGATTATAACTTTGCCTCCATATACCTACCAAGCCAAAAGCTAAACCTATATGAAATCTACAGACCACCACAAAACCAAATACTAGATGAGATTTTAGAATCCCAAAAAAAAGCTTGTATTATAATAATTGGTGATATAAATCTGGACTTGTAGAAGACGTCTCAGGCACAGACTACTTAAATATAATAGAAATGAACGGTTTTCAGATAAAAAACAAAAAAAACAAGGGACAACACAACAAGAGTGACAATAAAAAACAGCATCCATACTGGATCATATCTTACCAAACAAAAATTTGGAATGTAGGATAAATATTGAGGATCATTTTATATCAGACCACGTTTTTGTGAAGGTAAAAAGAGAAATACACAAAAGGGAAAAAAATACTATTTTGAGAAACTATCTGAATACTGAAGCATGGCTGTATAAACTACAAGAAAAAATAGAAAACACAGAAATCAAGTCATTTAAGGAACTAGGAACTGGAATCATTAATGAATGACACAAAAAAAGCAGTGTACCACACAATGTAAAATAAAAATTCAAGAAAACAACTATTGGATAACAACGGAGTATATGAAAAAAATCAAAGAACAAGACAGACTGTACATTAGATGGAAAAAAGTTGAAAATAAATATATGGAATCAAAATACAAAAAACTACGAAACGAAGGTAATAATATGAGGAAGAATTTGCAGAGAGCATATTATGCAGAAAGAAAGTTTACAGAAGCAGAAGGAAACAGCAAAAAAACATGGGGCATAATGAATGACTTCTATTGAAGGAGAAACCATAACAAACAGAAAATAACCAGTATAATAAGCTAAAATGGACAAACTCTAACAAATGAAAAATCAAACGAATTTAACAACTACTTCACAAATGTTTGTGAAAAATTAGCATCTCTGATAGATATAAACCAAAATACAATATTTCAGGAAGAAGTAAATGAAACAATTTTTCTCAGGCGAACTGATGACACAGAACTCAAAGACTTGATATGGAACTTGAAAAACTACAGTTAGGTTGCGAAATTTGTAAAATCTATTAGGCCTCGGTGCCAGTACGCTAGTTAGTGTTTCGAGGTCATGTATAAATGAATAAATTTTGGAGAATTTTGATGTTGGAAAACAGATTTTTTTTTACTGGCTCTGTATAAGTGGGACACCCTGTATCATAAATGTATGATTAAGCATAATAAAGAGGTATATTATTATTATTTTGTTCAGAACAAAAAGATAATTGCATAGATAATCAATCAGCATATCCTAGTTTCTATTAGTTATTCGAGCTTTGTCAGGAATTACTAGTGAAAGTACAAAATTTACATGAAAATAAAGCTGATGCCTTGTCACTATTAATAAATTTCAAAATTGCCACTCCTTATGTCTATTTTAACAGCAAGTCTTTTTTTATTCAGGAACTCCAGGTCGAGTCTACGACATGATAACTAGAAGAGCCTTAAGGCCCCATCACATAAAAATGTTTGTCCTGGACGAGGCCGACGAAATGTTATCTCGAGGTTTCAAAGACCAAATCCACGACGTATTTAAGACCTTAAACGCAGACGTCCAAGTAATCTTACTTTCCGCTACCATGCCCCCAGATGTACTCGACGTGACTAAGTCATTCATGAGAAATCCTATTAGGATCTTGGTCAAGAAGGAAGAACTCACCCTGGAAGGTATCAAACAGTTCTTCGTCTATGTCGAAAAGGAGGATTGGAAGTTAGAAACTTTATGTGATTTGTATGATACTTTGTCGATTACGCAGGCTGTAATCTTTTGTAATACACGTCGCAAGGTGGATTGGTTGACTGAGAATATGCATAAAAGGGACTTCACTGTATCGGCCATGCACGGTGACATGGAACAGAAAGAACGGGACGTTATTATGAGGCAATTTAGGACTGGATCGTCTAGGGTGCTTATAACTACCGATTTGTTAGCTAGAGGCATTGATGTACAACAAGTTTCACTAGTAATTAACTACGATTTACCGTCTAATAGAGAGAATTACATCCATCGGTAAGAATTTAAATGTATAATAATTTCTGGTATATAATTGTATTTTTCTTCTAGAATTGGTCGAGGTGGTCGTTTTGGACGTAAAGGTGTGGCAATTAATTTTGTCACCGAGGATGACAAGCGTACGTTGCATGACATTGAGCAATTCTACAATACGAAGATTGACGAGATGCCAATGAACGTAGCGGATTTGATTTAATTCGAACTCTTTAAATAATTGAGCGACTGAATGAAGTGCGAAAACGTTACCTACTGAGTTTCAGATTTGGATACATTTTTTTTTAAGCAGCAAAAGTAGAGACCTCATTGTGCGCCATTAATCGGTCTCTTTGGGCTAGCGACGGACGCGTTTTTTCACGCTCAAATTAATTTAAAAAGAAAAACTTTCTAAGTGTATTTTAATTATTTTTCTATATTTTATCGTGTAATCATTAGTGTATAACTATTTTATTTAAAGCTAACTGGACAGTAGGTGCGCATGGGCGCCGCCTTTTTCTGGCGGGTTCTCCCGCCAGCAGTACCTATTTGCCTCAGAAAAGATTTGGTAGGTTTTTGGAATGGTTATTTTAATCATAAAAGATGTAAAAGAAAATTTTTTCCATATTCAATGTTAAATATTTTGTATCATATAATTTAAAAATAAAACTTTCAGTTCCGGATAAACAATTTAGTGTATTATTTTTTTAAAATAAAATTATATCTAGAAGCCTGGATGACCAACAACTATTTCATTTAGATGTTTGTTGCCTTTTTGCAGAGGCCTTAATAATGTTTTTATTTCATGGAACGTGAGGGAAAGGTGTAACGACTGCCCTTAAAACAATTCTCTAGGGAATCCAGAGTTGATAAAAGTTTAAATTTTGACTCTAACCGGCTCCTGATTGGTTGTAGGAAAGTTTTCCAGAGAATTAGGAGCCAGTTATAGTTCAAATTTTGATTATCTGTGGCTCTTGATCTATTGGATAATTTTTCTTGAGCCAATTAGAAGCTGCGAAAGAAGAAATTTTGATTAATATCAACTTAAGACCTGCTAATTAATGATCATTCAAAATTTTAATTATTATCGGCCATTGAGCTTTGAATGCTCTTAGAAAGTCTCTTCCGAATCCAAAATTGATAAAAGTTCAAATTTTGACTATTACCGGCTCTTGATTGGAAAGTTTTCCAAAGAATCAAGAGCCGGTAATAGTTGAAATTTTGATTATCCATGGGTCCTATATCCACGGGAAATTTTTTTTGAAGCAACTGAATATCCATATTGGATGTAATGCTAGCATTGTTGAATATGTTTCAATGATAATAATTGTGTCCCTACCATCAGAACCATTCATAAATCTGAGAGTTTTTGATGAGATACAGTATATACGAAGTCAATCCGAATAGCATAGAAACTGTGTAGACGGCATCTTATGAAATTAGGCATATGCGTGCAACTGCCTAGGAATCAAAATTCTTCGTTCTTGGGAATTCCTAGGATGTTGCACACATATGCTTAATTTCATAAGAAGTTGCCGCCTAGCTATTCAGATTGATTTCGTATATAAACTATACCACAATCTTTGGACATCTGCACACTTGCTTTGTAGAAGATTCTCATTTTGTCAGTAAAAAAGTTCCTGGATGTCCAACAATAAGTACGGTGACATTTGATGTAAGTTGTGTCTGTACAAATTGCTGTAGAATGCCTTATGCAACTTCAGCTACAATATAGTCAAAATAATCAGTAAAACAAACAATAATTATTTGTAAATATAAGATTTATTTACTTCTGACTACTACACTTAAAACTTTACTCCTCACGAATTATGTAACATACCGAAGTACTTAAAAGTTAACTAAAAGCATCCAAAACAATTATGTAGTTGAAAAGTTTTCAACGTTCTATTGAAAAACAGTACACTTATGGCTAATTATTTTTATTTAATTTTAAACAACCTAATTACTCGATTTGTCACTCGAATTTTGCCGCTTCATCGATTTTAGGGCTTTTTCGCGCAACTTTTTCTCTTCTTCCACAATTATGTCCCCGTCACTGTCCGAATCGTCACTATCCGCTTTCTTCTTCTTATGTTTCTTGTGTTTCCTCGAATGCTTCTTTTTCTTTTTGTGTTTTTTGTCTTTTTTACGTTTCTTTTCACCTTCGTCCTCCGATTCGCTTTCTGATTTGGGTTTCTTCTTGTGTCTGCGTTTTTTGCCAGCTTCTTCTTCACTATCTGAAGAGGAATCTTTACGTGATTTTTTGGGTTTTATTTTATCAGAATCATCTGAGCTGTCTTTACGTTTTTTAGTTCTCTTGTGACTTCTATCAGAATCGCTTGATTCATCTCTTTTATTGCTTTTCTTGATTTTTTCTTCAGTACTTTCAGAACGCTTCTTTTTAGTTTTTCTTTCGTCCTCTGAATCAGAGCTAATTTGTTTTTTCCTTGATGACTTTCTGTCGTCAGTACTTTCCTCATCTTTTTTGTGTTTTTGTTTTTTGCTCCTAAGTTTAGCTTCTACACTGCTAGTTCTATCTTTCTTGCTATCGCCTGAGTCATCATCTTCACTATCACTGGAGCTAGTTTGGTGTTTCTTGGATCTTCGTTTAGTGCGTTTCTTTTTCTTGTCTTTTTGATCTTCTGATTCGGATTCACTTGAAGATTCCGTGTCTGATTTGACTTTTTTGGTGTGTTTTTTGGGTTTTTCTTTGACTTCTTTTTGTTTTTTCTTTTTGTCCTCGATAATTATGGTTTCAGTTTTTGCTGAAGGAGGAAATTCTTCAGCTTTTATAAACGGCGATGGAGTTCTAGAAAGACTTCTGGAGTAACGTGGAGGACCCATAGGAGGTATAGGATGAGACTTTAGTGGGCTTCTTGATTTTGATCTCTTGCGTTCCTTTTCCTTAGGTTTGCTTTCGTAGTGATGTGAATTGTTTTCAGAATAGCTAATTTTTCTTCTTTCTGGACCTTCGTTTTTATTGACTTCTTTTTCAAGTTTTCTCTTTAAAATTTCAACAGACTTTCGGCTAGTAGCTGGAATTTCACGACGTTTTTCTTCTACGCTTCTATTAACAAGTTCGGCTGTTACTTTTCTGTTTCTAATATCCTCGACTTCACGTTTTTCTTCCCTTTTCTGAAGAGTGGGCATCTTTTTCAAGGGACTTGGACCTTTTTTAACAGGACTTGGGCTCATTTTACGAACTATCCTTTCTTTTGACTTCTCTTTTATTGGCGAACGACGTTTAATGCTATTTCTTTCTACTGAACGTCTTCTTGAACGAGATCTTCTGTCTCTAGATCTTGTTCGTCTTCTCACAGGAGATGATCTTCTGAAACCGCCTCCTCTATTTCTGCTGCGAGAACGTCTTATCCTTCTGAAAAAAAAATAATAGTTAAAAAACCTTTATACTTTGCGATAGATTCTAATGAATTGAAAATAGGAATGCTGCTACATCAAAATGCAACCCAAACATTGCTGAATAACAAAAAGCTTAGAGAAGCTAAAGTTTAGTCTTATCAAGACAGGTTGATAATAATTAAGTAAGTGAAAAATTACCTTTCCCTGCTTCTCCTGCGACTCAAACTACGGCTTCTCCTTCTGACAGGACTGCGTCTGCTTCGACTTCTCCTTCCTCTCCTTGATCTACTCGGGCTTCTTCTCGGTCTGCTTGTGCTCCTTCTCCTGCTGAAGCTGCGGCGTCCCCTTTGGACGCTGCGCCTGCGCGACAAGCTTCTGCGATGCGATGGGCTCTTGCGATTTCTCGAGGGGCTGCGCCTGCGCCTGCTCAAGCTCCGTTTTTTCGATGTGCTCCTTCTGGAACCAAAAATTCATCTGTAAGTGAACTAATTGTTAACAGGAGATAATATTGTTTAAATTGAATTGAAAGAACCATATTTTACGTATAAAACATTACAAAAGGAAATGTATTCATTTTAAGCAACATCACAACAGTTTGAGAAAGAAAACGAAAAAAAAAAAAAAAGATTTCCAGTATAATCAATTGAATTCTTTCCTTACCTCTTTGACAAACTTCTCTTCCTACTGGCAGACCTTTTAATCCTTGACCCGCTCCTTCTAACAACCTCCCTACTTCTCTTTCTAGAAGTGGACCGTTTCCTCTTCCTATCAACTTCACTGTCTGAACTGTCCTTGTTGGACCTATAGTGACGCTTCTTCTGGATACTATTTTCGTTTTTCCGTATCTCGAATTCGCGGGAGCTAGACCTGGAGCGTCTCCGGTCCTTTTCTGGATGCTCCTTGGAACGGGACCGAGATTTCTCTCTGTTGGATCCTCGACTAGATGACCGGGATTTTGAATGGCCTGGAGACCTGGAACCATTTTTGGATTTGGATCGGGCACGTGCCAATTGATTGTTATCGGCTAGCGACATCAGTTTGGCTTGAAGTTTAGACATTGGTGGACCAGAACTATCACTGAGAAAGTCAAATATTGTTAAAATTTATGTATTTTTTCTTTTTCATGTGTAGAATTATTTTATATAAATTATTAGGCAAGTTAATCATGACCGAGGGGTAAGCCACTAGTGGAAATCATTGTACATTTTTTTGGGAATCACATAGTAATTAATCAAGAATACATGGAAATCACTTGGGCGTCTCTGGGAATAAACTAAGATTCGCTAGGAATCTCCTAGGACTCCATGGGAATCACATAGGAATGCAATCTCTGAAAATCATGTGGTAATCGCTGGAAATATCATCATCTCATTCTAACCTAGAATTCGCATATCATACCTCTTAAACAATACAGCTTAGATACCGGTCAGTTGTGTATTTGCCCTTAAGACTAAGTTTTAGACAACAGAGTGCTAGACAATTTGAAATAAATTTGATATCCCAACGAGTTTCCCAATAACTGAACCCGAGACTTCGTAGAGTTTAGAACTTGAAGAAGAAGAAGAACGAGATGAAGAATAGGTCTGTTCGCACAGAAATAACAAACCAGTCGGAGCGTTTTTAATTGGTGCAAATCGTCAACAACCAGTTTTCTGACTATTTTCAACCCATGCAATTCGCTCTGACTGGTTTGTGATTTCTGTGAGAACAGACCTAAAGTATGACAATGTTGTGGATCATAAAAATGAAAACATGAATCTTGAAACATCTCTCGAATCCGACTTGCCAAAAGAACACAGAATTTGACAAATCAGGGTTTAGGAATTGCGATTCGCTACCATTAAGAGATTATTCAGAGCTCAACTTCAATTTGATTCTTTTCAGAGAAACAGGAACGCTTGTCGATCGAGTATTAAGAGCCATGGGAATGTCCCTAAGGAAGACACAAAAGAAAAAGTCGGGAATACAAGACAATAAGAGCTTGAAAAGGGAAAGAAGAATAAATACTAGGCAGTGCGAGAAGATAAGACGACAGCACATCTGAATCAGAATCAGAAATAGGTTTGTTGAGTGGAACCCTACATGAAGATATCTCTGACTCAGATGAACATTCTAGTAAATCAAAGAAATATCCATTATTCTATATCCGTATTATGCAGTGTAGACACACGTAAGGCTATCTAGGACTCAATAACTATATTTACCAACAACAAAATCGGTGTGGGTGTGGACCACCATGAAAATAAAAATTGATAACTTTTGGAAGAGTTGCAAATACAAAAGTTACCAATTTTTCAGTGGAAACGTGCTTTTATAAGAGAAAAGACTGTTTATTTTGATCATATCAATGTGAAGCTTAACAGTTAGACATCGTTTTTGTTATAAAATCACCTGGTAATCATACAAAAATATCTGAAAATCATTGGCAATCAGTCGCAATTCTTGAGACGGGATTCATTGATCAGCCAAATATGGAAATCATTGTACATTTGTTAGCATAGTGGTTGACTCTCTCCTAGAGTGGTTATTGAAAACGCAAAACACAAAATCAATAGAAGTTCTTACCGTTTTCCAGAGTTCCCAGGATTTCCATTAGGTTTCTCCCCTCTAGGACTAACATTGCCATTATTCCGCAAATCGTCTCTTTTAGGCGACAACGACCTTGAAGGCGATTTTCGCTGCCTACTCCTGGACCTCTTATCCCGTTTCAAACGATCCTTAGAATTGATAGCACCTAAACTCCTGCTCCGACTCCTCCTGTCCCTACTCCTAGATTTCCTATCCCTGCTCCTGGACCGATCATTTTGATTGCGAAAACTAGAATCTTTGCTTCTCGATCTTCTAGATCTGCTTCTCGATTTCCTTTCCCTGCTGCGCGACTTCAAATTCCGGCTTCTGGAATTGCGATCTGGACTTCTGGGTTTGCGATCCATGCTTCTGGATTTGCGGTCTTTGCTTAGCGGTTGGAGGTCTTTGCTTTTGGAGGTTCGGTCTCTGCTTTTAGATTTTTTGTCGTTAGATCTTGAGAATCTTTCTTTGCTTCTGGACTTTTTGTTGAATTCTCTGCCTTTATTGCTTCTGTTTCTACTAGTAGAACGTTTACGGCCTCTGGAGCGTGATCTGCGGGATCTTGATCTTGACCTTTCACGTTCTCTATATTTTTTTTCTTTTTCCGACTTTTCGCGTTCGCGTGTTTCTCTTTCTCGATCTTCTTTTTCCTGCAAAAAATCAAATGAAAACTGTTTGTATTAGGGCATTATTCTAGTTAAAACTTACTTTTTTCTTGGCTAATTCTTCTCGTTTAAGATCAATTAAAGAGTCTGGTATGCCAGTGGGATTTTCCTGTGCTGAAATCAGCAAAGCCCAAAGTTCTGCCATGAATTCTCTTGCATTTTTCCCTTGAAGAAATCCAGTTAGATTTATTTGGATTTTCTTAGGGTCAGGAAACTGTAAACAAAATATCAGTAATTTGTGCAGAAAATTGTTTATTCTTGTCCTTACCCTTTCATCTAACTGATTATAGACAAAATTAACAACAACATCATCATCAATTTTCAATATTTCAGTGAGTTTGTCTTGAATCCAAGGTCTTATGACTTCCAATTTGATTTTGGACATGTCAATCTAAAGATAAATTAATTGTAATAGAGTGCTAAATAGTAAAATAATTAACTTACCCTTTGGTTCAAGCTGTCGCTAAATTTCATTTGTTTAAGGAGTTTCTTCTCCTTATCGCTAAAGCGATTATCTTGTTCGGTGGTAGTTCCCTGAAAGAAAGTAAGCCTCATTCAAACACAGTTTTTTTTTTCTAAATATTTGTTTTTAAGTGTAAAAGGTGATATTAATAAGTAAATAAATATAAGCCAATTTGACATTAAACTAAAACTTAAAAAAAGCAATCCCTAAAAAAAAAAAATAATCATATAAAAATAAACCTACCCTCATAAACATCTTTTTCATATTTGTGAATCACATAGAGAATTTCAGTTTAATGGTAGGTACGCTCTACCAGGCAGCTAGATTTTTTTTGCACTAGGTCACCAGGCCTGTAAAATATAGGTATATAGTTAAATATTTAATTTGTGCACCCCATAGTCATTTATTTTCTATACATTCTAGTTTTTGTAATCTTTTGGAATTAACCAAAATTCCACTAAATATAATACTAATTGATTGATTGAGCATAAGATATAGGGACGATAATTTGATCAGTTGGATTGGACAGATAAGTTTGGGCACAGAGATGAATATTTGTATTGAATTGGATTGGGCAGAACCTCTTAATGGGATGGAAACTAAATTGATGCAGTACAATTGTCATGAAGTGCTAATATAGAATATATTGTAAATAATATCGATTGACCATAATTTCCTAAAAAAAAAAAACAAAAAACAAATAAAAACAAATTAAGTACCTAGGAAAAGAAAAGGTAAATTAAAGATATACTATTGTTTCTTATATTTATTTACTTATGAACAAGAAAACATGTCTTTTGGTATGTTATTTTATTCACTGGAGAAATAGTTTTTCAAGATTTTGCTGTATCTACATAAAATGAATGTGAAAAAATTATGCCGGTTTTAAAGGCTGCTTCAGTGTTTATTATATGATTTTGCAAGCTCGATCGAGAGATACTGTTACACTGGGAACAGATAAGTTTTGATAATCAAAACAAAGCCTGCTTTGTTTGTATTTTTGACAGGTGATATTTTTTTCTGTATGGTAAGTGTTTTTAGGTCTTGTGAGAACCATTTGTGAAACTTTCTACTAGCTATTTTTCTGATTGGTACGAGGTTATCGAAAGTTTCATACAATACATCATAGAAAAGGTTAAACATTTTGTTAAAAGACTTATTGAAAAATGAAAAACATGTCCTCAAACTCATTTCTTTGAGGGTTTGCAATGCTGTGATTATGCTGTGAAATCTTTGTCAGCTTTAAATGAAAGCAGTGATAATTAAAGGCCATTTTGTTATTATTCACCACACAAATATTTACTATGCATCAAAGTTGATTTTGGGACATTGTGTTGCAATTTTTAAATATCTGGTAAACTAATCTGCCCCCGGATTCTATTTTTCGAGTCGAGTCGGATTGTCTCGATATGGAATACGACAGCTTCAGACTTACCGTGTAATAGGTATTGATAAATCGGAAAATAGAATCGCTGTTTTGACAATTTGAAACGAATTTCGACTTGACTCATCAAATAGAATCCGGCACCTGATATTAGGCTACTGTCCAGCAGGATATTAGATTTATTCCGGATATCACTTTCATTTCAATGAATAATTTAGAAATAAAAATAAATACCTAGGCAAAGCGTCATTTGGGAATAATTAGAGAATCTTTAGACGTTTTTGGTAATTAATTATGTATTTACTATAACCCCATCACATAACTTTGTACTTTTCCTTTTTAATATGGGTATACTTGATACTCTATTTTAAACCTTTTCTAATAAATTTAATATTTCTTGTATGTGTATTGAAAATTGTTTATGGATTGAGTGTGTCATTCCCTGCACTATTCTCAAGTTCTTTGTCTAGTCTATTTTTGAATGTGGTGACACTGACTGCTCTTCCACGTTAAATGAATGAACAACTCTTGGTCAGAAAGTTTCTTCTAGGCAGTTCTGCGGTTTTTTCTTTTTCAACTTTCTTGGAGTGCCAATGAAGTTTTTGTATGAAGATTTCTCTGATATTGAAATTATAGTAGTTACTGATTATTTTGTGTTTCAATTAGGTCTCTTTTATGTCTTCTCTCCTTTAAAGTTGGTAGTTTTAGTCTTGTCAATATCTCTCATAATTCTGGTGGTATTTTTGTAACTTGTCTCTTCTCTAGAACTTCTATATCTTTGACACAGTAGGGATTCCACACTGAGAAAGCATGTTCAAGTTTTGGTCGTATGTAGCTTTTATACAGTTTGCCTATCATTTCTAATGAGTGGTATTTAAATGCTTGTTTAATAAGGTATACAAAAGAAAAGAATTGGCTTTTTTGGCAATCTTTAATATGTGGTTCTCCCATTTCAGGTATGAAGTTATTATGACTTCTAGGTCATTCTGATTTGTCACAGATTGTAATCTTAGTTAGTATTCTTGGTTTGGACCAATTCTTACATTTGGATTCATTCAACTTCATTCCCCAATCTATAGACCATTCTTCAACAGTTTTTAGGTCCGCCCTGCATGTACTAGCCGATTTTTACCATCATCTCTGCGAATTTTTTTTCATTTTAGATTCAATGAGACTGATGAGATCAAACAAATATGATGTGAAAAGCAAAGGGCCCATGATCAAATCCTGGAAAACTCCGCTACTAACAAGATGTTGATTTGACAGCACATTTACTCTAACTTGATAAAATATCTCATGCAGTAGGTCCTCTATTACTGCAATGAGTTCACATCTGACTTCAAAGTGTTTCAACTTTCCTAGAAGTAGATTATATCGGACTTTGTCGAATGCTTTTTCATAATCGAGATAGATCACATCTGTGGGTTGGGAATTATCATGGTTGTCTGTACAGTCTTGAAGACAATCAAGTAAATTTGTTGTTGTAGAACATTTTAGAATTCGTATTGTGAGGGTGGTATGAGATTTTTTTCAAAGAAAACGCCGTCAGTTCCCTAATAATTGAACCCTATGCTGGAACAACGTTGTAAACGACAATGTGTAAAAACGGTATATCCATGGAACAACATTGCATGTCCCTGGATAATTCGCCAACTTAATAGTGGGGTCATAGGATAATTTTTTTTTTGATGAGTTGTTGATGCCATTTCAAAAGGCCCAGTATGTCCTTTTTGTGGAACAACGTTATAAGTGCAACCTCGCCCTAGTTTCGCGCTTGTTTGGTATATTTGGCGTTTGAAACGTTGTTCCAGCATAGGGTTCAATTATCTTTTCCATGCATTTCAGTGAATTGCATATTACACTAATAGGCCTAGTTGATGGTTGATGGAATTTCACGTAATTTTAGATACCTAGGGATATGTGATGATGTGGCAGTTCTTTGGGGTAAAATAAAAATGTTTAAAATAATCAAATTATTGTTCATATCAATTTTGACGTCTCTTAAGCTGGAAGAGCAAAGTCAGCAGTCGAAAATCAATACATGGAACATTAAAGGCTCATTAAAGGCTAATTAGGTAAATGCCCCGATGAGAAATTTAGGGCTCCTTAATTTTTGGCGAAAATGACTGTTCTGCTAGCTTCAACTTAAGCTAGCAGAACATAAGCGAAAAAGTGGCTAAAATAACAAAAATTGCAATTCCACTTGCACAGACAATAAAGGCTTATTGAAGGCTCTGAAAATACACCAATCGTGAATTTCAAACTAAATTACTTTTTTTGTGAAAATGTAAAGAGCGCGATGTGTGACTGATGTCGGCCATGCATGGCAGAAAAATCTCTCAGGCGGTGAAAATCAGCATTCCGATAGTGCAGTCGTAGTGAATACATTAAAGGCTAATTAAATGCTGTAATGAGAAATTTTAGGCTCCGCCAATTTTCGCGAAAATTGCTATTCTGCTAGCTTTATCCTAAGCCAGCAGAACATGGGCGAAAAAGTGGCTAAAACAAAGAAAATTTCAATTCCACATGCACCGACATTAAAGGCTCTGGAAATACACCAATTACGAGTTTCAGGCTCAATTACTTAATTGGGAAAATGCGAGAAGTGGCGATATGTGAGTAATGTCGGCAGACCATGGCGGAAGAACCTGTCAGACAGTGAAAATCAGAAATTGCAATTCCACTTGCACAGACATTCAAGGCTCAGGAAATACACTAATCGCGAATTTCAGGCATTTCTAAACTTACCAATAATAACCTGGTTAGTTTGGGTACTTTGCAATTTTAATCAGACTTTCCCAAACTCACTAAATCAAAAAAGTTATTGAGTCTGAAATTTGCGATTGGTGCAATTCTGGAGCCTTTAATGAGCCTTCAATGTCTGTGCAAGTGGAATTGTGATTTTCGTTGTTTTGACCACTTTTTCGCTCATGTTCTGCTGGCTTAGGTTAAAGCCAGCAGAATAGCAATGAAATTGGTGGAACCTAAAACTTCCTATAACGGCATTTAATTAACCTTTAATGTATTCACTACGATTGCACTATCGGAACACTGATTTTCACCGTCTGATAGGTTTTTCTGCCATGCTTGGCTGACATCACTCACGCATCGCGCTTTTTGCATTTTCACAAAAAAAAGTAATTGAGCCTGAAATTTGGGATTCGTGTATTTCAAGAGCCTTTAATGTCTGTGCAAGTGGAATTGCAATTTTCGTTGTTTCAGCCACTTTTTCGCTCATGTTCTGCTAGCTTAAGTTAAAGCTAGCAGAACAGTCATTTTCGTGAAAAATTAAGGAGCCTTAAATTTCTCATTAGGGCATTTAATTAGCCTTTAACATTCCATGTATTGATTTACGATTCTGCTGACTTTGCTCTTCTAGCTTAAGAGATGTCAACCTTTGATAGGGTTTGTTATTGAACAATTATTGAAGAAATTTAATATTTTATATATGAAATACCTACCCAATTAAGTAACTAATGGCCGTTTCCACCAACTATTTTAGGGGAGCCCTAACGATAAGTATTCCCTAAAATGACATTTTTACATAGAAAAATGTCAGTTTAGGGCATACCTATTGTTAGGGCTTCCCTAAAATAGTTGGTGGAAATGGCCATAAAACTCGAGCTGATAAGGTATATTATTATTATTGATTGGTGTCAAAGGTCAAGAAGAGAATTCATAGTTTTCACATTATTTGGCAGATAAAAACGAGGTAACCACTAAAAGAAAAATTTGAAAAGAGATTTTGCAGAAAAAGCCAAAAAGTATCAGTTTTTGAAACAAAAATTCTACTGAAAGGATGTTTATGACCGAGTTTATGACAAAAAGGTCCAATTTAGATTGTTCTTTTCATATTTTAAGTCCACTTTGGTTGACTCATTTTGGAAAATTTATTTTTATATTTGTAGGGAAAAAGCTACAACGAAGCACTTTCAGGGCAAATTTAGTTTATTTTGTGCGGAGAATGGTTACTATTTCCAATAAAAATCAATGAACTTGTGATACCTTGAATAAAAGTATATCCTATTCACAATCTGTAGTCCAAAGGTAGAGGTAAATTTATCACCTTTCCCTATCAAATAGCATTGAAAGGTGATACATTTTACCTGTACCTTTGGACTACAGATTGTGAATAGATAATATTTATGTATAAAACTAAATAAATGTGAAAATCCTTCTGCTCAACCTTTCACACAGATTATTATACGTATATCTGTTCTGTTTGGTATCACTTCTTTTGAATGTTATTTTGCATCCATTTGATTTGAAGTTTTCAAAATAGCCCAATATGTACTAGATTAAAGCCAAAATTTACTTTTTAGTGATAGATTTAGTTTTTATCTCATTACTCTCTTGCACCATAACTTCTTGTTGTGGCTGCAAATATTTTAAATCAACTTATTACACTCATTAAAAAGTAATTTTCATCACAAATTATTTTAAATATGTAGTGCATTATACGCCTAACAAAAACTACGAAGTTTGGTGATAAGGCTATAGTAAATAAAATTTTACTACATACTATAAAATAACATCTACGTTGCAGCAGATTCATTGATTCATTTGGCAATTAACGAAAAATACTATTCTTCACTTTTGTATATATTTATGGCATCAGGCTATTTTGAGCAATGCATTAAAACACAGTAGGTATCCATTTTCTTGTAGAGAACTAGAGAAGAAACTTAAATATTGGAGATAGGGAATGGCTGTATCTTTTACTTATTGCTAGATATTGAAAACATTAAACAATCATAATAATAATATATTTATCATGAATCCAGTCGCATAAACATGTTTTCCTTTTTGAAGCTCACACCTACCATAGTGCTTAGACACAACTGCATGCCCTTAATGCAACTAAAAAACGCCTAGTAATGTTAAATTATATAAAAAAAATGTAAGCAAAAACCACGTTTACTTACCGTATACATTATCATACAGCTAAATAAAAAGTAATAATTAACCAGATAGCAAATCCCTGCTTGATGTGGATGCTATATCGAGGGTAAAAAGTGAAAAATTTCGGACACAATATTTACCGGTAAATAGGAGAAATTATTTACATTTTTCAATAAAGCCCGATTAAAAAAAAAGTGAGTAACCTTAGTTAAGTTAAAAAGTAATAAAATTGAAATATACAATGGGAGTTTTTCCTTTCCGGAAGAAAAAAGCATTCACGCAAACAGGCAGTCCACCATTTTGCGAATACGAGAGAAATTTCAAATGACAGATGTCACTGATATGTCAATTCTTTCGTTCGATAAAAATTTGGGCTGCGTTCGATAACACATAAGCCATTTTCTGGCGTCCACGTTTTTGACATGTTCAAAACCGGTTTGAAACCATTACATCTTTTCACGTCGCTCCGGTTTAAACTAACCAGGGGGCGGATTACGAACTCTCGATTCGAACCGAAACCGCCATGGATTTCGAACGCACTCCATGTGAATGCATAGGAATGCGTTCGAAATCTATGGAGGTTTCGGTTCGAATCGAGAGTTCGTAATCCGCCCCCAGGTTACAAAACGGTTAGAGGCGGTATGTCAAGTGATGACATTACTGAAAATGCCACTTGAAAGCGAATGGTTAGAAAAATGTTATTTTAAATTCGATATGAGGTTGGGTTGGTCAGTGCCGTTAATTCTGACCCCTGACCTACCTATTATGTCTACTATGGACAAAACTATCTTAAATGTGAGCAATTTACAATTAATTAAATGTGAAAGAAATATGGGAAGCAAGTTTTTTTTTTCAAAATTGTGGAATTATCGAGTATTTCATTCTTTTTTATTACAGCAAGCTAAAAAGTGAAAAGTAGGTAGTTTAATTTCTTTTCGTTCAATGCTTTAGATGTGGACCATGGGTGGATAGACTACTAGAACCAGTTTATCTAAAGTTTATAAGTTCTCGTTACCTACAGTCTACAACAGCCTATCGAGTAGGTAAACTGGGATTGTCTCGTCTCTGGTACATATTTTGAGTATAATACAGGGTGATTTACGTAGTCCGTGCATCAGCAGGTAGATTAGGGCCGGTTTCCCAATAGCAAAGACTATAGCAAGGCACCCCCTGGTTAAGCATAACTCCAGGGTAAACATAGCAACTGCAACTGCACACGCTTACCCTGGAGTTAAAAATAAAACCAACCCAGAGGTGACCCGCTATTATGTGCCCGCTAGGGAGAAACTGGCCCTAGGTGGTATTTATTTATGCTAATCTACCTGCAAACTGAACAATTTCTAATGCACGGGCCTCGTAAATCAGGCTTATATACAAAGAAAAACGGCTTTCGGGCTTCAAATTCATAAAATATAATATTATATACAAAACACAACTTTTTATTTACTTTTTACACTTTTCCGAACTTTCCGCTCTTTCCGCTCTCCGTTGTTTTTTTTTCTTCTAACCGCTCGACGTAACCATATCGCCGAGGCGGTTAGAGAAATGACATACCGTTTTCTAACCCGGTTACAAAGTGACATCTTCGATGCCACTCGAATTTGAGCGGTATGTTGCGGTTTGTTAAACCGGAGCCACGTGAAAAGGATTAATGAGGTTTTGAAACACCATTGCCCTTTTCAAACCTGTTTTGAACCAATAGCTGAGTTCGGCTTTACACTCTGTAAACTCTGAGCGCGCTCGAAACTATAAAATCCTGTTCGTTTTAGCTCTTAGAGCATTCTTTTTTTGCGTTCGGGTTACAATCGAGCACGTACCCAGGGGCCTTATTCTGTAAGGAACGAACCGTTCGATTCGGTAGAATTTTTTCGATTGTGACGTCATTTTCGGTTCGGTAGCGCGAGACCCAAACTAAAAATGACGTCACAATCGAAGAAATAGGCTCGTTCAGTGAGGTTTCATTAACCACGTTTTTTGATATTTTTATGGAGTATTACTCACATATAGCACACAAAAAAAAATTCAGTGCAATTGGATAAATACTAAAAAAGTTATGCGGCTTTGAATAATAAAACATTATGCCTCAGAAATTCATCGCTTAGAGATGGTATGACGTCATCTCTCGAGTCAAGACGGGCTAAAGGCCGTCACACGACCAACGTGAGAGATGCAGTGACGTCACCGCGTGTTTCAAAGCTTCCAAATTTGGAGCTTTTTGATAATTTATTTAAATATGAACAAGGGCTCGGAAAATTATGAAATTTTGCACAACTGCTAAACTCAATACGCTCTTTTAGAATATGCAATAAAAAAAAATGCTGTACGAGCCTATTCTACCGAATCGAACGGTTCGTTTTTACAGAATCAGGCCCCTCGCTCTCTTTTCCCTGGATGGATGGATGAAGAGCCAGAGAAAAAGGTTTCGGTTTTTTTCCCCAGATTTATCTTCTACTTTCATTTCAGATTTCAGATCCACTATAGGATTCTTACGTTATATTTAGGGCGGGTATTACCCGGGAAAACCGTCGTGTTTTTCTACCACACACTTCGGTTTTGGAACGACGTGTTTCAACGCGGCGATGAAAACCGACGAGAAAGAACGTAGTGTATGGGGCCCTTTAGAAACATTATGCAGCGACTGTTCCAGTGTGTTTGTTTAGTTCATGGATTTTTAGCTATCGTGAGAATTATTGACACATGACATTCTGGTAAATTATAAAAAAAACATAGGCATTGACAACATTACCTGTCCTTGTTTGATCATAAAAGGACCCACAATACTGCCGATTTTACTAAAGTGATAAGGATATTGCACACTGCACTGGATACCCTATCCTCTTAAAGCCTGTGTAGTTCAAATCTCGAGCCTCCCACCATGCCAAAGTACCGTTGATAACGCAGCCAGCGTGTCGTTTGTTTTTCGCTCTGACCTAGACTGTTTGCACCACAGGTTATGATTTCGCTGGCTTTTGCTTGGTTTAGTATATACCTACATTAATCAATCAACATTCTAAAAAAACCCTTCTTATGTATGTATAATGTATACAGGGTGTAACAAATTCGATTATCCCAAAACAAATGTCACTTCATTATTGCCACTTTTTCTCCTCTACGAGATGCTATACCATCAAATTTGAAATTTGATGTTTCGTCTTTGGGCCACCATCATCAACTTTATTTATTCAAATACGTCTCTGGATTTTTTTATTTTAGATGTCAGGAGCTTCAGATGTCTCAAAACCTATGACGTATCGCATTTATTCGAAAAAATATTTCTTTTACTAATTAGTAAACCCTATAAAAGTTATCTTCTCTGTATCTCTCTAACACATTTAGTTCTTATGGAAAGTGACAATGATAACATTCATTTTGAGATATCTCTTCAAATAAGCTCATCAGAAGAAAATGATAACGCTTTTGTAAAATTTCGGTTTATTCCGAATATTTCCTGAACTATTCGGAATTTTCAAATTTTCAAATGGTATTTTGTTAAGTATAATATTGCGCAGCTTCGCTGCAATTTAATCGACCCCGTATCTCTCATGGTTTCCGAGATCCCTTTGCACACACTCGAATGCGATATTTTTCACCAAAAATCATATTTTAATCTACGACCACTGGCGCAAACAGCTAACGACACCGTTGATGACGTCGGCAATGGTGCAGCACCATATGACCCTGATTTCATAAAATGTGACCGATGAGATCTCAAGTAGTAAGTGTGTATTATCGTTGAATTTTTGCACTCTTTTTATAATAATCCACTCCGATTTGAATTTGTACGGAACAGACCTCATGACCTGACGCGAACTGGCATCAGTGTGAACATAAGACGATCGACTATAGGCTGGCAACTGTGGTAAGTGTGTTTCGGTCTGAGGTGTAGGGGGAGGAAAAAACGATAAGTAAATAGCATTAGCAATGAAATAGAGCGAGATAAAAATATTAGTTCGCATATTTGCCCTCTGCAAATTTTCGCTGGTCGCACTAGACCTTCTCAAACGCGCATACTCCGGTCAGTTCTAGAACACCAGTTGCCCGAACTTAAAAAAGCAATATCTGCTGTGGATTCAGCGTACTTTCACGATTTTATTGGAGAGAAAACCAAAAAAGTCAAACACAAGCAAAATAAGTATTGTAATTTGTGAATCCAATCGAGACTCATTTTTTAGTTCTACTGCTCCCAGAGCGCGCCACGTCTGTAGGATGACGTCACAGATCTCTGCGGGAGCGATTAAAAGCCAAACGAGGGCACACCAGTTGATATCAATAGCCAAACGTAATTTGTTCTGATCAAACTTTTTGATTCATCGACTTTGACGAAGCAAGAAGGAGCGCTCCAACACGTGAATCTCGCCGAGAGCAACGTTCCAGTTAAGCCTAAGGGTGGATTTTCATGCATCCGTTTTTCCGACGAAATATGTCCGAAAAACATTCTATTCTGACATAATCGTATATAAATATGTCAAAATAGAAGACTTTTTGGACATATTTCAACGGAAAAAACGGATGCATGAAACTCCGGCCTAAAGCCTAGTACTCATAACTGCGAAATTCGCATTTTTTTTACTTTGCTTCGACAATTTGACGTTTGATACATGCATTAAACGTCAAATTGTCAAAGCAATGTCAAAAAAGTGCGAATTTCGCAGTTATGAGTACTAGGCTTAAGGGAGGATTTTCATGCATCCGTTTTTCCGTCGAAATATGTCCGTTTAATATTCTATTCTGACATATTTATATACGATTATGTCAGAATAGAATGTCAAACGGACATATTTCGACGGAAAAACGGATGCATGAAAATCCTCCCCAACATGTGAATTCGTTTCCGTTTCGGATAGCTTTTTGATCAATTGTTCTAGAGTAGTTTTTGAACCATCTGTAAGCGTAAGCTGGACAGAACTATTTGCGGGTTGAACCTGAGTTGAGAACTTTCTATAACTGTTCAAGTAAGGGCGGGTATTATAAAACTGCTTTGACAGTTAACTTGAAGTTAACTTTTTGAATTACATGTAATTCCAGAAATTAACTTTAAGTTAACTCTCACAGTAGTTTTATAATACTCGCCCTAAATCATAATTTTCTCTAGTTTACCGCGCTTGGTGGTGATGTGCTTTCCCAAATTAAAAAATCCTGTTCGATTGGAACTGTACTAAAGAAAGCTATTGGCAAAACTATTTTTGCACGCGGGGCAGAGAATGTTACGGAAGTTCTTGAATCGAACAGGAACAGTTTTGAACTGAACCCGAGCATCCAACTCCTTATCTCCGAACAGTTCTTTACTGCCCGAACCAGAAAAACCCAATTAACTTCCTCGGATTTATGACCTTTTGTGATTAATGACAGGACAGTTGACATGATACCACCACACACGCTTTCCAACAAACTGATTTTTAGAGTATTGAATTTGTGACCATACGATCAAACAGCAAAATACCAAAAAGGACCGATTAATTTATATCGGTTCCAGTTCTGTCTGCCTTACAAAATTTCTATGAAATATGGGCTTCGTTCCGCTTCCGGTCCGCAAAAAAAAAAACGGTTCCCTTCCGATCTACGGTTCTATATCATTCCGACTCTCCAAGCATGCCTCATCTGCGCGGTGACGTCACCGTCACTGCGGGAGTGCTCTGGGAGCGATTATAATTCAAACGAGGGCACACCATTCGAGATCCACTTTGACGGAGCAAGATTTGAGAGCCTTCTATTGCTCAAGTCGAACACGTAATTCGTGAATCTCGCCGAGAGCAACGCTCCGTTTTAAGCCGAACATGTAAATCCATTCCGGATTGGTTTTTTATCAATCGGGTGCAGTTCTGAAGCAAAAGTCGAAAGCGGTATTAGATTTATTCAAAGCAATCGCATATAAAATCGCGATCGATGGGAACTATGCTAAAGCAAACTAAAATTACTTTTGCACGCTCCTTTTGCTCGAAAGCAATGGACCTTTCTCATTTTACCTGTGCTGCGCGCGCATCTTGTGGGTGACAGATAATTAAATCGTCAATTTACTGAACACGGTCTGACCCTGACGTATTTAAGCTAACCTCAATAATCAATCAGCAATCAATATTGCTGAAAATTAATACAAAAACTGTTTATGATACAATGGTTCAAATGAGTTGAATGAGTTCTTGTCAGAATTAGGCGAAAAAGAAGTGAAACCTTTCTTTTCACAAGTTCCCAGGCAATCAAATTGTAAGAAAACAATAGTTACGTGCTCTCAACCCGAATGAAGACGATTTAAGTTGGGACAGAGATTTGAGGGTTCGTAAAATAACGATTTTTATATCAAATACCTACAATAATAATGTACAATTAAAGGTTTGCTGCAAACATTTTTGCTGCGGTGGGTTTTCTTTCCAATTAATGTTAATACGTATTTTGTCATATTTACGTTTAAAAATAAACAAAAACAGAAACATAACCGAAATTGCACAATTTGACAAGTGGAACCAATCAAAGTCATTCCACACAGGTATCGCGCGTCATTATTTGTGTCTTTTTCTTTATTGCAAAAATCTTAATAAACTATCCTTGTTGTTCATTGCATGAGAAAGGTCCATTGTCCAGCAGTTTAATTAAGACGAGACCCTTTCAAACGAACATACTCCAAACCATTTCTTAACTGCCCGAGCCAAAAAAAAAACTTGACCTGAGCCGCTTTCCAGTATGGGAGTGTGACGCCCGGAGCTACTCGGAGCGTCGAGCTCCCGAGCTGTACGTACGCGTCAACCTGTTAGCTGTCACATCTGTGGGTGGCTATTTATTTATTTATTTCTTGTTATATCCGGGGATTGAACATTTTCAAGATATACTTAGTTTTGATTCTCTTTCATTTTTGATCAATAAAAAAACAAATAAAATAATTATTTTTAAAATTTGACATATTTGACAGTCAGGCGTCTCACACCGATACTGGAACGTTACAAATCTAGTGCGTGGCGCTCCCGAGATGCTCTAGAGCGCGCCAAGGCGCACCAATGGAAAGCACTCTGGGATTTATGACAGATGACATTAGACGACTCATCGAGAGTCGAGTGGACACGGGTCAGAGATTGACATAAACGATAAACGACATATTCCATTTTTATTGGCATAATAATTAATTTTTAAAAGAAAATATTGAATTTTTTTCCATTACCTAAGTCCATTATTGAAAAACCAAATCTCCTTTGTTAAAATATTTTTTCATAACTCTATTTGCCATTATACCATACCATTAATTTCGTCACCTAGCTGTTGCTGTCAATTTAAAAGTTTATTAATTAAAAACAATTCCAAATGTCCCGTAAATATTGCACCCGAGGGGCCACATCTCGTTTAAGGCAAGATTATTTAAGATTGAAGAAGGACCCAATACCTTATGTCAACGCTGAACCTTTACCAAATGATATTTTAGAATGGTAAGGATTTTATTAATTTTTAATTATTTTTTTATAAATCGACACCTTATTGCAGGCATTACGTGGTCTCAGGTCCAGAAGACAGTCCTTACGAAGGAGGTTACTATCATGGTAAACTTGTTTTCCCAGCAGACTTTCCTTTTAAACCGCCATCGATTTATATGATTACTCCAAATGGACGATTTAAAACCAACAGGAAACTTTGTTTGAGTATTTCCGATTTTCATCCGGACACTTGGAATCCTGCTTGGAGTGTATCAACAATTCTTACTGGACTTTTGAGCTTTATGGTGAGTCAACTTGTCACTAATTCGGTTGAGGGTTTCATCAGAGTATGATGACGATTTTTTTCAGTTGGAAAAAAGTCCAACTTTGGGAAGTATTGAAACTGCCGACTATGATAAACGTAAATTTGCTTATCGTTCGCTCGAATACAATTTGAAAGACTCACAATTTTGTGAGCTTTTTCCAGAAACGGTTGAAAAAATTACTGTGAGTATCTATCGAACAATAATTTTGTGAGTATTTGTTGAATATTTCAGGTTGAACTTGAAAAACGCAATAACATCGATAAAACAACGACCGAAAATAATCAGTACAATTTGGCAACACCAGTTTCAAATTTACAGTCTTGTCTAACAAATTTATGCGTGATAATTGGTTTTGCTGCATTTACCTTGGTGGCCAAGTACGTATGGAAAAGTTCCATAGCTGAAATGGAAGATTAAAGTTTAATTTGTTTAAATTTCTTGTTTTTAAAAGTATTATTTTGTTATTTGCTTAATAAATTTTTCTAATTGGTTAAAGAGGAAGTTTGCTACTTTTCCTTTTACACCATCTCGATATTTATAGTTAGGCACAAAAATATATAATATCAAAAATCACTTAACAAAGTTAGATAAACAAAAATTAAAATACAACTAAAAAAAATAGAATAGGATAATAGATTCACCCATCCTTTTCAGTAATTTAATACAATTTAAGAATCAACTGTATAAGTCTCTTGAAACAAGGAAGATCAGTACAGAAAAGATCAGCACTACCACACTTTGAATTTGCCAGCCCACATATTTTGAGCCTAGGACTATTTAATCCATAGTTAGTTCTATGAAAATAAATCATGCTGACTGGTAAATCTTTGGGGTACTCTTATTAATATTACTTAACAATTACCAGCTGTCAATCATGCCATTTACAATTTAAAACAAAGCAAGTATATCAAATTGAGTCCTACTAACTTCCAAAAGTGGTAAATTCATCTTTTTGTACAAATGTTCATAACTGATATCTTTCATGGGAATTCCCAGTTTAAAATTTATAGTTCTCAAAAATCGTCCCTGTACCTGCTCCAAAGAATCTATATAAACATTATAATATGGAAACCAGGCTGGACTAGCATACTCCAACACTGATCTTACAAAACTACAATACACTGTTCTAAAGCACGTAACATCAAGAACATCAGTCAGTGTTCTATTCACAAAGCCTAACATTTGTACCTATTGCTTTATTCCTTATAGCGAGTCTCTATCCTCCTGACCCTAAGCTACGTACCCCATCACGACAGAATAAAGTTGTGACATTATTTAATCTAAAATTAATTTTTTGGGTTACTTGAAAACTCATTTACTTATTCAAGAAAAATGTATTTATTATTGTATGTAAAATTTTTCATGTAACTCTACTACTACTAGGTACTGGACCTGTACAACCAATTCCGTTAATATTAGCCTCATAAAAAGACACAAATTTCACAGGCATATATTCCACAATATTTGCTTTACATTTCTCAATTAATTTCAATAAATCAGCACATGATCCTTTATTGAAACTAATATCAATTTTTCTAAGACTATTTACAGATAAATTTCCAAGTTTATCAAAATCCAACTCATTAGATTGCAAATATAGATGGTTCAGGGTCGGTAAACTAGTTGTAAATGATTTTAAATTATTAAAAGATACATCTAGATAATTTAAATTTTTTAAAGGCAACAATAAATTATCTGTTAGAGTTTCAAGTTGGTTATTATGCAAATGCAAAGTAGTTAATTTACCAAAAGAATTAAATAAACCACTAGAAAGACTCGAAATTTTGTTAAAAGCCAAGGATAATATTTCTAATTCTTTTTGATTTTTGAACGTATTTTCGCCTATGGAAACTATCAGGTTATTTGAGGCATTTAAATAAGTTAAATTATTTAAATTTTCAAACAAATTGTCTGTTAATATTGCAATAGAATATTGAGATATATCTAGAAACCTTAAACTATTTAAATCTTTAAATATTGGCTGATCATTAACAAACCTAGGAATTGAAAAATCAATTTCAATTAAACTAGGAATTAATTTCAAAAAATCATAACTAATTAAAGTTGTATTAAAAATCTTGATTTGTTGCAAATTATTTAGGTTTTTCAAATTATCATTAATAATTTCTGTAATATTACTATCTCGAATCACCAAAGTTTTTACATGGTGACTCTCAACGTTTTTTAAAAAACTTACTTCTAAATATTCCAATTTTATCAAATCATTTAAAGGCAAATCATAATTGAGCAAAGGACAGTTTGTTAAGTATAATTTTGTTAAGCCAGTACAATTAATAAAAGTTTGTTCATTTAAAACTGTCAATGGATTAAATGACAAATCTAATTCTTCAATTCTATCTAAATTAAGAAAAATACCTTCTAGAGAGTTTAGTTCATTTTTTGATAGGTTTAAAGAATTTACTTCAAGGTTTTGGAAGGCTGTAGTATCGATAAAATTTAGTTTGTTATTTGAAATATCTAGATTTCCTATTACACTATCTGCAAAAGTTAATTTAGGTAATTTTTTTATTTTATTATCACCTAACAAAATAGATTTAATTCTATAATGAAAAAAATATTTGTTTTCAATAAAATTTATCTTGCAATTGGTTAAATCTAAATATTTCTCTTTACTATTGTAATATTCAGCATCTAATAATTCTCTAAAATTGACTATAGATTTTTTCAGCTTGTTAATTGTATTATTTCTTAAATATAGGTTATTCAAACTTAAATTTTTAATAACTGAAACATTGAATTTATCTGCTAAATCATTCATATGTAGTTCTTTGAATCCATCTACAATTGTAATGTTTTGTAAATTTACATCACCATTTACATGTAATGATAAATTTGGGGCTCTTCGTAAAATAACAAATTTTAAAGTATCAATATGACTCAAATTAATAGTTAAATTTTTAGCTTTAATTTTGGCATTCCAGTTAAAGTTTGATAAATTAGAATAACTTAAATCAATAAGTTTTCTATTTTCATTAAATTCTAGATATAAAGATTCTATAAGGTCAACGTTATCATTCAAATTATTGTGTTTTAATATTAAATATTCAATATTGCTCATGCCTCTTAGGAAATAATAATTTGAAATGTTATTGTTGCTCAAATCTAGAGTTTTTATTAAAGACACTCCAATAAGGGAAAACATTTTTACACTTTCTATTGAAGAATTAGTTATAGCTAATTTAAAAATAAAAGCTCCTAAATTAGTCGACTTCAATGGGCCTGTGACCCATCCATCAATATTTCCTATGTTTGAATTTTTAATTGTCAATAAAACTTTTTTACTTTTAGAGTATAAATCAGTGTTCCAAGGATCGACAATTTTTCTGAGCTCGGGTCCAACTTTAAGTATCCAATCACGATAGTCTTCTTTTGTAATTTCACTGCATATAATTTCTATCTCTTGGTCTTTTATTGTTGCAATACATTTTTCAGTTAGTATTGTAGGTAAGAAGAAAGAGGCAATGATGAGGAAAGTGTTGAGAGATTTCTGCTGGAAAATTAAAAAGACTGACATGGGTAGGTTTTTTAAATGTTGTATAGACTTTTAGTTGTATGATGAATTTAATTAAACCAATCAGATATCTGCTTTATTACAAGAAACTGTGATTAATGTAGAAAAAGTGATGATCTAATATATATTTTCTTCAACTTACCATTTTTGAATGGTTTCAATGACTTAATAATCAATATACCATATCACTGCATTAATTATGCGCGATGTTTTGTTAATTTCAATAAAGATAAATTGAAATAATCATAATATTTTGCAATTAGCAGCAATAATTAGACACAATCAAATGAAAGTTATTACATGGGAATATCCAACAATAATATCTCATTTCTGATGATTTACAAATAGGTATATTTTCTGGAAAACTATTGGAGGGAAAATTATGAAACTTCCAAGAGAAAAAGAGGAAAGTTCAGAGCTTAAAATGGGAAATTAATGAAAATCAACTTGCAAAATCTAAATTAAGCAAATATGCACCCTCTTACATTTTAATTTTTTTCTGGTAAACTACTGAGGGGAAAATTGTGAAAATTTTTAGGACAATAAGAGAAAAGTTAAGAGATTATCATACTAAAATTTTAAACTTCTCCAGTGAAAAAAAAAAAAAAAAGAATGGGACATTAATGAAAATCTACTTGTGAAATCTAAATTAAGCAAAAATGCACCCACTTATATTTTAATTTTTTTTCGGGAAAATTGTCAAACTTTGAGAAGAAAAAGAGGAAAGTTAGGAGCTCATCATACTGAAATTTCAAACTTTTCCAGTGAAAAATAACAAAATGGGGAATAAATGAAAATCAACTTGCAAAATCTAAATTAAGCAAAAATGCATCCTGTTACATTTGAATTTTTTTCTAGAAAACTACTAAAGGGGAAATTGTGAAACTTTCGGGAGAAAACGAGGAAAGTTAGGAGCTCATCATACTGAAATTTCAAACTTTTCCAGTGAAAAGTAACAAAATTGGGAATTAATGAAAATCAACTTGCAAAATTCAAATTAAGCAAAAATGCAACCTTTTACATTTTAATTTTTTCTGGAAAACTATTCTAGGGAAAATTGTGAAACTTTCAGGAGAAAAAGAGGAAAGTTCGGAGCTCATAATATTGAAATTTCAAACTTATTTAGTGAAAAATAACAAAATGGGAAATTAATGAAAATTTAAATTAAGCTAATATGCGCCTTCTTACATTTTAATTTTTTCTGGAAAACTATTGTAAGGAAAATTGTGAAACTTTCAGGAGAAAAAGAGGAAAGTTTGGAGCTCATCTTATTGAAATTTCAAACTTGTCTAGTGAAAAATAACAAAATGGGAAATTAATGAAAATCTAAATTAAGCAAATATGCACCCTCTTACATTTTAATTCCTTTCTGGAAAACCACTGAGGGGAAAATTGTGAAATTTTCAGGACAAAAAGAGAAAAGTGAAGAGCTTATTATACTAAAATTTCAAACTTTTCCAGTGAAAAAAAAAAAAAAAAAGAATGGGACATTGATGAAAATCTACTTGTGAAATCTAAATTAAGCAAAAATGCACCCATTTATATTTTAATTTTTTTCGGGAAAACTACTGGAGGGAAAATTGTCAAACTTTGAGAAGAAAAAGAGGAAAGTTAGGAGTTCATCATACTGAAATTTCAAACTTTTCCAGTGAAAAATAACAAAATGGGGAATAAATGAAAATCAACTTGCAAAATCTAAATTAAGCAAAAATGCATCCTGTTACAATTGATTTTTTTTCTAGAAAACTACTAAAGGGGAAATTGTGAAACTTTCGGGAGAAAACGAGGAAAGTTAGGAGCTCATCATACTGAAATTTCAAACTTTTCCAGTGAAAAATAACAAAATTGGGAATTAATGAAAATCAACTTGCAAAATTCAAATTAAGCAAAAATGCAACCTTTTACATTTTAATTTTTTCTGGAAAACTATTCTAGGGAAAATTGTGAAACTTTCAGGAGAAAAAGAGGAAAGTTCGGAGCTCATAATATTGAAATTTCAAACTTATTTAGTGAAAAATAACAAAATGGGAAATTAATGAAAATTTAAATTAAGCTAATATGCGCCTTCTTACATTTTAATTTTTTCTGGAAAACTATTCTAGGGAAAATTGTGAAACTTTCAGGAGGAAAAGAGGAAAGTTCGGAGCTCATCATATTGAAATTTCAAACTTGTCTAGTGAGAAATAACAAAATGGAAAATTAATGAAAATCAACTTGCAAAATCTAAATTAAGCAAATATGCACTTACGTTTTAATTTTTTTCTGGAAAACCACTGAAGGGAAAATTGTGAAATTTTCAGGAGAAAAAGAGGAAAGTTAGGAGCTTATTATACTAAAATTTCAAACTTTTACAGTGAAAATTAACAAAATGGGAAATTAATGAAAATCAATTTGCAAAATCTAAATTGAGCAAAAATTCACTGTCACATTATTTGAATTTTTTTCTGGAAAACTCTCATAAGTATATTTTTTAATAAATTTAACACTCAATTTTAAAATAGTGGAAGAGACTTTAGTTGTAATATTTTAATTGTTTCCCTTGTGCAGCGGTACATAAAACTGCAAGCATTTCATGTTCAGATTTGAAATGTTAAAATTGGAGCGGCTCATTTTCTGAATGTCAGTGGCATTGAAAAAATTGTTAATTCGATTGTTGCATTGAAAAATCAAAAAGAAAAAACCAAGAGTAAACATATTTTGAAGAAATTTAATCCATTTTATTGTTTTAAATCCAATATTAACACTACGTTGGCAAGATTTTGATTGAAAAGAAGTTAAAAAAAGTTGAAATGCAATTTTACATCCATGTAGGGCAGTTTCTCTTGGTGTTCCAATAAGTTTTCAACCGTGTAGAGCATGGTTGCTTAATCAAAACAAATAATTGTAAATAATTTGTATTTTTCAAAAATATATACAATAAAAATAATATAAATGCACTCTATTTCTACTGATACACAATATAATAATATCACTTTCGTGGTTTCTAAATTTTCGAAGGTAAAGCAGTTAGTGTTTCATATATTGAAGCAGCAACATACTTTACATTATTTGGAGTAATGCCGCACATACTTATACGTCCAGATTTGAGCATGTAAACATGATGCTTCTTAACCATATGTTGGGATTGAGATTCTGGAATTGAAATTCATAAGAAAATACTTTTCAAAAACACTTAAAACTACATACGATTCAATCCAGTGTAGGAAAACATTCCAATTTGTTCTGTAATGTGATTCCAGTTGCCAGGTGTTCTTAAAGTTTCCAATTCTTCTCTCAGGCGTTTTCTCATTTCGATGATTCTTGACGACATTGTTTGGATGTTACCGCGCCTTTAATTAATATAATTAAATTAGAAACATTGAAATATTGTTAAGGTATTTGTTTTACCATTGTTCAAATAAGTCCTTGCTATTCAGTACATGAGCAACAATTCTAGCTCCATGACTTGGAGGGTTCGAGTACATTCCTCTTACTGTCCAGGTTATTTGGGATTTAACTGCCGGAATGTGAGCTGCATTGTTTAGGACTATTGACAGATTACCAGTACGTTCATCTACAATTATTAGAAAAAATGCAATGTTTAGAACCAAAAATCAAGCGAATCATTTAATTATCAGGATCGTAGGTACTCGTCATCAAAAATTATTAGTCAAGATCCGTTATAGTATAAATTATTATTATTAAATCCTTTATTTAGCATAAAAATTGCTAGTTTACAATAGTACAAAATATATACAATATAAGTATATGAAAAGTAAGTAAAAAATAAAATGTAAAATAATAAATAATTCATAAAATAGGTAAACTAACAGAACAAAACTTAATAATCACAAACGATACACAATAATTTAAAAGTTATCACAAGATCAACCATCCAGTATATCACAATTACCTAGCATATAAATTTTTAGTTTTTTCTTGAAACTCAACAATGAAGTGCAGTTTTTTATCTCTTCTGGTAGGTTATTAAACTCGTTAAATCCTTTATGAAAAATTGAATTCATTGTACATTTTTTACTCTTTGGAGTTATGAAAAAATTATTTCTATTTCTGGTATTATAGTTATGCACTTCATTGTTGTAAACTATTTTGTTTATAAGGTATTCAGGAGCACGTCCAATCTTTATCTTAAAAATAAAAACCAAGGCATTATACCTTACAAATTCCACAACCGGTAGCCATTGCATTACTCTTAACATTGAGTTTATTGGTGTATACTTGCTACAGGAAAGAATCATACGCATAGCCCGGTTCTGCAATTTTTGTAGTCTAGCCACCTCATTCTGCTTGAATAAATACATGATTGTTGCACAGAAGTTGAAATGTGGCAAAACTAATGTATTATATACAACTAACTTTGACCAGAAAGAGAGAAAATAGGAACATCGACATAGATAGTTAACACTAAAACTTATTTTAGACACAATATAATTGCAATGTTCCCTAAATAAAAGTTTATCATCCACTATCACCCCCAAATATTTAAACTTTTGTACTCTTTGAATCTTATCAGATCCAACCATCAATGAAAGATCATTGTCATCACAATGGAGTTTGGTTTTGTCATTGGTTATTAACATGAATTTTGACTTATTCGCATTTAACTTTAAACGATATTTCACAGTATATTTATAAATTCTATTTAACGCCGCATTCATGTTTTGAACAAGGCTTGTCAAATTCCTAGAGGCTGCATAAACCAGTGTGTCATCAGCAAATAAGTGAACGTTAGCATTTCCTAAAATATCTGCCATGTCATTTATATATAAAATAAAAAGTAGTGGCCCCAGTACGCTACCCTGAGGTACACCATGATAATTTTCTAAATTTCCAGAAACTCTTCCATTCACTTTAACATTCTGTACTCGATTTGCCAAATAGTTCTTAAACCATTTTAGTACACATCCACCAACACCCACAGCTTCAAGTTTATTTAAGAGCATTTTGCGGTCTACCGTCTCAAAAGCCCTCTGGAGATCTAAAAACACTGCAATTACCATATAGTTACTATCAGCCCAATTCTTCCACTCATCCACAACACACTGAACCGCAGTTTCACAACTGTGGTTCGCTCTAAACCCTGATTGAAATTTAGTTATTAAGTTATTATGTTCAACAAAATCTAGCAACTGTATGTAAACAATTTTTTCAATTACCTTTTCTATTGTTGCAAGAGTATTTATAGGCCTGAAATTTGTAGCATCAAGAACATTTTCTTTTTTTTGGACGGGTATTATAGTGGACATCTTTAACCGATTTGGAAATTTGCCGGTATCAAAAGAACAATTTATTAAATTTATGAGTGGATCCTCAATGGCATCATAAATGTTTTTTAGCAGGTCGACACTAATTTCATCAGGGCTACTTTTAGATTCCAAGGAGAAAACAACCTTTCTTAAAGCTTCCGTATCGATCAATCTAAAGTTATCAAACCTATCCAATATAGTTGAAGAATAATTATTATTTATATAAGTGTCCGCAGTGTTGTCTATTTCACTAACAATTTGCTCTACGCTGTTTATATAAAATCTATTTAACCTATCAGGCAAGATATCCTTATCATTAACCACTTCACCGTTAATATGAACTTCAGAAATTTTCAAGGATTTTTTATTTTGCGGTAATATTTGACCTAATGCAGACCACATACTAGATGGGTCATTTTTGCATTGATCCACCTGATTTTCAAAATATTTGATTTTTTCCTGCCTAATAGTCCTAACTGCCATATTTCTATTCTCTTTGTAAATTGCGTGACTCGCCTCAGATTTAATAAGCTTGTGTTGTCTGTAACTCTCATCCCTAGCTCTTATTGCATCTTGAACTCGTTCATTCCACCACGGTTTAAAACGAGATTGTATTTTAATTGTTTTTAATGGAGCTACAATGTTAAACGCATTTTTTATCGTAAGGATAAGGTTATCACATTTTTTATCAATATCTGCTACATGAAAATCCCATGCAACCTGTGATAACTTATTTTTTATTAGCTCAAAATTAATCTTTTTTCCTCTGCTTTCTAAAATGATAGGTTCTGGTTTTGGAAAACTAAAAAGTTTTGTTTCTAGAGATATCATAAAATGATCACTAATTCTTGGGACTTGTAATACCTTAAAATTCACAGATATTTGATTAGTAAAAACCAAATCAATTATCGTGCCACCATTTATTGTGGGTCTAGTAACCTCATTTATAATCTGCAATAAACCCATATCATTTGCTAAGGCCCTAAATTTTTCACTATAAAAGTCAGTAGACAACCAATTAATGTTAAAATCACCAAAAATTAACAAAGGAATATTAACATCGCAGACGTAATCATTACACCACGTCTCAAAAAATGTCATGAATTCAGCACAGCTACTGTTAGGAGAACGATACAGGCATGCAACAAAAAATGTTCTTCCATGTATATTCAATTTAGTACTTAATAACCAATATGACCTACCCAATACTACTCTATTAATTTCCAATACCTTGATATACCTTTTGATATACATCTGCACGCCCCCTGTATGCCTACTTGAACTATCAGTCCTAAAGCACTCATATTCGTCGATACATATTTCAGAACTATCTATAATTTCCGTTAGATGTGTTTCGGAAATACAAATAATCTCAGGTTTCATGTTCAAAACTAAAAAATGAATCTGGTCAAAATTAGCATACGTGCTACCTGAATTTAAATATAAAAAATTACACATATTTCTGTTACCCTTAAAAACTAATCTATTTCTATTGTAGCTAGGTCGGGGTCTAAAAAATGACCCTGGTTTAATACAGGCTGGGACTTCTCTAATCTATTTAGATTAAAAATTATGTCAGAATGTGTGTCAGTTATAATACAGTCAGAAACATTATTCATGCCGCAACACTCTATACTACTTGACAGAGAGCTGTCAGCATCAGTATGATAAGTTTTAGCAGGTCTAAGTGTAGGATCAATAAGTACTATACCAATAGGTTTCAACAAATAGCTACATAAGATATACTGTTTTATAAGCCTACACATATTATTTTTGCTTAGTCTATACTTTCCCCCATATTTAACATTTTCAATAATTCTCACTGAGACATTGTTGTTTCTAATAAAAGAACTGCAGAACATATACAATCGCCTGTATAGGCCCTTAGCTTGTTGGTTCTGAAGTAATGAATCATAATTTAAACAAAGAATAAGATTAGTATATCGTCCAATTGATAAAATATTTTTCAGAGCACTCACCTTGAATTTAATTACATTTTTTATATTCAATGATACAATAACACAATCTTTATGACCATAACAAAGAGAAAAACCAAATGAGCTCCTACCAATTTCATTTATTGTGGCCATAGGCTTGATTACACCAGTGACTTGAAAAGAATCTTCCATCAATGATTTTATAGATACTGGCCAGTTCCTCGCAGATTCATCTCCACAAATCAAAACACGCTTCTGCTCATTAGGTAAAGATGTTCTAGGAGCACTCACCCTCTGGTCAATCCCATTTGTAGGATCCTGATCTGTACAGACCTTGGTGTCCCAATTTTCAAAATGTTCAATGCATCCTGAAGAATGAGTTGAAACATCCTCAACACTATTACCGTTCATATGGTTACACAGCTCACTTTTCAGATCTTCAATCTCCCGAGTATACATTTTATTCTCCGTACAAAGTACCTCAATGCTTGTTAGTAGTTCCAATTTCAATTTTTCAAGCTCCAATAAATCTGCTTTTAATTTTTCATTGGAAAGCTGTAAAGAAAGTAGTGTGGTATCACCATCGGTTTGAGATGATGTGCCTTGACCAAACATTTGAACTACAGCCTCAGTTTGTTTAAATTTTTGCAAAACACAAGTCTGAGTCTCAATATTCACGAAAGTTGCTTTATTTGCTTCTAGATTTTTATATTTTTTTAGCTGTTCATTAAGTTCTTCATTACTTTGTTTAAGTTTTTCAATTTCCTTGACATATTCTTCTTCACTTTTAAGGGCATCATTGTAAAATGCCTCAGAATTGCGTTTTAGACGTTTAATGTGCTTGTTTTTTTCCATTACTTCTACCTGCATTTCTTGTATTATTGATCTTAAGTCTTTAATAGTTTGATGATCGTCCTCATTTTCAACTTCATAACCCTTGTCAATGCATTCCTTGGAACACCATATAAGGTTCTCATTTATAACTTCAAATTTATTTGAGTTCCTTTTCCAGCAACTTTTATGATACACATTTTTACAAATCAGACAAAAAAAATTGCATGGGTCCTTATTTTTACAACATTTGAACGTTGTCGCCATTTTCCCATCAGATGCTGGGATTTCCCGATGTTATTTATGTTTTGATCATCAGCTGTAGGGAATTTCCATTGTTATTTTATTATATTTATATTTTTGTCGAAACCTTATTATTTATTAATCACAGTCAGGTAGTCCGATAAAAAAGAATGGAATTTTGATCAAACTGATAAGAACTGTCGTTTAATTTATTAACTGTAATATGATAAACTATATGAATGGTTTTTAGGGCATTATTGCGTCTATTCAGCACTTATACAATTTATTTTAAAATCACAAAATAGTACACTTTTTAACGAACAACACGATACTAAACACTATAATTAATTGTCAATTTAACCATAACTAAATCAATGTTTTCTAAGAGCATTAATAACGTTGTGCACCTGACGAGCACGAGCTTGAGGCTTCTGATGTACCTAACTAATTTTCCATAAATTAAATCAAAGTACTTAGGTAATGAACATACTTACTGTAAAGTCCAAAATTCTTAGCATAAGATTGAGCACAGAAAAGCTCAAAACCTTGATTAACAAACGACCTTACAGCCCAAGCGTCCTTATCCAAATCTCCAGATGCAAATCCTTGATAAGCCGAATCGAAAAACGGAAACAATTTTTTCTCTCTAATCACCTTGGCAATTTGGCCCCATTGTTCTTGGGTAGGATCACAGCCTGTAGGATTGTGGGCGCAAGCGTGTAAAATAATCACAGCCCCTTCGGGAGCGTTATTCAAATCTTCCAAAAGCCCTTCGATATCCAGGCCGTGTTTTTCTTCGTGCCAGTACCTGTATTCTTTGGCTTCTTTGAATCCGGCATTGAGAAAGATTAATCTGTGATTTTCTGAGATGGAAATTTGTTATAAGATAATGCAAATATTTGTTTCTTTGAAAATTACCCCAAGTTGGTTTAGAATAGTAAAATACTGTCCTTCCTAAATAGGTTGCTAAAAATTCTGCTCCTACCCTTAAAGCTCCTGTACCAGACAGGGTTTGTACACCAAATGCCTGAAAATAAGTTCAAAAAATGTTATTTTTAATTTCTTTCAAATAGTTTTAAAAATATTCCCAATCAAAATTGTTTTATGGTTGTAAATTCTTTACCCTATTCTCTGTAACAGCAGCACTATCGTTTCCCAATAACATTTTAGTAGATAGGGAGCTGAATAAATCCAGTCCGAGTACAGGAAGGTATTCCTTGTTTAAGGTGTCGTCGTTGGCCAAAGTCTTTTCTGCTGCACGTACCACTGGTAAAACCCATGGTTTGCCTTCATCTGTGCGGTAGGCTGAAATGGAAAATGTGGAGTTTGAATTTGAGTCAGTATGTGAAATGTACTTGTAGATAAGATACTGATCAATTCAACAGTAGTTTTACTTATTTTACCAAAACCTTCCTGCCTGAAATTGAATTATTATGATTCTTGAGAAGGTAGAAAAATGTTCACAATGGAATTGGAAAACTGAATTTTCCATCAATATAACTATGTAGCATTTTTAGACTGGCTATATGTGTTCAAAGTATTTTCATAAACTACACCTGGCATATCGCCAAAGCACAATTTGTTTTTAAGCTTTTTCTCTTCATTTTCCAATAAAAATAATATTGATGCATTCATTTAAATTTTACCCATTTTTGATAACACAACCAAGCATTCTGTAGATAGATAAATATGGTCGATTTATTTTTAGTTTCCTTTCACAATTTTAATAAACCTTATCATTGCCTGATGACGTTAATATTTTTTTTCTGCGATTGACAAGAAATGTCAGCATTTTTGACCGGTTGACAGGTCGCAAAACTCAATATTCTGGTATTTTAATTATATTTCAATAGTTGCTAAGAAATCAATGAATAACAATACGGGAAACACTTTTCCGGCCTGGGCCGGGAAAGTGATTCTCGTATTGCTAAATAATTGGGACCAAAAGACAAACATTTAACAGCTATTTAACTGATCGCAGAAAAAATAGTCTGTGTATTTCGGTAGAATAGCACATTCTTGGCCTTCAGTGTTTGCCGGCCTCGGCTACGCCTCGCCACCGTCGGCCGAGAATGTGTCACTTTTCCACCTAAATACACAATATACTAATTTAATTGTTTTATATTGATGACCTATTGCAACAAGTTTTTTTGTTTCTTTTTTTTTACATAAAAATTAAGTATATCCAAAATGAGAGAAAAAGACCATTACTTGATCATTGATCTGGATTCCTCTTCGTCTCTCCTCCCAGAAAACAAATTACAGTTGAAACTCTTCTGCAGCAAATTAAATAACTAAGTTTATTTTATTCTTGGAGTAGTTCACAATTTCAAACTTGGATATTGAATAAAATTATTGTGATTGTACGATTGTAGAATGTAGAAGCAAAGGACGATTACAGTTTTCACATTATGAAGTTAAGTAGGTACCTATATTTGAGGATCTTGCAGGACCACGGACCAGACAGAAAACCCATTAATTCATGAAATGCAACATGAAATGGTATTGGTGGAAGGTAGTTTTTAGGTAAAATACCTACCACAGACAGTACTACCTTTATTTTACTTATCTATACAATAATGATTTTAATGTTCGAGCTTCTTTGCAAGCTATAGGAGTAAATATAGGAGAAAAAACTGAAGGTATATTATAGTTTAATAATCTGATTAATTATGTTATGTAATTAGTTATAAATTATGTATAAAAACACAAAATTACTCACCGCCAACACCCAAATTAACTTTTTGCGGAAAATCGTCCTCTTGAAACTGTTTGGTCAATTGGAAAACTTCAATTGGAGGTCCCAATTCAACAGAGGAAAACCAGGACATTTTTCTGTGATAAAATTTCAATCGAAACAGTAATTTCTATTAAAAATAAATTGTTTTAAATGGCCTCGGCTAACAATGGTACAGTTAATTAACAAATAAAAAATTAACAGAATCTCATAGATAATCGAGTAACCTTTTTGACCTTTAAATTTTCAAAAAAGTAGGATTGGCCTTGCTGCTTTAATAGCGTTTTCTGCTCGAATTTTGATAGTGCAAAAATGTATATCTGATTGATTCAGATCATGAGGTCTCGTTCCGTCCAAACCCACCTTGGAGCAAGAATATTCCGGAACACATTTCCAGAATAGTTCCGAATCTTGGGTTCTTTGCTTATCCTGCACTAGTGCGCATTCACCTCGCATTTTGTGAGTGCAAATATTCATGTTCGACATGTGGCTAAATTCAGCTGGTGTAGGGTAGGCACCGTGGTAACATGGTAGAAAGAGTAGTGTTGAGCTGGTTGAGCTGCTTTCCACTTTCCAGTGACGAATTTTAAGGTGGTCTCATGACTCTCATGTCAACTTTCCTGTCAAATCTGTCAATTGGGTTTTTTTTGTTCGGGCAATGAAGAACTCTTCGGAGATGATAGGAGTTGGATGCTCGGGTTAAGTTCAGAACTGTTCCTGTTCGATTCAAGAACTTTCGTTAAGCAAATGTTTGATTTAAAAACTTGGCCTATTACAAACTACTACAGGACTGCTCTTCAGCCTCGATTTTTGCAATAAAGTTCATAAGGTGTTTCACCGTTTCTGAGGTCATCAATAATAGAGAGTTCTCGTGTCGTCCAAATTTCAAATACCGTAACGCTATTTGACAAGTATGACAGTTCTTACGGTATTAGCGTTAGCGGAGCCCGCTATCTAACGGAACTTACCGGATGCCTTACCGTAACGCTATGCCATGTCAAAACTATTCCACGCTCCATTTAGGTCTGCAAAAACAGCAACTTCTAATAATTACTCCATAAAAACACCAAGGGAAAATTATTCAAGCTCAGAAATCTTAAGAATAAACATAAGTTAGTAAACAAGCAAAAAAAGTGAGGTTAGATTACTCAACTCAGCTGTCAAAATGTGAACAAAATAAGGGATTAGAGGACTTTATTACCATTTAAAATACCGAATTGTTAACGGTACCGTATTAGCGTAGCGTCTGACGCACGAGAACTTTCTAATGTCGTTAGCGGTTGGCAACTGCGGTCGTAGTTAAGAATATACATTTACGATAAAAATATTTATTTAATTTTGATTAACATAATAGGAAAGAGGAAGATGCAAACGGAGATCTAAGCAAGGGTTGTTTTAGAATATTTAGGGTAAATATTATGAAACTATTTTGACACAATAACTTAAAGTTAACTTCCGGAATGACGTTACTCTATATTCCAGAAGTTGACAGAACCACAGACAACAGTCAAAACAGTTTTAAAATACCCATTCTAAATAATGTACTAAAACAAATGACATTTCACTCAAACTAGTAGGCAATTTTTCGCGAGGATAATCAAGCATAATCTGATTGCTGGGCAAGAATCGTAAACTCTACAGGATTGCTCAATCGGCTAAATTTGTTCACAATTGCTGTGACGTCACGCGCATGCCGGATTTTCAAGATGGCCGCTGATACGAATGATGTTTAGTTTGTGCTGACAACTATTTTATCGTAAATTCGGATTTATCTAGAGTTATAAGTGTAAATTTAAAGTTTCATTTAATGTGTGTAAGCATAAAAGACTCGTGGCCGAAAATACTCGCGAAAACCCCAAGCATTTTCTGGTTTTATAATACTGGATTTGTTGTATCAGGACATCGCTCTTTTATTTGTGTGTATTGCTAGTTAGTATTTCCTAGTCAAGCATTTGTTTTGCTTTTTTTTTATAAATCAAATATCTACTTAGTTGTAAGTTTCCTTTGCATGTAATTACAAATAAAAATTAGGGTTTGTGAAGAGTGAATAAATTAATACCTATGTAAATAAATTCCTTTACTGGCGCGTTTACTATGAAAACGCATGGAAAATATGGGAAACTTGCAATGTTTTTCTGGAATATGATTATGAGAATCTAAATTAGGTATCACTATTTGGCTTTGTGAAATAAGCTCACTTTGAATGTCTATATTAAATCGTTCTAGTACCTATTAAATTAATGAATAATAATTGAGAAGTACCTAGGTAGGGTCAGTAAAAAATAAAGCACACTATTGCAACCCCGTTTCGCTTATATTTTGATATTGAAATGCAAAAATTAAACCGGCTCCGCACTCCACATTTGGTTTTCTACTGTTTCTCAACTGTAGTCAATTGTGCCCGTTTTGTGCTCAATTGTGCCAGTATTTATGCGAATTGTGCTCATTTTCATACACAAAGAAAACATTGAAACGAATCCGGGGGGCCAGCTTGACTCCAGCCCTTCGTTTTTTTGACTTTTTGGCAATATGTTTGGCTAATTGATAAACAAAAGCAAACAAACTCGTCTTTCTAATTAGCAATTAGCCAACCACTCAAGCCTCAAGGACAAAAGCTTTTGAAGTCTGCTAATTTTAAAATCAATAAATTAATTACAAAATACAGTTTTCAAAGGAAATAACCTCAAAATAACAATTTTTCACGTTTGAAAATGCAAGGATAGTGCACTGTCATAAAAAACACAAACCGATCAAGGACTGCGTGACGTCATTCGCATACCGCCATCTTCGATGTTTTTATGAACGTTTGTCTTATGGGATTGAGCAATACTGTAGAGTTTACGATTTTTGATTGCTGGGTTATATGTGATGTGTCAATTGTGTCATACATATGCGAATGGCATCACTATCAGCAGCTTATAGTGATGACGTCACCCGCAGACCTCGATGGAATGCTTGCGATTCAGGCTGTACTAGTGAGTTAATTTTTTCGTTGATTTTAAATGTAAAAACGGTAATTTTTGGTCTGATCTCACAGAAGTGGGACAGTTAGGGAAGTATGACAAATGACAGATCACATATTAGCCGATTTCCAGCTGACGCTTTTGAGCACGCAATCGAGCTTTTGCGCGCGCAAATGCTTCAAGCGTGTGTTCGTGTTCCAGCCGTACTGCGCTTCGAGAGCTGCTAACTTTTGCGTTTCAAACACAGAACACTGTGCTGCACCGTGCTTGAAGCACACAGCTGGAAAGCGGCTAATCGAGCATAAGATTGTGCTTGCTTATCGTCGTGAAAAATTGCCTAGAGTGAAATGTAATGTAATGTCATTGACTAAAACCAAATACTCACCACTTACCGGAACCTTGCCTCTTACCCAAGTTGTTCTTCTTACCTATGCATGCATAAAACAAAAAATAGCGCGATCATAACCAGTGCTGCTTTCGGGTGCCGCCCTTTTAGGAACTTCGCACTTTACACCCGAAAGCGGTTCTGTGGTGCAAGCACCTACGTCAAGTCGAAAAACGACACGCTATCTACGTCATCACTGGTACTTTGGCGAGGTAGGGGGATTTCAATTAATTAAAGGATCAAATAAACACAAACATGATCAAATAATATTAATTATTCTTTGGAACATTAGGTTTGTTTGTTTGTGTCGCACTTACTTGAACTGAGCCGTAATATTTCAGACACCATAATAACGTTCGTGAGTTCATTACCATAACACAAACGAACGTCCAAAGCAGAAAGTTCTGCTCCGAGCAACACAAACAAACAAACCTATTACATTAAAGTTGTTGCGGATACGCAGAGAAATCTTATAAAAAAGACAGATGAACAATGCATTTAACCAAGGTTGTAATTTGCCGACCTCAATTATTTAACTTCATAGCGATTGGTTGACAAATAACGTTTGCTTCATTGGTTATCTGTCAACTAAGATCGACCGGTTAATCGCCTTATCGATGATTTTCTGTTAGATATTTGTGAAAAACCATACCGGTATGAATTGTTGAAACCGAAATGATTGGTCCGAACCGAAATGAAATATTTGTCTTAGCACCGGAACCGTAATGGAACCGATATTCGTTATGACAATAGTTTTGGTTCGAAATTTGGAACGGTTCTGGAACTGCTTGCGCCCAAAAAATAAGGGAAGACTGTTTTAGGGCGGGTATTATAAAACTACTTTGAGAGTTAACTTAAAGTTAACTTCTGAAATTACATGTAATTCAAAAAGTTAACTCCAAGTTAACTGTCAAAGCAGTTTTCTAATACCCGCCCTTAATACTAGTTCTGAACCGATTCGGAACCAAAAAAAACAAAACGCGCCGTATATCACAAAATTCTTCAGAGCAAGAACTCAGAGAACCGTTCTAGACCATCCCAGAATTGTTCTTAAATAATGAAACCAAAACAAAGCTGTGAACCGGAACGGAACCGATATTTCATTTCGGTCCGGGTCTCTGGTCGAGAGTATACGAGTTTGGGAGGATCTAGTCGATCGTCTTGGTTTGGAATCATTTCGTTCACAAAATAAGAATTCGATGCTCGAGTTGAGTTCGGAACTGGACTTAGGGCGGGTATTATAAAACTGCGTTGACAGTTAACTTGAAGTTAACTTTTTGAATTACATGTAATTCCAGAAGTTTACTTTAAGTTAACTCTCAAAGTAGTTTTATAATACCCGCCCTTAGACGATTCAAAAACTATCGTAATAGTCTCTAGAAGACCGTAGATTTTGAATTTTATACACTTTCCAAAACTGATTAAGTTTTTTTTTTAATTTATTTTCTCATATTCTGTCGACTATTGGCAAAAATAGGTAATGAAATTAGAATAAAGAAGTTTTTTAAAAAGTTAAAAAACTGCTCCAAACCCAAGTTCCAACCGAGTAGTTCCGCTAGGCTAACTTTGCACTCCACCCATGGAGCGGAACATGAGCATGGATATCGTGACGTCATACGCAGATGGCGCCCTGAACAAGGTCATAAAAGCCGAACGCAGATGGAAAAATATCCTGAAACGCTACCGCTAAGGTCGTCACTGATCTCAAAAAAAATATATTGTTTTGTCTTGATTTTAATTTGGTTTTACTTGTAAACCAGTAGATAAATTTCTAGTAATGGACATAAAATAAAAGTAAGGGAGAAAAACCGGAAACGCAAACCGAAATAGTTTTTCTTGACAATAGGTCTGTTTCTGCAGAAATCACAAACCAGTCAGAGTGAATTTCATTGGTTGAAACTAGTTTTCTGACTGTAAACCAATGAAATTCGCTCTGACAAAGAGAGCGAGCTCAGGGTACGTGCTCGATGGTAACCCGAACGCAAAGGAGCACACTCTGAGTGCTAAAACGAACCGGATCTTATCGTTTCGAGCGCGTTCAGAATTTACAAGTGTAAAGCCGAACATCTTTGGCCGAACTCAGCCTTTGTTTATGGATGATTGATCCAGTGCAGATAAAGGGACAAAAAAGTCACAGAAATTTCCTAAAGTACGTTTTTTTTTTAAAGATAATTCCCCAAGTCAAAAATTTTGTAACTTTGTTGGCAACACAAGCCTTGTCTGCACAAAAAATTTGGAAGCATTGACAATTTTACATTGTATTGCCAACATAATGTCATTTTGACTTTTATCTTTAAAAAAAAAAACAGATTTTAGATTCCATGGCTTTGAACACCGTTTGCGAAAAAAATCGTATGTTTTATCAGGAGAAAAGCACTTTTTGTGGCTCGTCTAAAATTGTCGGCCTCACTACGTTCGGCCATCAAACATTTAGTCTCGCCACAAAAAGTATCACTTTTACTCCTAATTAAACAATATACTATTTTGGGTTCGGGCAGTTACTGTTCCATTGGAGCCGTTCCTGCAGAAAATAGAAGTTCAATGCTCGGGTTGAGTTCAGAACTGTTCTAGACGAATTGACGATTCAAGAACTATATCGTAGTATTCTCGTTTCGAGTGGGAACTATTTTCTACCTATTATTGTCGCATACGCGATCACGTGTTTTGTGGTTTTTGTACGTTTAGATTCGTAGTCGAAAATGTTTGTCTCTTTATTTTCTCATCAACTGTCGCCTACTGGGAAACATAGCTAAATGAAATTAGAATATTGGCATTCATATGATAATCTTGAAGAGTTCCAAATCAACCAAATCCAACTTCAACCGTTCAACCCGCAAGTAGTTCTGCTCAGATTAGGGATGGTTCAGGAACTACCTAGAACAGTTCTAAAATACGAACACAGTTTTGTTCCCAACTCAGTCCATAGAACGGCGTTTTACTTCTGAACCGAATTTTCGCGACGAACTACTTCCATGATTTCCTGAACACATACGCTTCCGCGAGAAACTCATGATGTTATATTGAATGTAGTTTGACGGAAGCTTGGACGCAGCTTCTAGCCAGCGTTCAAACTCATGACGTCACTGACGAACTATGGTTCGTCCTTGGATGAACTACATTCGTTGCGAAAATTCGGTTCTACTCTAATGTTTGAAACACAAGTTTAAATAAATATCTTGCAGCGGTTCGAACAACTCTACCCGCGACAATAGTTTCGTTCGGTGCAGGTCTAGAAGATACAAATGAAATTTTTAATTTTGACATTGACTTTGACATACAGGATTTTCTCCTTTCATTTTTCTTTTTCCTTAAAGTGAGGTTAAGAAGTGGTGTTTTAGGTAATTTGAAAATGTTAAAATAGATTTTTCTTTATTAAAAAATTAATAAATAATCAAAATACTAACTGAATTGGATTAACAAAATATTGAAAAACCTATTTCACAAAGAAGAAAGTTCAAAATATCTGCGATGGCTGAGATAAAATCAGAAAATAATCAGGTTGTAAATTTTTTTAGCAATGGCCGATACCACCAAAACAAAACCGGAAAAGAAGCCAGCCAAGGAGGCGGGCGAAAAGGCCGAGAAGACCGCAAAGCCAAAAAGATTCGAGAAGAGACACGGTAGATTGTACGCCAAAGCCATTTTCACTGGTTACAAAAGGGGACTCAGGAATCAACACGAAAACACTGCCCTATTGAAGGTGGAAGGCACCGCCAACAAAGGAGACAGTTGGTTCTATGTTGGCAAGAAATGCGTCTTTGTATTTAAGGCCAAGAACAAGACCTGCATCCCTGGCAAACCAAAATCTCACAAATCCAAAGTAAGAGCTATTTGGGGCAAAATTACAAGGCCACACGGTACAAGGGGGGCTGTCAGAGCTAAGTTTGCCAGAAATTTACCAGCTAAAGCTATGGGACATCGTATTCGCATTGTAAGTAGGAATTTTCTCTTTTTCAAATTATTATTATGAAGGTTTATCAACTAAATTATATACCTATTCACAATCCAAAATAGTCTCTTTAGTAGGTGAAGTCATTTTGAAGATTTTTCGAAATTAATTAATAAAAATAAATACCTATTTTATCAGAATAATTATTCTTGAATGAAAAATTCAAATAAATCCAATTCAGTTAAATTAGGGTGAACTTCATTCTTGAATCTTGAAACTCTGCTTTTGGTTTAATTTTATAATTTTCTTGTTTATTGGGCAGGTAAAGTTAAATATTAATATATTAAATATGAGTCTATTATCCAGAAAAAAAAGCATTAAGAGTGTTTTTAATTTTTTTTTATCTTAAATTGGTAAATTGTACAATAATACTATATTTTGCTTTTTGTTTGTTCCAGATGCTGTATCCTTCCAGGGTATAGGAACCTGACAACAACCTGTATGTTTTAAGTTAAAATAAAAATTTATAAAAAAAAAATAATTGTGGTTTGATTTTAGTGTGTATTAAACTATAAAATACCCTACAAAGAAATATGTTTCTTCAAAAATTTAAGTGTAGAACAGTTATAGTGGGTGCTGATAAATTGCAAACTTTAATGTGTGAGCTGATGTCACCGCAGAGGCTCGCTTTATTAAGACGAAATTTCCTTACAGGCATTCAAAAATCCCTCATTTATGTTTAGAATTGGCATGATAAATCTATAATTTAATAAACAAGAGTCTATCCTAAACTAAAAGAGCTCCTAAAATCCATTTGTGTCTAGGCTAGCCGAAAAAGTGTTCTGGTAAAGGTACGTCGGCTGAATGCCTGAACAATTAGAGCACGGTCAAGAAGAAAAAGTCATCATAACCCAACATTTTATAGTTTCAAAAATTCTTCTCCTCTTTCCTTCAACGTTGTGGCTTGTTGGGCCTCCCCAGTGTGTTCAGTTTTTCGTCATTTAATTGTTTGTTAGAATAATGAGTGCTCCTAAAGAATTGATCCGTTCAGTAGTGTTCAATTACCTATCGACTGAAGACAAAAATTTGGCCGAGGCTTATAAGAAAAAGTACAATGTGGTAAGTTGTGTTTTTTCTCTTTCGGAATTACCACGTGTTTTCAATGCCATGGGACTTTATGGACATAATTCGTCGATTTTATGTATTAAACTTCGAGATTGTGCTTTAATTATGTACTGAGGCGGTTGGCTTCAAGCACAAGCTTGTACTCGAACAATTTTTATTAACTTTTAAGTAATTATGGCGCTTTGGGAGGATTGAATTGTGGTCCCATAATCTGAAGTCCAGCAAGTGGCTCCAGAATGTCCAATGATCTACCAATAGTTCCTACTTATAATCGTTTTTGGCAACACTTATTCTTGGCACACCGCACTGATGAGAAATCAAGAATAAAAGTAGATACAGTCAAAGCTCTTTTGCAAGTAAAAGTAAACTTTGAAGCCTTGTATGAATATTTTTCGAACACTTTGCCTGAGATAATATTATATTAAAAAAGATTCATTCTTGTGAAAAATATGTAAGGATTGTAAAGTAGTCCTACTGATACCCGATAGAATATTATCTAATCCATCTGTAAGCTAATGCACGATCTACGTGAATCACCATGTAAATTATACCCTTTTTTCTTTTGAAATATATCTTTATTAAGTAGGTTGGTCGAGAGGTTGGTACACCCATGGGTACACCTAATATACATACACAAAAAAAGAAAAAATGCTTATCATACAAGCAAGTAACTATCTTCAAAATACAAGTGAAAACCTTAGAAACATAGCAGCACATTACTCTGGTTCACCCAATCACATATCAAGATAGTAATTATAGCAAATGCAATAGTAGATTAAGCTTTAGCCTGAATTTAATCCCTCAGCCCATCTTTGAAACGCTGAACTGAGGGAATGCCCTTGATATTATTTGGAACACTGGTAAATTCTTCAAAGCCCTTGAAAAACCGAGTGAAAAACAATGAGTTCATTGTACTCTTAAAATTCGTTCTTCGTTTCAGTTTTTATACACCACAGTGCCCAACTGGGGAATTATTTTGAATTTCCACCTAATTACCGCAATTGCTCACCAATGAATACCAATTCCCTAGCAATACCTAATAATTCCTGATAATGGGCTCCTTGCATCAAATTTTTTTATTGCTGATTTCGATAGGTAGTCCATGAAAAATAAGTCAACACGTGTTTTTTCTTTTGCTTAGTCAAAAATTGACGGAGATACAACATTATGAAATCTGCCTATGACGTCACTTATCTGATAAATAAGTGACGTTGCACATGTTCAGTATATCTATATATACAAAACTTAATATTTGAATAACTTCCGGAATAATCATATTTTGGCGAAATAAAAAAAAAGTAACGATTTTTTTTCGATTTCCTACAGTTTGCAATAAACAATAATCAATTTAATTTTCCATGCAAGTACCCTATCCTCAGAATCCCATTTCCAACAGTTCCTTAGTAATCCTTAATAATTCCCAGTGAAGAAAGTTGTCATAAAGAGGTATGAATTGGAAACATAGAGCTTAGCTAAACAATATTACATGTTAAAAAATTTGAATTTTAAATAGGCTAAAAACAAAAACACAAATAAAAATACAAATGTCAAGCAGAGAACTGCTATCCTGTTTTCTTATTAATCTAGTTCTCTGAAGAGAACTATAAGGATAGACTGAAAAAGCAAAAATACTTGGAGAGTTTTGGTTCTGTTATCCCAACTTTGTTTTATTCAGGAAAAGGAACTAACCTGAAAATTTAAAAACTAATTTTTCCTTTTTCCAACGTATTCTAGTTTTCTTATATGATTTTCAAGTGTGAAACTTGTGCTTTTTGAAGCTAAACATCAACTTCCCAATGAGCAACTTCAATTTAAACATATTTCGCAGACACCTAGGTAATGCCTTCTGAAAGTGAAGATCTAATAATTTTAGGGCCGGTATTTTTTTTTTCCTTTACTTCAATATGGTAGTTAAACAATAGATGTATGTACAGGGTGAGTCACTATATTTTGACACCGACCTGCAGCCGTAATTACAGGTGATAGGTGAAAGGTATAAATACAAAAGTTGTTGCATTTTATCTGAACCGCCAGAATTTCCAATAAGATTAAACAAATAAGCAACACAAAGTGAAAAAATATGATAATGTTCACTTTTTTCAAATGGAATGCACTTTATTTTCTTTCAAATTCTTAAAGTTCTCGTTTTTCTGATTCAGCTTGTATAATATGTTAATGTTTTTTTCAATAGTTTTGGAAATATCTGGAGTTTAGTTATTCAAAGACCTATTCACGTATCAGAATGTTTTGTGACAGGTGGCAGGTGAATCAAGGTAAAATATATTCAAAAAACTACTGTCTTTGAATAACTAAACTCCAGATATTTCCAAAGCTATTGAAAGAAACATTAACATATTGTATAATCTGAATCAAGAAAATGAGAACCTCAAGAATTTGAAAGAAAATAAATGGCATTCCATTTAAAAAAAGTGAACATCGATATATTTTTTTACTTTGCGTTGCTCATTTGATCAATCTAATTACAAATTCTGGCGGTTCAGATAAAATGCTACTACTTTTGTATTTACACCTTTGACCTATTACCTGTAATAACGGCTGCAGGTGGGTGTCAAAATATGGTAACTCACCCTGTACCTAAACTAGAGAACCTGAGCTGGAAAGCTATGCAGGTCATTCAGTTTCACATATAACATTATTACAATATACTGTATTATTATTCTTTATACAATATCACACAAGAGAAAATATTTAGTACAAGTAGGTAATGTATCACAAAGTTGTTGCATTTATGAATTGCAGATAAAGTCTTTCATTGTACAGTCCCAAAGTATCCATCGAAGATCAGCTGCTTCAGCTTACACTTGAAGGACCTTATGTTCAATCTTTTAACAGATTCTGGAATTCGATTGTAGTTCTATTATCGACTCTTGAGGCGTTGGATGTGTTTTCTAGAGTCAAGAGCCGGTTGTAGCTCAAAATTTAATAATTAGGTACTGACTCTTGATTTGGTTTAGATGAAGCTGAATTTGTGTTGTGTGGGGAAAATTATTAATTAAACTGCATCAATATGCGATAAGGGCTACATTAATGGATAAATGATTCTTTGAAAAAAACGCAAGCAAAAAGTTAAAATTAATAAACAATTTTAAAAAAGTAATATAAAACTTTTATAGTTAATAGAATTTTGAATTTCAAGATGTGTAAACTTTTCCCAAAGAAGAACAGAACATTTGTTAAGTTTTCAAACAGATGAGATAACTACAGAGGTATCAAAGAGCACTTGAGAACATTTGGAAGATTTCTGATAATTTCCAGAACATCGCTCCGCTTCAAATTCACTAATCGAAAACTTTGGAAATCATTTTGAAAAGCTTTAGAAGGCGCTAGCGCCATTTTAAGACGCTCAAGAACAATTTAGAACTTTGATAAACTTTAGAAGATTTTCAGGTCAATTTTCAATCCTCCTGCATTTGTTTGAGCCAAATTGGAGTTTTCAGCAACATTGTAAAACTCTACAGAACAATTTAGAACCAATTTGACATACATTCAAAAACAGACCAGAACACTTTTGAACTTTCGGCAACATTTTCGAAAGCTTTTGGAACACTCTAGAACACTACAAATTATATGGAACTTTTGGAAATAATCTAGAAATAGGAACTTTAAGAATATTTTAAAAATCGTCAGATGACACTTTTTAATTAAATTAAAACGTCCAGGAACATATTAGAACTTAAAACACTTATGAATTTAATTAAAATTTCAATAAGAACTACCAAAAAGCACTTAAGAATATTTGGGAGACTTCTGAAATCTTCTAGAACATTCTGGCGCCTCAAGAGCATTGAACAACCAATTGAAAACTTTAAAAAGCATTTTGAAAAAGTTTCAGAATGCGCTTGTGCCATTTTGGAACTTTTTTAAACATTTTGAGACACTCGTTAGCATGTTAGAATAAATTTAGAACTTTGATACTCTTTAGAAGATTTTCAATTCAATTTTCAATCTTCCTGAATTTGTTGGAGATAAATTGGAACTTATAAGAACATTGTAAAATGCTACAGAAACACTTTAGAATCAAATTAGAATTTCAGAAACATTCTAGAACGGACCAGAACACTTCCGAACTTTCAGGAACGTTTAAGAAAGGTTGAGATACTTTGAAGTTTAGGTTTAGATCCAAGTTGAAATTTCCAGGAGTATTTTGGAACGCTCTAGAACACTCTACAAATCATATGGAACTTTTGGAAACAATCTAAAACTGGAAACTTTCAGCATATCTTGAAAATCGTTACATGTCAGGGTCAGACGTTAGAATTTCAATTAGCAGTATCAAAGAGTGCTTAAGAATATTTTTTTAATTATTTTAAAATTTATCAAACAAAAATCAATTCCAAATTAAAAGTAGAGAAAATTGTTTGTCAACCCTGCTAGTATCTAAAGGTTTCAAAATCTAACAGAATGTGAAAATCCTAAGAAACTTTTCATTATGAGACTCTCTTTAGAGAAGGATCAGTAAATCTGCAAAGTGATTACATACTCAGAATTAATTCAGGATCAAAATTTTCTAAAATGTTTACATAAAACCACTAAAAATTCTTCACAGTTGGTAGAATTTAATATTTTAAGATTTGTAAACTTTTCTCAAAGAAGAAGAAAATATTTGCTCAGATCAATTTAGGATCAAAAATGCCTTTACCGCACTTAACGACTGCTGCTGCGTGCGGTAAAGTATCACTTCTGCATTTGTTAGGTGAATAACTATTATTTTTGTTATTTTATTTTACCTGCTAGGCTAATGGCGTTTCCGATTGGTAGATTCAGTGCGCACTGAGTGTATTTGCATCCTTTTATTCGACCTGTAGAAGAAAAAGACGGAAATAGAAAAAATTGCACTAGTTCCGCACTAGATCTACCAATCGGAAACGCCATAAGTGTGAAGCCAATAGGGGTCATCCAACATGTTCCGTTTGTTGAAATTTCTTCTGTTCTGGAATCTTTAATAATTTGTCAAAACTTTATAATCAATAATTGACTATCCTTATTTTAAAACCATTTGTGAGTTAATAGACGATAGACTGTAAGTAGTGGCGTTTTAAATTGAATTAACTATTATGAACTATGACCATAGTCATGACGCAAATGACCGTCACGATTTTAAATGACTGTCATTTTACATCACTGGTTATAATGACCCCTTGGGCCCCATGCACCCCAACCCCAATATTTTAAATGGCACCACACCCTTTTTGTGATACCTAAAATTTAATATTTTTTGAAAAAAATCTTGTGCAGGTGAATACTATACTCAAAAATATTTAATTTTTGTATCACAAAAGGGGTGGTGCCATTCAAAATTTTGAGGTTGGGGTGCATGGGGCCAAGTGGTCACTCACCCCACAACCAAAATATGGTGGTTCTAGTTCCCCCTACCTGTATAACATAGTACCAAATTACCTTATTTTAATTTTTTTACTTTCAGAGATATTCACATTAAAAATTTTCAAATTTATACCCTGTATGTATGTATGTATCTATTTTTTATAAAGGTTTTGTTGTTTATAATAATTTAAGTAGATGTTTAAAAAACTATTTGATAAAAAATCAGAATTGACACATGTTTACTACTTAATTTAATTTATGTCCGATTGACCAATAAAGTGCTATTCATAGAACAGTTTTGCGTCAATAAAGTAGCACTTTATTGTACTAGTAAAATAAACTGCTACTTTATTGCCTACCTGGACTACCTGACAAGGTGAAACAGGTCTTGACAACCTGCCAAGGTGAAACAGGTTCTGACAACCTGCCACGGTGAAACAGGTATACCTACGCGAATTTTACTTTTTTCACAAAAAAACAGATTTTATTTAAATTTTCATATTGTAACATATCGTTTGCCAAATAAACACATTTATTCTTATAAAGGAACTTTTATTCCCTTCAGCAAAAATTAGCAAATGGATCACCATCCCTCACAGACATAATAGCCACTTACCAAAAGAAAAATAAAAATCAACTTCAATTAGTTGCCAATGGTAAACCAGAAGATAGCAGCGATGATTCGTCATCGGAAGAAGAAATACCTAAACCTACCCCAGCAAAAACCGTAGTTGTTAAGAAAGAACCCGAAAGCAGTTCAGAAGATAGTAGTTCTGAAGAAGAAACTAAACCTACTCCAGCAGTAGTCAAAAAACCAGTTGTAGTTGTACCCAAAAGAAAAGCGGAAAGCTCCAGTGAAGATAGCTCAGAAGAAGAAAAACCCGCTGCCAAAAAAACTCCAGTTAGCAAACCTGTAGCTAACGGAATTGTTAAGAAAGCAACTAAACAAGAATCTAGCTCAGAGGTACATAAATCACTTATTTTTTAATCAAGAAAAGGAGTGAGTAATTTTTTAATTTTATTCGTAGGACTCGTCTGATGAAGAGGAAGCTCCCAAAAAGCCACCAACGCCCGCAATTAAAACTCCTGTTGTGACACCAGCCCAAAAGAGAAAACATGATAGTTCAGATGATTCATCAGATCAGGATGATCCTCCTGCTAAAAAACAGGTAATTATAATGAAATATTAGTAAATAGTTTCAAGTACATTATATTTATATAAAATTTAATTTTTTACTCATATTTTAGAATATTGCTAAACCAGTAGTCAAAAAAGCAGAGAGCAGTTCAGATGATAGTAGTAGTGACGAAGAAGAAGTGAAAAAACCAGTTGCCCCAGTAAAAAAACCTGCTACTCCACAAGCTCAAAAACCACCAGCTAAAAAAGAGAGCAGCTCAGATGATAGTAGTTCAGAAGAAGAGGCACCCAAAAAACCAGCAGTAGTTCACAAACCTGTTGCAAAACCCCCAGTTAAAAAAGAAAGCAGTTCAGATGACAGTAGTAGCGAGGAGGAACAAGTGAAAAAACCTGCAGTTCAAACTAAAAAACCTGTCCAACAAGCTAAAAAAGAGAGTAGCTCAGACGATAGTTCTGAAGACGAGGCACCACCTCCAAAAAAATCAGCGCCTGTTGCAGCAATCAAAGCCAAACCAGCCGCTGTTGCAGTATCAAAAGCCAAACCAGCAGAAAGCAGTTCAGACGACAGTAGTTCAGAAGAAGAAGCTGCTCCGGTCAAAAAAGCTGCACCTGTGACTACTCCAAAGCCTGCACCGAAAAAAGCTGCAAGTAGCTCAGACTCTGATAGTTCTGAAGAGGAGGAGGAAAAACCTAAACCTGTTGCAAAAGTAAGCCTATATACATGTTATATTTCTGTTTTATTGGGATATTGAAATTTGTTTCCAATAATTGTGCTTCCTTATTGATCAACCGATTTTGAAATATTTGAACCAAATATTCTTTTTTGTTCTCACTCTGTAAATATCGAAGTAAAACACGATTTGAAAGAATAATTCTTGAGAAGTTTAATGTAAATAGGTACATAGGTACTTACATCTGAGCAGAATGATAGAAGGCAATTATTTTTTTTTTTATTTAAAGGTTGCTGCACCTGCTAAAAAAGCTAAAGCAGAAAGCAGCTCAGAGGAAGACAGTTCGGACGAAGAAGAAACTCCTAAACCAAAAGCAACAGTTAAAGCAGTGAAAAAAGAAGAAAGTTCGTCGGAAGAGGACAGTGATGATGAGACTGAGAAGAAACCAATGGCAGTATCAACTCCTGCTAGTAAAAAGGTATTTTATCAGTACAGCAAAACTTAGCTTCAAATAACTATTTTCTTTTTTTTTTCAGAATAATGATTCAATGCAGAATGGCGATGAGGAAAACGAAGGTTTCAAAATAAAGAAACCAAACTACAGCAATTTTGTTAAATCAGGTCAATCAGATGGTCAAGATAGTGTAAGTTATTTTTTTTTTTAGTTATCTTGATAATTATTGGCTTCTTTAAATTGTAATTATATTCTAAGTAAAGATGAAACATTGTTTGTGCTGCTTATTCAACTCACTTTGAGTAGTTTCAGAGGAAAAATACTCCATTCCGACGAGTAAGAGACGAGGAAATAGAAGTCGATCCTCGAGTAAAAGATAACTCATTTGAAGCCAAGGTAACGTGCAACCTCCCAATTTTCTTTTTTAAGCGGTGTGTGAAGTATAATGGGTAGGCTCACATTTACATCCGAGAAATATTCAGTAAAGCAATAAATAATTGCGAGTTTGCACGTTGCCATATTAATTTAAACTATACTGTAACTGTTAGCTTACCTATTATACTAATTTTTGCGTTTCTTTTTCTTTCATATGAATTTCCATTAACTGTCTCTCTCAGGATGGTAATAATTCGTTTGGTAGGGGTGGCAGAGGGGGTCGCGGAGGGCGAGGCGATTTCCGTGGAGGTCGTGGTGATTTCCGCGGAGGTCGCGGAGGCCGCGGGGGTGGCGATTTCCGGGGAGGTCGTGGAGGTGGCGATTTCCGCGGAGGTCGCGGGGGTAGAGGCGGTTTCGGAAACAGAAATTCGTTTGGCGACGATCGTGGGGGTCGCGGAGGTCGTGGAGGTTTCAGGGGCGGTTTTAGAGGGGGCAGAAATGACGAGGGCGGCGAAAGGAGGTCGTTCGGTGATAACAGGGGCGGACGAGGGGGTTTTAACAGGGGCAGAGGGAGTTTCAGTCAGAGAGACAGTTTTGGAGCGCAGCCGGAAAATAAGAAGATAACCTTTGACTAGATTTATAATGATTACCCGTGCCTGGTAAGTGAATTTTTAAAAATTATCTATGGTAAAATTTTTATTGAGAAGAACTCAAGACTCAAAAAATTAAAAACAGAATTAGGGAGAATTTCCGGGTTATTTAAATTGTAATGCAAACTGACAGATAAAAACGAAATCTATAATCCTATTGGCCAGTTATTTGTCGAAACAGGATTATAGATTGTTAAATTTATCTCATAGATACATAGTTACCAGTAAGTTTATCTGAAGATGAATAAACCAGGCCTTGAATACACTAAAATTTTATCAAAGATTTTTTTTAACTAGTAATAATAATTGGCCGAACTTTGTTTGTAAAATCATTAAAACATTACGATTTCCCTTTCAGTTTAATTCCCGAGGTTCGTGGGGTGAACGAGCCAACTTAGACCTAAAACACACCCGTGGAAAATCCTTCAGGCATGAAAAAACTAAGAAAAAACGTGGATCCTATAGGGGCGGTACCATAGATTTTTCAGTAAATTCTATAAAGTTTGAGTAAAAATTATAATATGACGCAAAATGTCTTAGAGCTCTAGGTTCTGCATATAAATTGAAACTTTGGTTAGCTAGCCAATGAAGGTTGATTTGGCAACTTTATTTATTTGACTCCTGAAATAATTGACTTTTTAATCAAAACTGAATCTTAACCAACGGCTAGCTAATTTATAGTTCTAATTTGTTTATAGAACAGGGTATAGTTTAAGTGTTTATTTTTACTTACATAAGTTTAATATTTTTTCTATTTGATATGTAAATTCGTACATATTGGAATATTGATTTATCATAAGTATGTATAGCTATTAAATATTGTCTCCAAATTATAAAAAAAAATTCTACAAATTGGGTTTTATTTAGTCCTTTGTCAAAATGAGGTGTCAGGTCAGGTTCATCTATTATTGAAGAATTATCCATTTTCAACCAAAATAAATAATAAGCTGTGACTAGAGTCCCAACTCGGGATCTATATCCAGTCCCAAATAACGTCATCAGTCTAAGTGACAACCACAACCTTCGAGAACACTCCAAGAGATTAGAAAAAGAGAGATGTTCTAAAGTCCTCAGAAGAAATTTCTTGTTCAACGGAATCGTTTATACGAGGAATTCGTTGAGCGAAGAAACAGTCTCAGCACCCAATACAAACATATTCAAGAATAGACTGGATAGCGACCTCGGATTATTATACAACACACTGGTTCATCATCCTGTATAATCCATTGAACAGTACACTATTTCCGAATCGACAGTTTACATAGCAGCTCCATCGGTTTTACCGCTTGCTGTTGTTTAAATAGTAATAATAATAATTATTAATTTGTCAAGGAGGATAAACGTTCAACTTATTGAAAAATAGGTGGGCAACCAGAAATTACTGGTTCTAGAACGGTTATCATGTCCGTTGGAACAGAGCTAATATTTCTCTTTATTTGAATTGAATAATAATATATGGGTTTACCGTTTACCTAATGAAGGAAATATTGCGTTTCTTTTCATAATTTCGGGACCATATGCGAGTCCCGGTTTGTGCCCTATATCCATCAGTCCGGATAAAACGCATGATGATGACGTCATTTAATAACGTTATTCGGGACTTGACGTGGACTCTAGTCACAGCCCAGATAATAAAACCTTGAATAAAACTAATTTATACAAAATAAATTATTATTAATACATTAACACAAAAAAAAACAGTCGCACAGAAAAATAAACTTACAATAAATAATTAAAATTAAATTAAATTTATTTACAATTTTGGAATGGACGATATGGGAATTTGATTGTTATTATTATTATTCATTAGTAAATTTGAGCTCGATTTTGGGCGGCAAACGCAACCACTTTCAACTAAGACATAATCTTGTCCTGTTAGAGTTACCGGACCAAGAGGGATTACCAGAAACAAATAAGGTACATAGGTTTGGGTGCATTCTCCTCTTACCAAGTCGCATTCTGAACTTTCACAAACCTAGAAAAATATAATATAAAATCTAATATTTTACTACAAATTAAATCATATAAATAAATACCTCAAATACAACTTGTTGCAAAAGATCTGGAAATTTCTGTACAATAGTGACTGGTTGTCCAGATGTTAACGAGACTCCGTACATGGGGGCTGTAGTGTTGTATCTGGTCTTACATAATCTGCCTGGAGTGCCACTGCAAGTTGATGTTGATAAATTTGGAGATCGAGCTAAAAAAAAAAAAACAAGAAAATTATTAAAAGTATCTGATAATCTTGAAGTATCTTACCTTGCCTTGAAGATGTACTCAACAAACTATCACCATCATTTCGGTTTTGTTCATAAGCAGCCAATAAAGCTGATCTTGTCCGGTAAGGATCTATCGTCCTTTGTGATCTGCCTGTTCTAAAACTGCCTTGCCAAGGATTGTTGCTTTTGAAGGATTTTGCTATGGCTTCACTAAACAAGAAACTTATAAAACACATCAAAAATTGAAAAATCAGTTTACCTACGTTGGATATGGATGATTTGTGGGTCCGACGCAACTGGGATCGTCTGAAAGGGCGTCACCCCATAAATATTTTAGTTCCGAGCCTCCTTTACAACTGTTTGTTAGTTTCGAGATTGCTTCGTTTATCAATGTACAAAGGACGAGAGATTTCTGAGGAAAAAAAATTATGGCCAATGATATACAATGTGATATTTGCTTATTCTTGAATTTACTCTATGAGATTTTTGCATAACAAGTTCAAGCTCTAAAAACATTCAACAGCAACTGATGCATGCCCTTCTTCTAGGCTTGATTATGACAATGTGGGTCATGTTGGCCTACTTGGGAGACTCTTACTCTTGTCATTTGATTTATGATGAATGATGAATCATAGTAATTTTGCAAATTTAGCTGGAATCATCTAAACTAATAATCTCACTGATACTATGTAAGGACTAGAACAAAAGTATAGTGAAGTCTTAATTATTGCAATTTATGTTATAGCGCTAAAATTCAGACCATTTTGGTTGGCAGACTTTGGATTTATTTTAGGATTCATGCAAAAAGCAGTTTGATTTGAATTTGCTATTATTGATAAACCTAGTTTCACTGATCAAGAATTAGGTCATACATTCGTTAACAGTTACAGCTAAAGGAAACAAAGAATTTTAAATAAGTTGGTTGATTAATTTATATGTAGTTAATTTGATCACGTATTATTATTTACAGGTAAGGTATGCCTTATTGGAACTTTTGCTTCAAAAAATGGGGACATAATATCTTACTTATAAACCTTTTAATGCATTTATGTCCTAATTCCAAAGCTTATAGTAATATCGGCACAAAGACCACTCATCGTCATAAATACCTGATCATTGACCTTTCCCATAACTGTACTTTTTCGCGCCTGATACATGGGAAATTCAAAGATTTTTGCAAAATAAGTTATTCTAAACTATTCAGATACAGATTAGGATATTCAAACAATAAATTCAAATTTTCGAGAAAATATATTTTTATAATCCTAATTATGGTACTTACCCACAAGAATAACACCAAATTCATTTTCAACAACCCAATGATCTTATCAAAAAAAAAGCACACACACGCACACTTAAGTGCAACTTAATTCATTTGTTCCAATCTCTATACTAAAACTGTGCCACAAAATGAACTGTTATAAGATAAGCCTTATAAGCCCAAACAGGTCGTACCTGTGAGCCGAAGAATTTCTTGTGACTTGGTCATGAACTTCGGAAGAACGGCTAACAAATGTTTTGTTTTTGCTTCGTAGAAGGGGAAACAGGACCGATCTTGAGTTGTTTTAACTGTTTTTTTCCTGTATAGTCATTTTTGGTTTCAGATGATTGGACTAAATTCAAACCATCAAACTCGTTAATTTTCAATTTACTGTAAAAAATTTGTGGTTTTCGAGTTTTGTGGTTTTGCCCACGCGGGACAAGAATTTTTTTAGTTTAATTGGATTTAAAGATTTCGGATCTTATAAGAACTTTATGGGCATCACACTTAATCTTTGATTATGTAAGCCTTTTTTTGTTGGAAAAAATCGAATGTGGAAAGAAGAAGACATCTATTTACATTTCCAGTCACTCCAAAGTTGCAATGACCATGTGAACGAGGAGAATCTTGTGGTGATATGATAATAAATACATGTAAACGAACTTATATACAGAGGATATCAAAAGTACTAAATTCTCCCCAGGTTCACTTTTCCACATAATCGTCAAGATAATTGGGAGACATTTTAGTTTTAGATCCACGACGCATCTGGTTTTCTAGTTGTGGCTAACAGTGAATAGATTGGGGCTAGTTGATTATCTCACTATCATTTTCTTGTTCAATGTCTCGCATTTGTTCAGTTGAAATAGGTCCCTGTGAAAGATCTTTAGGTACTTTCTTCTGACTGAGTATATAGAGGCGAATTTATTACATGGGTATCAGCATTATTTCCGATCCCAGTAGATTGTCATCACCACATGGAGCTGAATGTTTTAGTGAAACCGTTGTTTTTCGTCCATCTGAAAGTCCAACTAGTGCATATTGAGGGTTAACTTCAATGAAATCACTTTTTTGTATAAATTTTTCCAGAAGTTAACCATCAAGGTATTGCTGTATTATTACGTCATTGGCATTATTTATTGATTTTCTTGAATGACGGAACATTCTTTTATGTAGAGTAGAATTGGTAGCTGTGCATAAAAGAGTCCTAATCGAATGCAATAAATTTTCTAGAAAAGAATAACAGAATATATTAAAGTGAATTTTCCAACTTTTCCTGGTATTAAGTTGGAAAAACCCTCATGATTTTATTTCTGAGCTTGAAATTCACTTCAAATTTGCTTTATTTGATGAAAACATCCTGGTTAATAAATCCTGAAAGTTTGAAATCGATCTGATACTCCGAAAGTATTTTTCAGGATTTTTCAAAGGTCATTTACCGTGAACTTCCCAACTTTTTCTGGTATTAAGTCGGAAAAAACCTCATGATTTTATTTCTGAGCTTCAAATTGACTTCAAATTTGTCTTACTTGATGAAAACATCCTGGTTAATAAATCCTGAAAGTTTGAAATCGATCTGATACTCCGAAGTATTTTTCAGGATTTTTCAAACGTCATTTACCGTGAATTTCCCAACTTTTTCTGTTATTAAGTTGGAAAAAACCTCATGATTTTATTTCTGAGCTTCAAATTGACTTCAAATTTGCCTTGTTTGATGAAAACATCCTGATTAATAAATCCTGAAAGTTTGAAATTGATCTGATACTCTGAAGTATTTTTCAGGATTTTTCAAAGGTTATTTACCGTGAATTTCCCAACTTTTTCTGGTATTAAGTTGGAAAAAACCTCATGATTTTATTTCTGAGCTTCAAATTGATTTCAACTTTGTTTTGTTTGATGAAAACATCCTGGTTTATAAATCCTGAAAGTTTGAAATCGATCTGATACCCCGAAGTATTTTTCAGGATTTTTCAAAGGTGATTTAACATGAATTTTCCAGCTTTTTTTGGTATTAATTTGGAAAAAACTTCATAATTTAATTTCTGGAGCTTATAATTCACTTCAAATTTACTTTGTTTTATGAAAACATCCTGGTTAATAAATCCTGAAAGCTTGAAATTGATCTGATATTCCGAAGTATTTTTGAAAGGTGATTTAATGTTTCTGCTACTATAGCATTTATTGCAGACAGATGGATGTTGACTGCCGCAAGGAGATCTGAGTGATGTTGTTGACAATTTTATAAAGTTGAAACGTCAAAGTATCTCCTTAGTGTAGTAAGATTAAGGGTGGATTTTCATGCATCCGTTTGTCCGACGAAAGATATCCGAAAAACATTCTATTCTGACATAATCGTATAAAAATATGTCAAAATAGTCAAAAAAATCAGACATATTTCGTCGGACAAACGGATGCATGAAAATCCACCCTAAGTAGCTGCATGATTTCGTCACAATTAATTTCATCATGAAGAATGTTGAGCGTAAATGAAATTCTTCTGATAAAACGACGCTGAACCATCTCTAATTTCTCTCTGTGCACAACATAACGAAGATTCCACACACATGTGGCATACTCTAAATCTAAAACTGATCACAATAAATTTCTCTAAATGTAAAGATATTTTCGAACCGCGATAGGACCCGAAGGATAAATCCCAGCAGACACATGGCCATATTGGTAATTTTGTCAATATGCTTTGTAAAATGTCAACTCAGAATCAATCCAAAAGAGATCTGCCTCTCGAGCTCCACACTCCATCGAGTTCATGGTATATTTAAAAAGAAAAGGTTCTTTCAGTCTACAAAAAGAAATTACTTGACAATTACTTGTACTCAAAGTTAAGTTGTTATATTTTTGCACCCAGACAGTAAACCTATTAAGATCTTCCTGCTGCAACCCACAATGATTTTCAGATCTTATGACCAAGAAAGTTGCTTTAGGTCATCAGCTTAGTATGCCATGATCAACCCTGTCAAATGCCTTCGAGAAGTCAGTATATATAGAGTCAATCTGACCCCCATTCTCGAAAACTTCCAACATTGCACAACAGATTGGATATGCCGTGGATCGTCCCTTCATGAAACAATGTTGCTCGTCTATTATCAAGTTTTTAAAAAGTGGAGTTATCTTGTCTGCAACAATGGCTTCAAAGATTTTAGAAATTAATGACTTTTTGGATACGGGTCGGTAGTGCTTTATGTTTGACCTATCTCCCGCTTTAAAAACTCGTGTAACTTAAGAAAGTTTCAAATATGAAGGAAACTTTCCACTACTTAACGACAAATTGAAAATTCTGCAGAAGACCTCTGCAAAGACAAACCTACAACTCTTCAACAAGACAACAGGTACACCATCTGGCTTAGGGCCTAAAACATCTAAAACAGATAATTGTATATAACCAACTGAGACAGATTTATCACAAACAAAAGTCCTTTCTCAAACTTAGTATTCTGACTACACCAATAAAAAATGGCTATTACACATAAGTGCAGTTTCCTGAGGCTCCCTACTTTCATTGTTGTTCAAATTCATAGACTGTAGGTACCTACCTACTCTGAATTCCCCTCTCTTGAATTTACAAATCGCCAAAATGATTTCACTTTCCGGGTATTTTATAAAACTTATTGTGTGAAAATAAGACATCAGATATCGACAATGAGCTCTCAATTCAGAGAATGCAGTGTAGTCATCAATTGATTTTGAATTTTTAAATTTATTATCAGCCTTATTATTCTCAATTATCATATTTTTTTGAATCATTGTTAATCCATTTAGGAAATTTTGGCGTTTTATATCGTGAGGTAAAAGGTGTAAAGATCTCAATAACAAAATAAAGAGCATCATATAAGTAACGAATAACAACGAATAAGATTTTTATAATGGTCTGCTTGATTTCTACCGCATATGGTGATATCAATCTAAATATGCATAGACACCTTCAAGATTCTCTGATTTTATTATACAGTCTATCACCCGCTGAAAACACGCAATTCCGTTTGTCACGCCAAAAGGAATTCTTCGAAACTAGTATAATTTACCATCTGTCTCAAAAGTACTGGTTTTCGTCATCACGTGGTAATACGCACTTTGTAAATCTATAGTAGGTACTCAAGTTTTGCCACAGCACGACCAATATCTTCGAGGATAAGCATCATCTAAATATGTCTCTAATTCTAAACGCAATGCGCCTGAGATACATATCCACTCACTCTTGATAATAAAAGTGCTTTCATGGGTCCTGATGCTGCCAACCTATTTGCAGATTATTTTTCCTCGGTCTACTTTGCCTGTAACCCACAATGCAAATCATATTGAAGGGGGTGTGACCCAAAAATGAAAGTTTTAGTGCAAAAACATCTAAGAATAAATATTCAAACCGCATCTTGCTACGATGGTCCGTTTTCGAGTTAGGGCGGTTTGAAGTTACAACTAGGCGTTTGTGACGTCACACTGGATTCTCAGGGACAGTATTAAGACGTGTGAAAATTCTCCAAAACAAAAGATAATTATCTCCTAGAGCGAATTGCAACTACTCAAAGTATAGGGTACGGTTCACCGACGACTGAACGACCAGAAGACTGCGATTTCGGCGGTTGTGACATCACAAGTTCCTGCATAATTTTTCTTCACAAGAAATTTTCTCGGAGACTGTTTTGAATACAGGACTGCGGTTTTCACGAGAGATCTTAGAATTTTTTTCTTGATTTAAGTAGCTTAAGTCGTTTTTAGGCTCACACCCCCTTTAATGGTCACAATTACTCCATTTCCATATGTGACATATACACTGAGCTTATTAGCTTGAATCCTCACAAAGGTCCAGGTCCTGATAATATTCATCTTGTCTTTCTTAAAAACTGCCCCATTATTCTCGCTAGGTCCTTACACATTATATTTAATGAATCTTTGGAAAGTGGATCTTTTCCCAAAGTCTGGAAAACAAATTTTGTCGTCCCAATACATAAATCTGGAGACAAGTCCGACATAAAAAATTACTGGTTCATTTGCATCATCAATAGCATCCCAAAAGTTTTTGAAAACCTTGAAACTAAGTATCTAAGCTCACTATTGTCTCCTTAAATCATTAACCAGCAGTTTGGCTTCTGTGTGGGTAGAAATACTGAGCTTAATCTCCTTACCTATTCTCAGTTTGTATTGCAGGCCCTGGAGAGTGGAGCGGAGGTCCATTTCGCCTACACAGACTTCTCCAAGGTTTTTGATGAGGTTCCACATAATGTACTGATAGACAAACTGGAAACGATGTGTATAAATAAACCCTTACTCTGCTGGCTGAACAGCTACCTTTCCAATTGTGAAAATTAACAATTTATTGTCTAACGATATTCCTGTGCCGTCTGGGGTCCCACATCGGACCACTTCTTTTTAATATCTTCATCAATGATGTTGCACCCTGCTTTCAATATTCGGAGTTCCTTCTGTATGCAGACGATCTAAAAATGTACCTATAGAATAATATCCAATCTTATTATCGTCTGCATTGCTTTGCAGGAGGATATCCACAGATTTGTGGCTTGGTGTCGTGATAATGGTATGCATGTTAATGTCTCTAAGTGCAATCTCATGATATTTTCTCGTCGTATAGTTAAAATTAATTTTCATTATCTTATTAATGGTACAACATTACCATGATTTGTAAACATAAAGGATCTTGGAATTATTTTTGATGATAAGCTATCATTTTCCTCCCACATAACATCAGTCATTGGTAAATCACTGAGAATTAGACTTATTAAACGTGATACTTCTGACTTTGTTACTGTACGTTCCATAAAATTCTATATTGCAGTCTTGTTGGAAGTATCTTGGATTATGCCACCTGTGTGAAATTAAAACTGGAAAATCCACAGGTTGCTGATAGAATGGTAATCGCATAAAGATTTTAAATTGAAATTGAAAGATATCGAATCTGAGAAGGATATCTTTTCACCTTACCTGGCTTTACTTCTAAACTCCACTCAGTTGGCCAGCTCTTTCAGGAAGTTCAAGTTCAATGCGAAGGAGTGCAAACGAAACCGTCTTGATTTAACCGGTCGCGGCAAACGAAAAAACCGCAGGTCTATTTTCTCGAACCACACAAAACGGACGGAGTGTTTTTGGCGACTGACTTTACTCGTCGGCAGTGTAAGGACTTTGCAGATATCCTTTTTCAGTGCTTAACGCGCGCACTTTTAAAAGCCAAATTTAGCAAAGCCGTATCAATTTCAATTCCCAAATAGGATTTGACATCCTAAATACTTACCCAATTTAACCTACAACTATATACAGGGCGCGTAGACGAAACTGAACACCACCTCTGTATGGGACCCTCAGTATGATTTCCATATCCACAGAATTGAGCGAGTGCAGAAGAAATTTATGCATCATATTAATTTCAAATTCCATAGAGACAGTGAATATAACTACGAAGAAATGTGTCAAAGGCTAAATATGTCATCATTTCGAAAGAAGAAGTATTCATGACCTCTCCTTTCTTTTAAAATTCTCAACTCCCTTGTGGACTGTCCCTATCTCACTTCCAGCATCGGTTTATATGTACCTACCACCTTTTAATACGAGAAACCATATCACTATCAACCATATCTCCGCACCAACTACGGTCTTAGTCTCCAGATCCCTGTCTCTCGCAAACAAACGCATCCGCTCCCTGATTTTTCTGTCCACTTCAACCTTTCAGAGAGCACCTGTTACAGTTGAACCTTGCTAAAATGTACCTTATCTACTAACAGTATGTAGCCTAGCTTAATTCTTAGTTTTTGAAACTTTTTATAAGAATAGTTTACTTACATAGTCATGTACTTTGGAGTAGGTATTATTGTTCTTTCTTCTTATTTCTTGCATGCACATGTTAGATTAAGTTTGAATTATAATTTTATAATTGTTAAAAAATGGAACTGCCGTCAATAAATAAATAAATAAATGTAAACCTGTTAATGATTTCAGAGTAATCGACCACCATGCGTTTCATTTTTAGTTACCAACACCTGTGCCCGCCATGGAGAGTTGCTTTCTTCCATGATTCCATTCGAAAGAAGGTTCTTTTCTTTCAAATAAAATATCAGCTGGTGAGAAACGTCTAGACTTTGTTGCAATTGGCCTACAGTCTGCTGATAGATTTGAGAATAATGTAGGAGGATCAATTTCTAGGAATGCTAAACTATAAATCGATGAGGAGTTGTCAATACACAAAGAAGACTTAGAACCTCCAAAAGATACTTCAAGGGTTGAATGCTGTTCAAGTACCTATATCATGACCTATAAATGGCATCAGCATCTAAATCAGAAAAAAACTGATTAACCTTGGAGAAATATCCACGTTTACCGCATTCAGTACACGTTGAATCTTTAGCAGGATATAATGTGCGAAAATGTCTTTTGGTATTTCCAAAAAAATAACATATTTATACTTTCACAGCAGCGGAAATAGGATCTTCATGTGTTTCTCTACTTTCAGATTGAATTGCTGCTATGTGCTTCTGAATGTTTTTGTACCGATTCTAAAGATATCTAATAGAGCTTGATTCATGGCTTCATCAAGCTTCAGAGTGGTATTCTCCAACAACCATTGTCGAATTTGGGAAAAGTTTAAGCCACTAATGAAAGAATCTCTAATATAGTCGTTTTGACTTTCTTCAGCGCTGACAGCTTTGAAGTTTCAGTCCTTACCTAGATGTTTCAGTGCTTATAAGTACTGATCAACGGTCTCTCCAGATTGCTGCTTCCTGGAGGTAAACCAGTGGCTGCAAAATATTTCATTTTTAGGTTTAATGAAAATTGAATCCAAAATCTCAATAGCTTCTGAGTAAGCGGAACATCAGGATTGTTGTGACTTCATAGTTTAATTAAACTGATCAAATTATTGCCATTATTCATCAATGAAAAACACAGTTCAATTTATTGCTGCCTACTTGAAAGTTGAAAATTACTCTCATTCATTAAAAGCCTTTTACTTTACTTTTTCCATGTCCAGTAAATTTGTTAGGTACTTAATTGATTATGCTCGCGTGACTTCCGAATGACCCTATTATTTCCTTTAAAAATAATGCCCCGGATTTCATTTTGTTCGTACGAAGACATGTTTTGATGGTAAGCTGTTTTTTTCACCTATTATAATACTTAAGGCAATTCATATTTAAAAAAAAAAAACTTGTGCACTATAGAAATAACTTTATTAAAAAAAAACACTTTAATTATTATTCATTTTGGATTTTCGCTATTTCATCTAATAGTTCTTCGAAATTAAAATCAGCCAATGATTCTTGTTTTTTACGATTAAGTATAGCGTTTATAAGTTCACCAGCAATTGGACTGATCACATTACTAATCAGTGTTTCATTATCATTCAAAAATGAAACTAAATCGTCGTTTAATGATTCAGTTAATAATGTACTTAGTTTATCGTCATCTAATAGGCCAATCACTGAAAACTGAAAAATAACTTTAGGTAGGTACTTAAAATGACCAACTGGGGAAATAAGAAAAAGTCAAATTCAACTTACTTTTGTAGTATTTCCAAGAGTAAACGAAACAGTTACATTTGATAAACTCAGTCCGCTAGTAAATTTAGCTTTTCCACCGATGTTCAGTAACATCTTATCAATATTTGCACTAAAAAACATTCGAAAAAGCTTGAGTTAAACATACTCACCTCATAAAACTTACCTAATATTCCCATTACCAAACACAGGTATTTTTCCCAAAACGCTAACGTCGGCATCGTAGTTAGTAAAGAAACTGATTTTTGGCACTTCAAGTGTTGCTTGTAGAGCTAAAGTTAAAATATTGACCTTTATTTTGGTAGCTACCAACTCTTTAAGGCCGCTTAGGGTTAAGTTTGCTATATCTACACTTCCACTAAAGAAATTATTTAATTAATTATCATAAATTTAAAAAAAAATAAGCATGAACCTACGTTATTAGTTTAGTTTCATTTAAACTAATTGGTAAGTGGGGTACTTCGATTGTTTTTGGTAAGGAAGCAACTAAATTTATAATGATTTTTTTAACTATATCGTCAAAAATGCTACCTAGTTTTGGTTCTTCTACAACAAGACTACTGTCCAAGTCTAAAGAAAAGAAGTATTAAACTATAAGTGTGAGTATTTAGTAAATTGTAAGTTACCTGTAGCAGCCAAGCCTACAGAAAGGAAGACAAATATAATGCAAAATTGAGCTAAAAATTTCATTTTTCTAAAAAATATCAATAACTAAAGGTGTTTGCTTCAATAGCGACAATAATAATTAGAGTTTGATTAATACAATAATGCGAGTAGGTACTTTTGTCCCCAGCCCAGCTGCTGTTTTGATAAGATAATATGATTTTTATTGATATTGGCGAAACAAAGACTTATCTAATAAAATACTTAAAAGTAAGTGAGCACCTGCAAGACTTAAAAAAAAAAACATATTTCATTGATTCTAATGAGATAATGTATTACAATTTTAAACAGTATAATGCATATTAATTTCTTCTTCTAATAATTGATCCGCCAATTGAAGAAACTCTTCCGATTCGCTGGCACTATGTAGTAAAGCATTAATTATTTCACCAGCAATGGGACTTATAATACTGCTTATCCATTCTTGATAATCATCGACAAAACTGACTACAACGGTGTTCAAAATTTCGCTTAGAGTGTAACTTAATTCATCGTCGTAGAGCAGACCAGTGAACCTAAACTGAAAGTATCAACATTGGAAAAAGTGAGTAATAATTTTTGAATGAACGATTAGGAATAATACAACGTTTTTTATATTGATTTGTTTTTAAACAGGGACTATTGAACCATTCATATCTAGAGTTCTTGTAATTTTGTATGGATCAAATAAATAAATTTCAAAATGAGCAATTATAGAAAAATGCTGAGATTTATATGGATCAATAAATGGGTACAAATCCATTTCCACAATTCCGGAAACCAAGCTCAGACCTTTAAGAAAGTTATTCTTCCTATATTTTAGGTATACACTCCTTTGAAAACTCGACGGTGATATTTTGATAGACTTACCCAAGCACTTCCAATTGTAAACGATACAGTGGTATTAGATATGCTCAAACCACCTTTCATACTAACTTTTCCACCCACGCGAACGTCAATACCTCCAATTTTCATTCTACAAAATTTCAAAATAGTTTATTCAAATTAAAAATTCTCATACCTACTTACATTGCAACTCCACGTCCCCACATCAAAGGAAACCATTTTTGTAATTCAATGTCGGCATCATATTCGGTATTCAGATCAATATCCGGCACTGCGATTTCGGCGTTTAGGCTCAAGCCTAATAAACTGACGTCGATTTTTGTTGCCACCAATTTCTTGAGGCCTCCAAGGGAAAAGTTTGATATACTGGCAGTACCACTGAAAAAATGTTTTGCTTGAATAACGGTTTGAAGCTAGGACCTTATTTATATAATATATGGAAAAGGTGGAGGACTGGCGTTTTACTATAGGGATCATGTATAAAGGATGTGGGCGTAGGTGACGGTGGTAACGGGTTGGAGCAGTTATGGGTATGTGCGGGATTTGAGGGAAAGAAAGTCGCTCCTGGGCAGTTTATACCGTATGTTTAATTTCTTATTATTTAGTCATCATCTAAATCAAATCCAAGAGAATATTAAAAGCGAGGCCAAAGTAATTAAGTCGGTGATTTATGGCCGAGACGTCGACACGTGTGTAGGTTTTCTTTGAGGTATATGTCCAATTCTTACAACCAAATCTGTTGACCCCGATAAACCAGGAAATTACGACATAATTAATCTATTTTAAGTAAATAAAAGAGGAAGGTTATTGAATGATGGAAACTCGAATTTTTGGGGGAACGAAACATATAAATACAGCGGTTTTAGAAGTCTTGTGATCAGTTTAAGTTCAGTCCAGTTTTGAGTTTTAAATCTACAGTTACACTACCTAATGAGTCAGTGCGGATAAAATTCGCGAAGAGTTTATTTTATTTTGTTGCCTCGGGAAAACGGGTTTAATCGAATGTTTGAAAAAGTGACGGAAAATTTGTGAATGAAAGAACATTTAAATTCGTTCAACATTATGTGCGAGCTCTAGAGATTTTTAAAGTAAATTAATTAAGTAATTTTACGAGTAAAAAGTTAAATGTAAGTACTCTAGTGACTAGTAAAACTTTTTGACTTTATAAATGATTCGGAATGATAAGAAGTGAATTGACATTGAACTTCAATGCATTAAAACTTGAGTGATTTGACTTTGAAAACTTTATTGCATAACTTTAATTGCCTACGAATATAATGACATTTTAATTAATTTTGCAAAGAATTTAAAAGGGAAAATTATAATGCTCTTATCAATTTTCGATTTTGAGTAGGAATTATTAAAGAATGTTGAATTGGATTGTCCAATTGAAGTTTAAAGGCTATAGTAACGAACTAATAAGAATTTAAAGAATTGTATTTGTTGGCTAGGAATCCGAAAATAGTAATTGTTCTGTTCTAAATGATGCTTAGTGAAGGATGGGAACCACTAAATGTATTGGAAAGTTTTGATTGAAAATTGTTGTTCATGAAGTACCATTGATGACCTTAAGTGCTGAAATTTTGAATAAGGTTTTTTTTTTTATTTAGAAATTATTGTAAGGTTTTTATAAAAATATAGTTGGTAATACCTACTTAATCCAGTGAGTAGGATTATGACTTAAATAAATATTTTGCATAAGCTGTCAGTAAATGACTTAGGAGTTTTAAGAATTTATAGATATAGGTGAAAGGTAGTTTTAATAGGAATGTGAATCGGAAGTGTTGCTTAAAAGAGTAAATGTATAAACTTAGAAGTTATTAAGAATAGAAGAAGTAGGGCGTTTTTAGTATGGATAATTCCTGGTCCGTAGTAATGAAATTTGAACGGAAGTGAAATAAATTGATTTGGGAAAAATAGAAGTGGCTGTCAAACATAGAAAGATATTTGCTTTATTTTAATTTTGGTTTTAAGTATAAGGTACCTGACCCAAATAAGGCCATGTACCTAATAAGGCCAATACCCCTAATTACTTATTATTGAATCATATTTTCAAAAATTACAATATTATTAAAAAAGATATCTATAATGCAAATAAAAAATTATTGCGATGGTTCCTAGCAACTCGTTATATGTCGAAAAATGGCCAACCACATATTTCATATGTCACGTTATAACTTTGAGGCTGGAACTTAATTAGTTTAAACACATGTTTATAAAGTGAATGGAGCGAATATAATTTTTACACAGACATTTATGTATTTAGAAAGCTACATAGTAAGTACAGAATAATAATTTTGCTAGGTTTCTAGTTACAGACTTTTTTTTTATCAATGTAACATGTTCCTAATAAGGCCATATATGAAAAATTTTCAATTGGCCTCACATCATACTGTTTTTTTAAAAGAATGTGTCATATTACTACCCAAATGATGTGTTTTAGAACGCCTGTAATCTAACCAAGTAATAGAAGCTGCGGTTTATTTGTCCTAGCTGTAGGTAGACCTATTATTGTTTTTTTAGAATGCAGCAAGCATTTAAGTTCTATTTTGTGTACTATTTCTGAAAAAATTTTTTTTTTTAAATAATTGTATATATTTATTTTAAACATTTTTTAATGGTGGCCTTATTAAGAGCATAGTGATCCAAATAAGGCCAATCGTAATAAGCGTCTTTGTTTTATGCAAAAACCACCACTTTTTTTAAAAATTAAATAAACTGGTGTTAATATTCAAGTAATAGAAACGAAACACTTCACATGTAAGCTCGTGATTTTTGTTGGGCTTCGTGGATAACCTTAGGAAGAAATTAAGCTTCTTAACATGGCCTTATTTGGCACAGGTACCTTAATAAAATATAACTTAGTAAACCTCAATAGTTTGTTTTTCTCTTTTGCGTATAGACCCCCTCCACAATTTTATAGGTAGCCGCTCAAGGACATAAACACTATCAATATACCGCTCGCCATTTACCATCTAACTAATTTAAAAAAAGTACTTGGGCGCGTTTTGCTACAATATGTTAAACGTTGAAACTCCCGGTTATAGAAGTTTCAAGACTTTCAAGGGTTGTCTTCCAAAGTATGGTTTGCATCAGCTTATATCGGAACCCACCCGTGTCACAGTTCGTACTAATTGACGTTCTTGTCACTTCGAATTCTTCTGTCTGTAATGATCCTAATTTCCTGAAAATGAATGGCATATCTGATCACTGTTTGGTTTCTTGTAACTTGAAATTCAGAAAAGGGAAACAGCCTACCATATTTAAAACCTACAGAGACTTTTCAACTTTTGATCTGGAATTGTTTAATGCTTCCTTATGTAGTATTCATTGGGATTCTATTTATGCCCTGGAGGATGTAGATGAAGCGTTGAACTTTTTAAATAATAATATTGCTTGGTTTATCAATCTGCATAGTGCATGCTACTCTCATTGCTATAGTCAAGCATGCAGACTATAGCAAAGCATTTAATACCATAATTCATCCAATTCTTTACTTAAAACTAAAATATTTTGGATTTGATCGGAACAACATCAAAAGGTTAGGAAAACTAACACACCTAGGTAGGTACTTAGCAGACAAATTAATCAGGTCTGGCTCGTTCCATGAGTGCTCCACTCGTCATGGTAGCCTTTTGAGTGTACCTAAACATATTGCCGGTTTTCCACCAAAAAAACTGTTGAGTTTGTGTTTTGAAACATGTTTTAAAACAAAAACAGAACTGATCAGATTCGAGTCTGTGTTTTATGCCGGTTTTCCACCAAACCGACAAAACAAAAACAAAACTTGAACTCAGACAAAACTCTAACTTTTCCCAAACATTTTCAAGACTAGCGTGTTTTGCGACAGTTGGAGTTTTGTTTTTCGGGTCCCGTTCGGAAGCGGTGAATATGAAACTCAAACACAAACTCAACAGTGGTGGAAAACCAGCATGAGAACGAGACCCGAAAAACAAAACTCCAACTGTCGCAAAACACGCTAGTCTTGAAAATGTTTGAGTTTTGTCTGAGTTCAAAAGTTTTGTTTTTGTTTTGTCGGTTTGGTGGAAAACCGGCATAAGACTGCACTATTTGAAAGTTCCTTCAGTTAAAGTGCAGCAAAAGTTTTTTCAATGTTCAACTTCTGATCTCATTCTCCACATTATAGTATTGTATATGTATAATATCTTGATAAATTTAAATTTCCTATTCATCTATCTGTATTCAGAGTTTTTGAAGGTAATATCTTTTGATGTGGTGGTACTTGTACGAATATCGCCTCCTCATTGAAAATCAAACATTACGAGAAATTTTCAAAAATACGTCTCAAAGATAAAGAGAATCCTAGAAAAAGACCTAACCTGGACTCTTGGGAAAAATTAGACGAATCGCCTATACTTATATAAAGGTGGCAATAACTTAAATTAGAGTATCAATTGGAAGATCCCAACTGGTTACTTTTCTCTTGGTACAATGGATGTAGATAATTGTATTTTGGCCCATGAAATGGGCTTAGATAAAACCATTCAGAGTTTAAAATTTTCACATTTCGTATGGGAATATGGAATAAGGGGACCATTTTTGCTTATAGGTCCATGATCGACCATCCAGTTGGCAAAGGGAAATAGAAAGTTAGACTGATATGATCGTAATTGTTTATCACGGCTCGGCTACAAGTAGAAACATGATTCGGGAATATGAAATGTTTTATAAGAATGAGAAGGGACAACATGTTAAGGATCTTATTATTGTAACAGATTTTGCTGACCTAAAAAGTTTCAATTGGACGTTGTGTGAAGCTCATTGACTTAAAAATCGTAATTGTAAAATTACTTGAAGGCCTAAGACAGTTTGGCTTTAGAGCATACAGTTTTATTATCCGGAACTCCTTTGAAAAATAACATAAATGAACTCTTTTCTCGTTGAACTTCTTGGAGCCAACTGAGTTCTCTACATCTGACGTGTTCCTTGAGGAATTTGGTTTTTTCAAAATAGAACAACACAACAACTCCATTTTCAATATTCGATTGCGTGATGTCTTCCAATTCATCTGACTCATTTTAAATGGACAAAATCAATACAAAATGCATTAAACGATAGAGTTTCTATGACTAACGGAAAAATATTAAAAGACGTTCGCAATCCTAGATTCAAATCCTAACCAAGCTAAAAAAAAAGTGTTGGTTGTCTTATTTAATTACACAAATTATACACAACTATAATTCGACGTTTTTACCTTATATTATCTGTATTGTTAGGTAAATCGGCCGCAATATGATCTACTGTAATCGGGTCATCCAACTTAGCGACTAGACTATTAATGGTTTTGTTGATTAATCCATCGATTACTCCTTGAAGACGATGGTCTAAAATCGTAAATTTTATTTGAGTGTGAACTTTTCTATAAGGGTTACTTACTTGTTGGAGTTGTAGACGTGAAGCCTAATAATCCAATAAAGGACACAAAAATTATAAGTTTCATAATTTATTAAGGAAAAGTTTCCGTCTTTTATTTGTTTGATTAAGTAAATTGTTTAAGAAATAAATGAACAGACTCTAGAAATTGATTTTATTATGGTTTTGTTACAGAATAATTGATTATCTAGAGTGGATACTACACATAAGGTCTTATCATCTACCTAAGTTATTAATATCTCCTTTGTTTGTTTTTGATATAATCAATTCTATCTTCAATACAAAGCCTTACATCAGTAGAAAACGTCTTATTACTACATGAATTTAAACAATACAACGATTCATTGGTGTGTTAATTGTTGTCATTTGAGAATACATTATAAGTATTTCTAGTAAAGGGAAAACTATCAAACTTTCTGCTGAGTGTGTAGCAAAACGCCCCACTTACTCTATGTAATTGGCTAGATGGTAAATGGCGAGCGGTATATTGATGGTGTTTATTTCCTTGGAGCTGCTACCTATAAAACTGTGGAGGGTCTATTCGCAAAAGAGAGAAACAAACTATTGAGGTTTACTAAATTATATTTTATTATACATAAAACCAAAAATTTAAATAAGCAAAATATCTATCAATTCTGATAGCCACTTCTAATTTTCCTAATTCAAATTATTTCACATCCGTTCAAATGTCATTATTACGGACCAGGAAATATCCATAAAACAAAAACGCCCTGCTACTACTATTCTCAATAACTTATACGTTTATACATTTCAACACCTCGATTCATTCCTATTAAACTACCCTTCACCAATATCTTTAAATTCTTAAAAAGTCCTAAGTCCTTTACTGACTGCTTATGCAAAATCAAAATAATTATTTGTTTATTAATATAAGTATTACTAACTTATTCTTATAAAAAAACCTTACAATAATTTCTACATGAAAAATAAAAACCCTAATTCAAAATTTCGGCACTTAGATCATCAACTTCACGAATAACAAGTTTCTTTCCAAATTTTCCCATTCCATTTAATGGTTTATTTAAATCAGAACAATTACTATTTTCGGATTCCTAGCCAACGAACACAATTATTTAATTCTTATTAGATTCGTTACTAGCCCTTAATCTTCAATTTGGACAATCCAATTCAAAATTCTTTAATAATTCCTACTCAAAATCGATACTTGTTAAGTGCATTATAAATTCCCTTTTTAATTCTTTGCAAAATTAATTAAAATGTCATTATACTCGAAGACAATTTAATTTATGCAATAATGTTCCATAGTCAAAACACTCGAGTTATTAATATTTATGCAATAAAGTTCCATAGTCATTCATCATTTATAAAGTCAAAAAGTTTTACTACTAAAAATCACTCAAGTTTTTAGACATTGAAAGTCATTGTCAATTCACTTCTTATCATTCAGAATCATTATTAAAAGTCAGAAAAATAATAATCACTAAAGTACTTAGGGGAGCGGGTGGGATTGGCGCTCACCTAAGCCAAAACTTTTTTTTTTGTGACTTATTTTCATCAGAGGACTCTGGAAATTTATTTGAGTAAATAATATTTATTGTTTTATCTTTCAGTCAAAAAATCTTGTCTGAAATTAATTTAATTTAATAGCTAGAACAAAAAAATGTAATAGGTGCTTTGAGCGCAATTGCCCACACCAGTGGGGTAAAATAGCGATCAATAATTTTCAGGTCGGTTCTTAATACAAATTAAAGCTACAGCTACTAATTTTGAAATATTTATTAAAAAAATCGACAAAACAGCCAATAAACTCAAAATAAACATAAAATAATCTCAAAATAAACTCAAAATAAATTCAAAATAAACTCAACACTATGCGATACAAAAATCGGCGGCAAACATTGCTTCTGGAGAGCATTGTGTTTTAGTTGTTGTCCTTTTTCTATTTTGAACCATCTGAAACCAAAATAGTGATGAATCATTAATTATAATTATTCAGGTTAACAGCCAGATATCCATAGGGGCAATGACGCTAGGTAACGGGGTAATCACGCTCAACCTGAGAGGAATTGCCCCAAACTTCAATTTTTAACAAAAATGGCGACATACTTTTTTTAGGTTAAAATAAATCAACGATGTTAATACTAAACTACTCCCAAGACATGCCCCATCGATTTAATAAATGATGCAATACCCCAAAATAACGTTATTTCAACTTACCTCTAGAATTCCGAAACACACATATTAGATTGAAATCATCAAACTACACGTTTTTTAGCAGGACCGCCGCTTGACGCCAGATATCGAAACCGGAATAGCGGCGATTAGTTCGGAGGGCTAAAAAGAGGGGATGACGTCAAGCGGAATAGTAAATTCGAATGGGTTAAGGTAGAAATGAGGTGAGCGTCATTCCCCACTGAGCGCCATTCCCAGCCGCTCCCCTACATTTAACTTTTCACACGTAAAATTACTTAATTTCAAAAAATCTCTAGAGCTCGCACATAATATTGAACGCCTTTAAATGTTCTTTCACAATTTTCCGTACTTTTTCTAAGACTTTTTCCGAGGCAATAAAAGAATCTTTCGCGAATTTTACTCGGACTGACACATTAGGTAGGTACTGTAGACTTTAACTCAAACTGGACTGAACTAACAACTCAACTGACAACTGATTTCCACTTCTAAAACTGCCTGTTTTATATTTTTCGATTCTCCCCCCAAAATATTATTAATTATCCACCAAAATCGGCAATAGGCGGTCGTTTGACCATCAATAAGTCAATTCCATTGGCCGACCTAGATATTATCAAAAAATAATGATGCAATCATTTGAAATTTTTGTCATTTTCATTTGTTTAAAATCGAATAATTATGTCGCAATATCCTGATTTATAGGGATCAAAAACTTTAGTTTAAGAATGTGAGGGCAACACAAAGAAAGCCGACACATGTGTGCCATAAATAATCAATTTAATTACTATGGCCTCGCCTTTAATATTTTTAGGAATTTAGATGATGACACAGGCTTGGTGACGAAATATACCTGATATAATTTTGAACGTATTTGGGGTCAACGTTAATTTGTTTCATTTTCAATTTATTGATACTGATTTGAAATACAGGAAATTCAGTTTTTGATTATTTGATTACATTTAATTTTGACAGTAAAGACATTGTTAATATCGGGACTATTTTTCCGGATCATTACAAGTGCTTAGAATCATTATACTATCCTGGCTTTTGCATGGAAGCTAAAATTTGCATGGATGGTATATAACTGCAATAAAGCAAAACTAAAGATTGGAATACTATCCGCATATCCAACTATAACATTCCTTAGATGTTCCTAAAGTCATGTAGGTACCTAACCACCTTAGATTTCATTACTTTCATCTGGATTATCATTTATGTCTATATGGATTATAGTCGGAGCATAATCAAAAGATTTCTGTCATTGCCTCCAGAACAACGAAACAGAAAGATGACATGAATTGTTGCTATACCTATGTAAATTTTCTGCTGATAATGTTGTCGGTTTTCCATCGAATGGATTTATGTATTGAAAAGAAATTCAAAGATGTTTTTACGACATCTCGCCTTTAGAATGTCTTGGAAAAATGTCATACTGTCTTTTTTAAGCAGACGTTTGGTTTTGTAACATAAGACGTCTTTGGGATGCCTTGAACACGTAAGCAGACGTCTAAAAAATGTCTTGAATATCGTTTGTGGACATCTTAGGGACGTTTTTGAGATGTCTACAAAAACTTCTCACAAAATTGGTTTCTCATTCAATTCAGAAGTTACTGAAATCCATTTAAAATGCTACAGAATACTTTAGAACTTTATAATGAGCCTTTTGGAAACTTCAAAATACTTAAAAGTCAATTCAGAATCCCCAAAAGCATTCTGTAATGCTTCAAAACTATTTGGAAACCTAAGACCTGTGGTGTATTGTGTCTGTGTTGTTGCGTTTTGCTAAAACTGTGAAAGTGAATAGTTGTTTTAGTCATTGATTAGTTACTTTTATGTACCTACTTTAGGGACTAAAAGTATTCTTTTAGTCCCTATTTTCAGGGACTAAAGTGGCACTTTTTTCCCTAGGGATTAAAAACGATTTTAATCCCTAAAATAAATAGGTAGGTAAGCAATATTGCATTAGTACATATTAGAATTAAAAACTCCGGTACCTAACTATAAAACGCTACTAATTTTTATTGATATTTACATTTATGTTAATTTCACTACAACTAGATGAGTTAAAAAGAGGTGAATAATTATTAGGGGTGAATTTTTTATTTTTTTACAGTTTTTCTATCCTCTAAAGTACATAAAATAGTATATATATACCTCGGGACTAAAGTGTCTTTTTATCCCTCGACGAATTGTACAAACTTTTCGCCTCGGGATAAAAAGAGTCACTTTAGTCCCTAGGTATATAATATACTATTATTTTTGTAGTTTTATATGTTTGGGGTGCCATTGTTGACCAGGTGGGAAAAGTTATGTCGTAACTTACAGTTGAGATAAAATTTGATATAACTATTGTCAAGGGGTTTAATTAGGAATTCGAGAGTCTAATTCAGTGTTAGTAAAGTATAGGTAGTTTAAAGTTGAGCTGTTGTATTATTCACAGCCCAGGCTGCAGACCTGTCAAGAACCATTTTAAAATGCTCCAAAACATTCAAAAACCTATTTACAATCTCCAAAAGCATTTTAGAACAATTTAGAAGTTTGAAACCTGTTTTAGGACGCTCCAAAACACTCTGAAATCTCTACAAACATCTTGAAAAGCGCCAGAATCTTCGGATTCGGGTTAAAAGTTACAAAACGCCTTTCAGAAGGCGTTCAAGAGTGAATTTAAATTGCTGTAGAACTTTAAACCCTTAATATTTAGATATCCAATACAGTTCAAATCCAAATCAGCTTTTTCAGGAACATTTTGGGACAATTTAGAAATTTCAGAGTTATTTCAGAACTCTTTTGAACCAATTTAGAACACTGGAGCTTTAATAGGGCCCTAATACAAAAATCTGTCAGAACAATTTAGAAATTACTAAAAAACGTCTAATATGCTCCAGAACTCTTCAAGCCAAGTTAGAACACTGTAGAACTTCAATAAGCCATTTAGAACGTTCCAAAACACTTTCCAACAGAATTTTGAAAGGCTTCAGAATAATTTACGAATTTCAAAATTATTTCAGAGAGCCTAGCGCCTGGAATAGAGAAAAATTGACACATATAAAATGAGTAGGTAATAATGATGAAATATCCACTCCTGAAGACGTTTGATGGTCCACGTCTGAAAGACGTTTGATGGTTTTGTAACATACCTATAGGTACTACTACGTCTTCAAGATGATTTCGGCATATACCTAATTGGATTATTTGAAGTTTCCGTCGGTTTGAGTACCTCGTGGCAGAGCTGTCACAAATACTAAGTAAATAGTATTTCAAATACCAAGTATCAATTACGGGAAATTCATGTTGCAAGTACAAATACTAAATACTTTCAATTTAAAAAGTACTTCAAGTTTCAAGTACTTTAATTTAGTAGGTACTTGATTTTTTCAAGTAAAATAATTGAAATACTCTGTAAGTATTTCAAGTACTTAATTAAATATTTGAATTATCTATGTGTATTTGAAATAATAAGAAGTACTTCAAGTATTCACTAAAAAGGAATTCAAATTATTCAGTGATTTTTTAAAAAATTATTGTATTGAAAGCTTCAAATATAGATTATACTTCTTAACCAGTACTATAGAGATTCCAGATTCCAAGATACCAGTTGCAGATTATAGTTACTTTCAATTTCACGATTTAAAATTTATTTAGAAATTGTTGATTAAGAAATAAAGTGCAGTGGGATTTCTGGATTTCTATGTCTTCGGGGTGTGTTTACTATTTCTGCAAAACTAAAAAGTCTTTCTACAGGGGCTGATGACGGAAGACATATATTGTACCTGTGAAAAACTTCTTTTATGACAGGAAACCTATCCAAGGATTTTATATCTATACTGATATTCTCTGCATACTAAAGAATTTCCAGTTCGAATTTTCTTTTATTGTTATTTTAAAGACCTAGAATCGTCAGTCATATCTGCTGTAGGACATGTTAATTTCACATTTGGTGAAGTATTTGAATTACTTTCTGGGGTATTTGAAATATTATAAATATTTCGAGTACAAATGCCCAGTATTTGAATTACTTTTTTTTTGTAAATCTAAGTACCAAATACAAATACTTTATTTAAAGTATTTGCAGAATCAAGTACAAATATTCAAAAATAAAAGTATTTGAATTATAGTAGGTACTTCAAATACTGAAAAGTAATTGAAATGCATTTTCCAAGTAATCTACTTGAAGTACTGACAGCTCTGCCTCGTGGTCATTAAAAAAATATTAAAATTACTTTTTACTTCGATAAGATATCTTAAAAAAAGCAAAACAATACACTTAAAAAAAATCAATTTAAATTTTGTTTGCTGTAAATATTTCATAATGGTTTTCTTAATGCCTGACTATTTCATTATCGATTCATTATTATGGTTTTTCAGAAATTTCGATTTCAAAGCTATTGAACTTTTGAGTGTGTGCGGATTTGAATCTATCGATTACTGAAATTCTAATGTCAAAACATTTTAAACTTTTCTAAATTCGTCGCTTTTTCTAAAAAGTTCAACGAAATCCCTCCTGTCTTCCTCAAGAACTGTATCCAGGTGTTAAAAGGGCCACTATAGCTGACATGCTTAATAACGTAGCAAGAACAGGGGAATTCCCTGCAGCATCGAAAAAGGCAGTGGTGACGCCTATTTATAAAAAAGGAAATAAACAGCATGCAGAAAACTATCGACCTATTAGTTTAACCAGTATACTGTGCAAATGTATGGAGAAAATAATCGAGCTCACCCAATTTTTTATGGACACACGAGTCATACCAGATCAGCAGCACGGCCTTTTTCCTGGGAAATCGACGATTACAAATCTCCTAACAAGACTTAACCACTGGACACTGTCAGATGACAACCACGATAACCAATCGATGTGACTTCCAAAAAGCATTTGACAAAATACCAACATAGTTCCTAATCCATAAAGTCGAAGTTAGGGGCAATTTACTCCAGTTGATCGAAGGATTCCTCACAGGAAGAACTTTTCAGGTGCGTGTGGGTCCAACACTTTCAAAAGAGCACAGAGTGCGTAGTGGAGTACCACAGGGATCAGTTCTCGGTTCTCTACTCTTTATTGCCTATTTAAGTGATCTATATCTAGGGCTGGAAACAAGAAATGCATCTTTTGCCGACGATGGAAACATTTATGGAAATCCACTTTCGCAACATGCTGCTATTCAGAGAGACCTAAATAATATCAAAGAATGGACAGAGCTATGAAAATGGCCTTGAATGATTCCAAATGCACAGTCCTACATATTGGCCAGAACAACCCTAAATTGAATTACTTTTTTGAACAGTTTCAAATAACACCTGTTATAGCACAGAAAGATCTAGGAATCACTGTAACCCAGGACTTGAAATGGGAAACTCACATCACGCAAATGACCAAAAAAGCCTATTTAATGATTTACCTCATACAAAAATCATTTAAAGACCTCTCCAAAGATATGATACTAAAGCTACATAAATCATATGTCAGAGGCCAAGAGTGGAATATGTACAAACTATTTGGAATCCTTACTATGCTAGAGACATAGAGCAAATTGATAGAGTACAACGAAGAATCACTAAGCTGCCTCCAGACCTTCATGAACTGCCCTATGAGGAACGATTAACCTAGCTAGACCAAACCACCCTAAAAGATAGAAGTATGAGGGGAGATTTCATTGAAACTTTTAAAATAATGAATGAGCACTATGCATGCGACTTAAGAGTGATCTACCACCTCAACCAAAACACCAATCTCAGAGAATACAATCTAAAGCTTTCCAAGGAGAAATGTAACAAGCTAATGAGAAGAAACTTTCTAACAAACAGGGTGGTTTATCTCTGGAACAGTCTTGGTAACAACACTGTCACGTCGACAACAAAGAACCAGTTCAAAAACCGTTTAGACCAAGAAACAAAGAACCAAAGCACAACGTTCTTAGGCAACTAAGTTTCAGGAGGACTATTAAGACCGCAGAGGCTTTTTTGGCAAGAGCAATGCATGACTTCCCACAAATCTCTAATCTTTAAACAACAACTCAAATAGATTCAGCAGTTTCATCGGATTTATTACGTCTACTGCAGATACCCATGATAATAATAATAATAATAATAATAATAATAAATTGTATACGAGGCCACTTTGAATTTTTATACGCAACTTCTTGATATCTTACATTTATTAACATCAACACGTCATATCAAATAAATTACTGATGAAAATATAAATATAAGTTATTATATTTATATTAAAATAATCTATAAATCTCCATTGAGCAGTTGATCTAGTTCAGCTTCATAAAGTTCCTGAAATTCCAATAGTTCTGCTGATTTGGATCCACCGCCGAGAGCGGCTTGAATGAGTTTCTCAAGAATTGGACTGACAATTTTGCTGATCAAGTCGCTGTGTTCGTTAATGAAAGGTATAACGTTATCGTTCATGATTGTGCTCAATAGAACGCTGAAATCTTCGTTGTGTAGTAAACCGGTTACTTGGAACTGAAAGAGGAACGAAACCGTGGAAATTTGGATTAAATAAATGATGAATTTTAATAACTTACGACACCATCTCCAATGTTGAATGATACAGTTACGTTGGAAATACTTATGCCTCCTTTGGTAGAGACTTTTCCAAAAACACAGATATCAATGTCGTCTAATGTAACGCTAAACAAAAATATTATATTAGAGAATTAAATATTATGAATGGTAAGTAGGTAGATATAAAGTTTTGTTGGTCGATACCCGTGGAGGGATGAATCAAAGTAGGTACCTATCTACATGTCGCTGTTTTGTGAAGAAATACTAAACCATGTTTGAAATCTATTTATTTCAATCAAATATAAATTTTTACCTGACACGACCATTCCCGTACAATGGAACCAGTTCCAAAAGCGTTACATCAGCATCGTATTGGGTCCCAAGCACAAGTTGTTTGATATAAAGAGTACTGTTTAAATTTAAATTTAATAAAGACACATCGAGTTTTTCCGCTACCATTTCTTTGATGCCGTAAAGTTTAAAGTTGATAACATCAATGAAACCACTAAAAGATTGGAACTATTATTGTATTATCTTTATAATTATTGAACTTACTTTAGTTGGTCATTGGAGGAACTCAAATTCATTTTGTCGACGCAAATAGGTTCAGATATGTTAGCAAGAATATTATTAATGGTTTTATTAATTAGTCCATCAATTAAACCTTGTAATCTTGATTCATTTAAGCGATCCTCTGAAAATATAATATAATATTTTACTTATTCTAAAGGATTGATTTGAAATCGTCTCACCTAATGGTGTGGCGAAAACCGCACCGATTGCCAAAATACCAACGATAAAAATTGAAGTTGAAACTTTCATTGTGCTGAATTTTCACTAAACAAATAATAACTGAGATTGCTATTGAGTTTTACTTTATATATAACTTTTTTTTTGATAAGATGAAGGCAAACACTTGAAATATCAGTTCATCAATATACGTAGGTACTCTAAACAATTTGTTATCTTCAATGAGGCCTATGATGTATCCTCTCCTGTTATTTTAACAGCTATGTTATAGCTCAACATCTATACCTCTCTCTATTTTGACGTATATAATGAACAGTGACAGACAACTTAACGTTGCTGTTAAAATAACAGAATATGATACATCATAGGCCTGAATATCAACTAATTTTTTTCAAATTATATCTTGTATTCTAATAAAACTGTAGGTATTTGTCAATAAATCTATTGCGCCTGAAGAAATCAGACAAATATTATTGTAAACTTTCAAATGGAAAAAGTCATTTTTGGTGACTCAGTGGTGCGAATCTTAGATAAGATAGTTTTACACCGATTTGTTGTCTCAATTATTTGTACTATTGCTCAAATGAATGGGTAACTGTTCCTATAGATTCAATTTTGAGCCAATAAAAACTTCTGAATGAATTTGAAATTTTCAAGTTCCTATATCTACACATCATTTGATTGTTGACTCCGGCAAACTTTCAAGAAGAAATTGCTCCTTGAATTGTACTATAGGTACTTAGTGAATTAACAAACATCTCGCCAAATGGGTAAACTGAAGTTATTATCAATGATTTCACGGCGCCAAAACAGGTGAAAAAGCTCATTGTTTCAGTTGAAGTGTATTTCAATTTTTAAGTGTCTGACGTATATGAGATAATGCTACGTCGGAATGATTTGTGCGATTTTTGTGAATTCTTCTTGACTATCAACACATACAAGAGCTTTATTTTCTCCAAACTGAATCAACATAGATTGAGAAAGTGCCATATTATATTTTGCTTTATTGTCTTAGTAGTTTTTAAGATTCTCATTCAGTTTTTGCATCATTTAATTGGGATATCAATACAAATCTTTGCGTCATCTTATGAGTAGATAATATGCTTGGCTATTACCCAATGCCGTGGGCATTGAACTACTGACTCATGTTGAAATAGCAGGTCTTGTTGCAATAGCCAGATACACAAAAAAATCCAACAAGCTCAAAGTTTTTTGTGTTCTTGTTTGTTTGTGATCTGATCCCAAAGTGATCTGATTTTCTCCTGATGGGCTGGTTCTTCTGATTTTACATTAAGGCTTGATTTTCGCAATGGATCTGTTGATGATCAAATCAAAAATCTCTGGTGGTGATTATTTATACTGTGTAAATCCGACCATCATCATCATCGATGTCATTGAAACACTCTCATGTTTGAATTGTTTCTGAGGGCTTCTTCTAATAATTGTGTGTTTTGTGCTCTCCTATTTTCCTTCTGATGGCCTTCATTACTCTCCTGTTGAGATCCTTGTATGCCCTGGTCTATTTCTAGATTGAGTTTCGAGTTATTCTGTCTTTGAAGCGCACACAAACTTTCTCAAACAAACTTCTGCAGCTGTTAGAATACTACTGCTAGTTTGTTCCAGAACTCCTTGAGTTCTATTTGCAACAAATCTCTTGCCCTTCTATAATCTTGTATACCTACTGTTAATTGATTCACCATCAACACCTTTTGATTCTGATACATAAATAATTGACTCTAATATTAAACAAATTTTAATATCAAATCCGCCTTCGCCGTCCTGTCAGCTTTGTGCTTGTACCTGTATCAGTAGCTTATCAGTAGCTTCTGGCTTTTCTAATTCCTAATAGCCATTTGTATTGAGAACTATTGACACACATATCTTCCACAGTTTTTAGTCAACCCTCAGAAATGGGACGATAATAATAAATATTGATACGAATATTATAAATATATAATAATAAGGACCTATTTTGTATTTTGTAGAGTTGTAAATTAAGCAGAATTACCAAAACTTGTTTAAATTCATCCCAAGTACTTCAGACTGAAAAACAATTTGAATACGAAGAAAAACTAAGGCATAAATTAGCAAAATACTCGGCAACATATAAAACAACCAAAAATATATTTGAAAAAACAAAGGTTCACACACATTTTTTAAATTTTATGGGGACATAATATGGATGGAGCATATAGAATAACTGATTTGCCCTAAAATATTTTTCGAAAGGTTTATAGTTCAATGTATGGTCAAAGAATATTAATTAAAAGTGTATTTATTTGCATTTATTTTTATAATTTAATATAATACATTTATCTTCGCAAAATCTAAAGTAGGTATCTACATCGAAAGCTATTTTTGTACATGTAATTGCAAATATTCTGGATTTTTTTTTATTTGGAGAAACAAAACAAAAATTCGAGAGTCTCTGTAATAGACAAAAACTGATTTGTTTAGTAAAAATTTAGAAAAACTTGGTAGGAAGGAAACTTCAATGTATTTTTTCTTAATCCAGACTTGAATTTTCTTTCTTTAAAAAAATTTAGAATAAAATTGAGAAATGCAGAAAGGAAAATTAGGAAAAAAACAAAAAAAATCTTCCTTTTTTTCTCATAGGCTCCTGAATTTTCTTAACGTTTTTTTTTTTCACACAATATCTTGAATTTTCTTCATTTTTTTTTGACTTTGCGGCTCTCCAACTTTATTTATTTAGAGAAATTTGGAAGAACAAAGACTTAAATTGAGATGGAAAACTTGAGAAATACAGAGAGAAAATTTAAGAAGAAATAATTTATCCATCAAAAAAATCAGTCTTTTTCTAGTTATACTTACAGGATCTTGACTTTTTCATATCTTTGAACCCATCAGGCTTAAGAATTTTCTTCATTTGGAAAAAAATTTGAAGAAAACAAAAATTCATCAAGATTCATGAATATAGACGAAAATTGAAAAGGAAAAATTTAGAAATGGAGGGGAAATTTGAGAAGAATTGGAAAATGTATTGATGGACAAGTAGATCAGCACGTATACTTTATGGTTTTTCTATCTGAAGAATTTTGAAAGGCTTCAGAACAATTTAAAAACCTCAGAATTATTACAAAGTGCCTAGCGCCTGGAATAGACAAACATTGACTGTTATAAAATCAGTAATAATAAGAAGAATTAATTGAAATTATGGGATAGGAACTCATCAAAACTGTAAAACCCCTTCGCAGCCAAGAGTCCTTTCACCCTTGCACCGTATTTCTAAACACCTTGCCCAGCAAGTACGAAACATCTACAGGCAGTATTGCGATTTTCTTTCTAAATCCGCGGCAGATATTGTTATGTTACAATGTAAAGAAGTACTGAAGAAGTCTAATTGCGACTTTGAAATGTCTCATGCCTCTTCTTTTGTTATATTACGTTGAGTCGTCCGCAGGAGAATTCAGAGACATTTATAATTTAAGGAACTAAGTATCTAAATTCTATTTGCACATACTTGGCAATATTGCAGCTTGCGTTATGTAGAATATAAAATGGATATGTTCTACGTATATTGATAGTTTATCACACCGAGATGTCGTCCAAAAACCTGTGTATATTTCATACTTAATTCATATGAACATTAAGGTGAAGTTCAGAAAAACGTCGGATAGCAACATTCAATTTATATCTCACCTTTTTGTCGAACAGACGTTCCCATTAATTTTTTGCAGAATGTTAAAATTAATGTCGATATCACTTCGATAGTTCACTACAAGCGATCACATTCTCGAACAAGTCGAACACGCTCTGCGATATCCTCCCGATGTAATGAAGAAAAAGACGCTGGTTTTTTTTTACTACCCTTCCTAACCTCTAACCTCGCATCGCATTAGTCACATGGCTTCTGGTCCTTCTGGCTCTTCCCGCTTTTGAATAATGTTTCAATACATTTTCTGTACTTCCTATTTTGCTATTGGGTATTGCGTGTAGGGCGTGGGTGTTGGATAAACTGATATTTGTTGGATAAACTGATATTCATATCAGTGAAACAAAAATTAATAAATTAAACTTTGATTATTAGCCTATATTTTGCTAATTTATATCGCAGCTATGGATTACTGAATGTGTTTATAATAGTTTTTATAAGTAAGATAAACAGATGAGGAATCGTTTACTTAAGAAATGGTTTGTAATTCTTTGTCTTAAATGTTGAGTCAGTTCGTATAGTTATTTCTATGAGTTCACACGCTCTGCTTTCCGCTGTTCGATATAATAAATATATTGAATATCGATAATTAATTAACAAGTTCTTTTATTTCTTAGTCCATTTCCCAATAGTGGGTTTCAGAATTAGTTTGTTGGTTTTTAGTTTTTGGGGTTCGGGTTTTCTTTACCTGGCAGCTGACGGCAGTTGATGATGATTAATTAGTGTTGTGAAAAGAGAAGTGCAGTAAATCACCCTGTATATTCTTTCAGCTTCTGGGATCATTTTGTGTATCAAGTAATAAAAATTGGCTTGTCACTTAATGTGATTCTAAAAAAACTGACATGCATGCGAGATTCTGATACCCCAAAAATAGAGACGTGACCAGCGGCGATTCACTGTTTATGACCCGACCCATCGTTACTTCGGCAACATTGAAAGGGTCCTCCAAAAACAGTTAGGTTTTAGGCTAGGTAGTCGATAGTTTTAGTGATTTTCGACAGGGACTTGCATTTTGTTCAGCTTGTTGAACGCATCGTCGCCTGGATATTTTTGTGAATTTGAAATAATAGTATATTATTGTATTAGGAGTAGAAGCTTTACTTTTTTGTGCTGAAGCGGTAGGTTTGCGAGCCGAACGTAGTGAGACTTGCAATACTGCTGAAGCACAAAAAAGTGCTTCTACTCCGTATGCAACACGCTATTTTTTCTCCAAACGAATGGGGTAAGCTCGGGGGCAAGTGAATGGTTGAGCGGCAGCAAAAGTACGAGCGGCACTAAAAGTACTTCTACTGCCGCTCCAGCGGCACTAAAAGTACTTTTGCTGCCGCTGGGGTTGCTAAGCAGCATAGAAATTAAGTTTCTACCACCTCGACAGGTGTTAACCCGCTGGATTTGCCTAGCAGCATAGAAATCAAATTTCTGACATCTTGACAGGGGTTAACAAAGTGACGTTTTTCTGACGTTTGGAGAAAAACTACTTTTTTGGCGAAAGTCTAGCGTTTTCTTACATGCATATACAGTCCGTCGTT